GCGAGATTGCCCTTCTATTAAGGGTATTTGGACCCGTCTGGTTCCAAGGGAGCATCGTTTGTTTTTCTTCTCAAGTTCTCTGTTTGAATGGTTGTACGTGAATTTGGGAAGAACGGATTGGAGTGCGGAGTATGCATGGTCAACTTTGTTTGCCATGGTTGTATGGTGGAGCTGGAAATGGAGGTGCGGGTATGTTTTTGGAGCAATGGGTAAATGCCGAGATAGAATCAAGTTTGTTAAGGACCTTGCGGGAGAAGTTAGCCGTGCGCATGCTATTGTCCGTGTGGGTAATATCGTGTGTGTGAGAATGGAACGTAATATTAAGTGGAATCCACCATTAGGGAGTTGGATGAAGCTTAATACCGATGGTGCGTCTCGCGGTAACCCGGGTCTGGCCACAGCTGGTGGATGTATTCGGGATAACACGGGGGCTTGGTGTGGGGGTTTTTCCCTCAATATTGGTGTTTTTACAGCGCCTTTAGCGGAGCTCTGGGGTGTTTACTACGGCCTTTGCATCGCTTGGGACAAGAAAATACCGCGGCTTGAAGTTGAGATCGATTCAGAGATAGTAGTGGGTTTTTTAACGTCAGGGGTTGTGGAGTCTCATCCTTTGTCGTTCCTGGTACGGCTGTGCCACGGCTTTATTTCGAGGGACTGGATAGTCCGTTTTTCACATGTTTATAGGGAGGCAAACCGTCTTGCCGATGGTTTGGCGAACTATGCTTTTAATTTACCTTTAGGTTTTCTTTTATTAGAACATGCTCCAGTTGATGTTGAGTCGATTCTTGTGGACGATGCCCGGGGAACTAGTTTTCCAAGGCAAGTTCGAGTGTAATTTTCTTTTTTATTTTTGAATAATATACAGGGAGTCTTTTCTCCCTGTTTCTTACCAAAAAAAAAAAAAAAACATCTTAACGTTAATAACTGACACATGTCAAGATCTTGGTAATGGTTGATTTTGAAAACCAAAGTTTATATAATAAGATATTCTTATAAGACCAAAGGCAATCCTATCCTTTTTGGAAAAAGTTTCAACCAACCCACAAAAAGATTTCACTTTACTGAGTTTAGAACCAGCCACATCATTTAATTTAACCAAACTCACTCTACAGAAAAATGTATTCAATAACCGGGAAATACCGATAATTTTTCAAGTATCCGGTTCGAAACAGATACAGATTTGGGCCGTATTAATGGGCCGCGGATTCAAAATCTTATGTTCGGAACGCGCCGATAACACACGTGCGAGTGGCCGCTTTATATTTCCTCAATTAGAAGAAAAAAAAATAAAATAAAAAATTCATAACTTCTCAACGGAAACACGAAAAAATCAGAAATCCCCAAATCGAAGAAGAAGGTAACACTTTGATCATCTCATCTTCAAGAAGAAGACTCTTCGTTTGTATCTTGCGTAATGCGATGTGCGAAGACCTTGATTCTCACTTCAATTTCTCGTTTCTTGAAGCGATCGGCGAGTTATGGCGGTGGACGGTGACGGAACTGACGGAGGTGGTGGTTCTCAACCACCGGGGAAAAATGCGGCGGAGAAGGATATGGAGGTGCGTATCCCGACGCTGAGTCATTTTCCTATCAACGATCACGTTTCTGATGACTACGAAGATCTGGATTCGGAATATAGCTCACTCGTATTAAGATCGTTAGAGAAGTACTTACCGACGGAAATACTCACGGCGAACAGAGACGAGAAGGCCAAATTCATGTCAGGAATCTTGCGCAAGTACATTTCACCCAGAGAGTGTATGAAAGTAATGGCTCTTTCAACTTCTGATTTTTTTTTTTTTTTTATTATCCCAATCTGTGAAATCGCAATCGGAGTTGATTCTTGTTAGTTTCTTTATGTCATACTAATCAGAGAATGATCTTTAGCTTTATCTTGTAAACACATAGGATTTGGTTAGATTATGATGAAGCACGTTAGATCGATAATAAACAAATCATATCTGTGAAATTGGAATTGCTTCTGAAGTTCTTACGATAGTGATTCTTGAAATTACCAAGTTTACCAAACTGATAGTGATCAGAGAATGACCATTCTTTAGACTTTACTTCTGAACACATAGATTCTGGTTACGTTCTCAGAATAGTTTTATGTCTATATAACGTTCCAGGTTAATTGGCTCAAGAGCTATAGGCAGAAGATAATATCCAAATATCGGGTGAGGAGAAGCCTTTTCTCGTCTTTAGTTTCTTTTTGGTTTTCTTAGATTTCTTCATGCCAAAGTTTGAAAGGTTTCCTTTTCTGCAGCCACGTTTCTTTTTGGTTTTATTTTGATCCCGAAATGTTTTTCCTTCCTGCTTTCCTGAAGGTGGTCAGACGCATCATGTCTGAACCATTTCCCGGTCTGTTTGTCTTTCAAATGTTTCAGCGTGACTTCTTTGAGAAATTGATAGTAGAGGTAGTAACTAGTAACCAATCATCTTGCCACTTATCCTCGTAGCTCTTATTTTTATTTTTGTTTTAATTCATTTGCTGCTGTTTGATTAAACAGGCAGAAAATTTCAGTAACTGGGCTCATGAGAATAAATTCCCGATCAGGAGACCGTACAACAAGAGCAAATGCAGTGTTGTGCTTGAAGACTTTGGCCTGGGCATCATGCTTGACAAAATCATGCAGGATTTTATCTTTCCTCTTTGCAAAGGCAAGTCTATATTAAAATGCATTCAAACGACTTTTCTTGGTTAAGCAGATCTAACATAGTAACACTAAACTTAACTCTGTTGTTTTGCAGTATTCTTCCCTGATGTGTGTGGAGCAATGTTCGACGCTCGCCATGGATTTTATATGGAGACTGGTGAAGATAAGGAAGCTGAATTAGGTGAGTCGCTTTGATTTTCTGCAAATACTTTGCAACAACGATTCTGCAACGTACCATCTTTCCTGTTGTGTAAACATATTCTGTGATACTCAAACTGCTTAGAGTTATTGAAGTGTGTCTATGTTTGTTCAATAGATTATCTGAGGTATATATGCAGTGTAGCACTGAAAAGGCATCGATTGGATTTGTTACATGCTTAGATGACTAATGTCTGGGAAAATCATCGGGGACAGAATACTAGTGACTATTTGTTTTGGCAATCGACGCTTCTTTTTGTTGTTCTGTTTTTAACTCAGTGACTAGTGCCCTGATCGTCTTTTAAATCTGCAGGCTTTCATGTGGATGATTCAGATATTACATTGAATGTTTGCTTGAGGAAACAATTTGAGGGAGGGAAAATGTTATTCGCAGGCACACGATGCAATAAACATATGGATGCAGAGATAAAGCCATATGTGAGGAGCTTGATTTTTTCCAATTACATTCCAGTGTTTCGTAAATGGCAAAATGTTGAAGTAATAAAGGAAACAACTATATCTCGCTGAAGCAGGAGGTTTATCATTACAATAATACACCGGGTCAAGCTATACTTCACCGCGGCCGCAACTGCCACGGTTCCAGAGTCACAGCAACACCTGGTTATCGGGCCAATATGGTTCTTTGGTACAAAAGGTAAAGCAATCTTTTTGAAGCTTGCGTCAGGATTTCAGATTACAACTGAATCACAATTTCTTATGCTCTTTTACATTGCAGCTCTTTGTGTACAGAGATGGAAACATATCAGAAAGAATTCAGAGACTGGTGCAGTCAATGTACTCGTGTAAAGAAAGAAAAGGAAAACGAGATTCTTGCTGCCAAAAGACAGGTTAAAAACAACAAAAACAAATAAAAGACAATGATTTTGCACAAGTTTATAAGATGTTTGATCTCTGAGCATGGTTATGAACATATGGGAGTCCTTTTATTGCAGGAGATGATCAGAATAGAGATTGGACCCAACGGTCGTCGATGAAACATAATACAGCTTATAGTTTGGTCAAGAAACCCTGCCTGAAGTATTTGTCAAGCCCCTAATATACAGCTTACTTTACTTGAGAAACTGAAAATATGTACAGAATCATTTGATATAAATAGAGCTCCTTTTATCCTTTTGATATATAATTTTGCAGTAAATGTGGGTTTGATCATTGATGTAAAAAAAATTTGAAAAAGTATAGCAAACTTTTTTATAGCTTATAAAGAGTCATTTCTCTTCATCAATGGCCAAACCAGTAATTTCTCTTCAACTTTAATATTGTTATTTTTGTTTGTTTCATAAAAGTAATTTGATGCTAGCTAGTGCTCTGCGTGGACCTAATCTCAGTCTACGTTAAACTACTACACTGGTTTAAATTAATCAAAATAAAGGGAACTCATCTTAATTATCCAGCTAATTTAATCAAAACTATTAAATATCCTCTGCATATAGAAACCCTTCACTTGAGGTGAATCAAGAGATCAAGAACAAATATGAGAAGTTTAACCTCAGAGCTCAAAGATTTAGAGGAGTTGACATCAAATGCTAAGCAAGTACAAGACGATTTGTTGGAGAAGATTCTCAAAGTTAATTCGAACACAGAGTATCTCCACCGCTTTCTCCATGGAAATTCTGATATAGAGCTTTTCAAAAAGAACGTACCAGTGGTGAGCTACGACGATGTGAAACCTTATATCGACCGTGTCACCGAGCGGATCACCGACCTTGGCTGTAGAGACTCGGTCTCCTTCATACTTGGAGGACCTAATCCTGAACTGGCAGATCTGATTTAACATGAATGCAGCCAGAACTCATGGGAAGGTATGATCACACGTCTATGGCCTAAAACCAAATTCATTCAAACCATTGTTACAGGACAGATGAGTCAATAGGTACCAATATTGGAGTTTTATTCCATCAAATTGCCTCTCGTCTCACCGCGTTACGCGGCTTCTGAAACAATCTTTGGCGTAAACTTGAACCCTCTATGCAAACAACAAGACGTGTGCTACACATTTTTGCCAAATATGTCATACTTCGAGTTCCTACTTGTTGATGAAGCAAACAATGATGAGATTGTTGAACTTGCGAACGTCAAGTTAGAGTGCTTTTATGAGCCCTTGATCACAAATCATTTCGGCGAGTCTCACACACACACACACCCACACACACACACACACACACACATCTTTATATACATATTTACACTCTTACCTATGTGACTTATTATTGAATATTGTCTCTAGGCTTATGCAGATATAGAATAGGAGATATTCTACAGGTGACCGGATTCTACAATAATGCACCTCAATTTAGATTTGTACGTAGGAAGGATATGGTTCTAAAGAAGACATTTTAAAGGCGGTGAATCATGCGGGTCTTGTTCTTGAATCTTCAGATCTAATGTTGATGGATTTTACATGCTATGCAGACATCTCCACTGTTCCAGGCAGGGGCGGACCCACAGCCAAAGTGGTGGGGGCGCTGCCACCAGCAAAAAAAAAAAAAAAAAAATTTCTTAAAAATTTTTTAAAAAATTATTAAAAATTATTAAATATTATTAGAAAACAAAATCTGTCCCCACAAAAAAAAAACCACTTTTCATTCTTTTTCTTGCAAAGTCCATTAATCCAAGTACCAAAAAAAGAAAATATTAATATATAAATTGAAAACTTACTAATCTAGACCTAATTTTTTGTTATTTTCTTTTTCTTTAGTCCTTTGGTTTCTTTGTGTGACAACAAATCAACAACTATCAATTTGTGAGTTTATTTTCCTGATTTTCTTACAATCGTTTCTATTATATAAGCATTATTTTTTAGTCAGTTAATTTTATTTAATCAGTTCAAGCTTATAAATATGTTTCCTGAAAAACATTATATAAGTTTTTATGTTATACATGACTATATTAGTTTTTGCAGTGATAATTGTTTATGTTTATTATATGGTTAAGCTTTTATGGAAGTTTGTTACATAATTCAAAAATACAAAATTAATAAATTTTAAAATATAAGTCTATAAATTCAAAATTTTCTAAATTTTTAATTAATAACATGTTTTTTTGTTTTTAATTATTTGAATATGTCACAAATAAAAATGTGGTAAAAAGGTTTCAATTGTTAAATGAGCGTCGAGTGGTTTTGTAAGATGTTTTAAAGTTTTTACATGACAATTTTATGTTCTTTTATAATTTAGTATTTGATAGTTTTTTTACTATATTTTTGCCCCCATTAAACAAATTTTCTAGATCCGCCCTCTGTGAGCTTAAAGCAAACAAGATTAAGTTAGTTGGGTAGGTTTTATTGTTGTAGTAAATAATAACGTAGCTAGAATAAACTTACAGTAATGTATTTTCCTTAACTAGATTAATCACTTATTCTCTCTTCTCTTTTACGTGAATTTTATACTCATCTCCCCTACTTCGATGGTTGAAACCATCACGAAAATTAGTAAAACCATCACGAAAATTAGTTAGAGCTTTGTATAGTTTATGGAGATTTGTGACTCTCTACATTTTGAAATTACATGTCAGTTTTGTAAAATTCAAAATTCAATTTGTATATATTTGTTTGGCTGCTTTGAGTCACAAGTCACAACAACAACAACAAAATATATATAACTCGAGGATTAATTTCGTGGAAGATAGAGTTGACTGGCACGAATTTTCAAGTCTTAACTTGTGTGCCATTAAATTTATAGTTTTGTCAGGTTTCAGATTTTGTCTAGACAGTTTTCTTTGTTTTTAGTGCTATCTATAGTAAAGAACCCCTTACTTGGAGATCAAGAACATATACAATAAAGTGAACGAGAGATCAAAACCAAATATGAGTTTAAGGGTCGACCTCAAAGATCTAGAGGAAGTAACATCGAACGCGAAGCAAATACAAGATGATGTATTGAAGGAGATACTCACACTTAACGCCAACACAGAGTATCTCCACCGCTTCCTAAATGGAAGCACTGATAAAGATTTGTTCAAGAAGAACGTACCGATTGTGAGCTACGATGATGTCAAGCCTTATATCGAACGTGTTGCGAACGGAGAGCCCTCGGATGTGATTTCGGGCGGACCTATAACTAGATTCATCGGAAGGTACTGATGAATCAACTAGTTCATTGGTACGTATGACTCATCTAGCTAGCTAATATTAATATGGTCACTAACATGATTATGAACTTGTTGTGTGTAGCTCTGGAACTTCAGGTGGGAAACAAAAGATATTTCCAATGAACGATAAGTTCACTGAGAAGCTGGGATACCTTATTGCTCTATCCTCTCGTGTTATTTCCAAGTAACTACTATACTTCCTTAACTGTTACTACACAAATGATAAGTTACAAATATTGGTTCATAGATTTAAAACAATTTTTTTATTTGTTGAAAAAGTTTCAACCAATCAATGAAAATGTAGATGATTTATAAATTGTTTTTTTTTTCCTTTAGCTTCCACCATTGGAATTGATCTCGTTCTATGTACTTTATAGGCATTTCAATGTTAACTTTTCTGAGAAAGGAAAGAAAATGGGGTTTCTTTACAACAAATTGAATTCCACAACTCCCTCCGGATTACTCTTTTCTTCGGGATTTGCAACCTTTTTGATGAGCGATTACTTCAAAAACCGGCCAACAAAATGTAATTCAGAGTCAGAGTACACTAGCCCCGACCAAGTCATATTGTGCATCGACAGCAACCAAAGTGTGTATTGTCATCTTCTATGCGGCCTTTCTCAGAGAGACAAGGTAGTTGGAGTTACTGCTACCTTTGCTTATGCCTTGGTCCAAGCAATCAATGCTCTTCAAATTTACTGGACTGAATTGTCAAGTAATATCCGATCAGGTCAAGTTAGTGAGTGGATCACTGACCTTGACTGCAAAAACGCTGTCTCGGCCATTCTTGGGGGACCTAACCCTGAATTGGCTGATGTTATCGAACAAGAATGCAGCCACAAGTCATGGGAAGGTATCATCACTCGACTTTGGCCCAAAGCAAAATATATTGAATGCATTATTACAGGGCAAATGGCTCAATACATTCCAACATTGGATTTTTATTCCAACAAACTTCCTATAGTTTCCACGATATATGGGTCTTCTGAAAGTGTGTTTGGGGCAAATTTGAATCCTTTATCCAAACCACAAGAGGTATCCTACACCAATGTTCCCAACATATCCTACTTCGAGTTTCTACCAGCTGATCATGAGGGAGATGTGAACAGCATTGTTGACCTTGTGGACGTCAAGTTAGGGTGTTACTATGAACCTGTGGTCACAAATTATTTTGGTCTACACAGATATCTTATTGGTGATATTCTACAAGTGACTGGATTTTACAATGCCACACCTCAGTTCAGATTTGTACGTAGAAAAAATATGGTTATAAGCGTTGATGTTGAAACAACAACTGAAGACGACATTTTAAAGGCGTTGGCTCGTGCAGCCCTTGTTCTTGAGTCTTCAAGTTATATGTTGATGAGCTTCACGTGCTATGCTGACATCTCCACTTGTCCAGGTCACTATGTTTTTTATTTGGAACTTAAAACTAAAGATGGTAAGGATGTTGTCGAACTTGATGAGAAAGTATTGGTAGATTGTTGTTCTGCATTAGAAGAATCCTTTGATGCTCTTTATAGAAGATTTAGGAATCAAGGAATAATTGGAGCTTTAGAGATAAGAGTGGTGCAACAAGGAACATTCGATTCTCTCATGGAATATTTCATCTCCAAAGGTGGTTCGGTTGCTCAGTACAAGACACCTATGTGTATCAGATCTTCTGAAGCCTTGGCACTTCTTGAAAATAAGGTTCTCGCTCGATTCCACAGCAAAAAATCTCCTCCTCTCGACTTATAGTTCTTTGTGTTTTTAAGTGCTTTTAATAAAGTTGTTATAATAACATAAATGAGTATCAATATTTGGAAACTTTGGAGAAACATTTTGACAATGCGTTCTTCTTCTTATCAAACTTGCAATCTTTGTACTTGATGATCAATATATAAAAAATCGTCACGTCATTTTCATTTACCTAATTTCTCTCATTTCCATTTAAAATTTCAGTAATCATCATAGAAATTAAAACAAGTTTAGTTCAGACAAGAGATCAATAAACTCATACTATATAGGTTCCATTGTTTATAAAATGTCCAAGACAAAATGATTGATAACGGACAATTGAAGAACATCTATAAAAACTATGCAACTAATGAGAAATAAAGTTTTGTTTTCTTGTGAATTAACAACAATTAAATCTTAAAACTAATATATACACTCTAATCTAGATAAGCTTTATATGTGCGATGTCACAAACTCACAATCAATCATACTTTAGGTTTTATAAAATTTATTCCAATTTAGGAGATCACATACAAACTTTCTCTGTAAAAAAATAACAAGTTGTATTGCTTTAGGTTGTATTGCTTTAGGCATTGCGCCATCGAGTTAGGTGAGGTGGATTAGTGATTAACATATATGAGCCTTAACTCCATTCTGCAACAGCTACTGATTAGCAACTATTTATTCTGTAAAACAGTTAGCTACTGAACTAGCAACCAAATTATTATGCTAGTTAAATGACATAGATTTTAGTCACCAAAATAAATGATATAATAATTTATCCTAATTATCGTTAGCTAGCGACTAAATATTTGACTGCAAATGGCAACCAATTTAGCCGCATATTTTTTAATTTGAATTTTCATTTAATATTTTGAATTTTGAGGTCTAGGATTTAAGATTTCATTTTAATATTTAGTTTTATTTTTATGGTATTTTTGAAAAATTTATATTTTAGCGATATTTATTTTTAAAAAATATATAATTATTATATTTTGCAAGAAAAACTCATCTTATTGTCGAGAAAAATATCACATTTTATTGGTATTTTTAAAATAATCCTATTTTTAATTCTGCGCATGGCAGGGATAAATAACATCTAATAAAAGCAATATTTAGGAGATAAACTAATATATTTGACAGCTTGATTGGTTTTCGAATCGATTCTCACTTTGTGCATTTTTTAATCTATACAAAACAAATCAAATTGTTTTGTCCCGTTGAGACTTTGCATACTGCTACATAAAGAACCCCTTACTTATTATTTGATCCCAAAAAGAAAAGAAAAAAAAACCCCTTACTAGAGATCAAGAACATATTTACTTAAAGTGAATGAGAGATCAAAACCAAATATGGGTACAAGCTATGAGCTCAAAGATCTAGAAGATTTAACACTGAACGCGAAGCAAATACAAGATGAGGTCTTGAAGGAGATACTCACACTTGACGCCAACACAGAGTATCTCCAACGCTTCCTACATGGAAGCTCTGATAAAGATTTTTTCAAGAAGAATGTACCGATTGTGAGCTACGATGATGTCAAACCTTATATCGAACGCGTTGCGAATGGAGAGCCCTCGGATGTGATTTCGGGCGGAACCATTACTAGATTCCTCCGAAGGTACATAACTTTTATCATCATGCTAATATTTATAACCTTTACTTTGAAATCTTTGTAAAAATCATCTGTTGCTACACAAATTATAACTGGATTCAACTGTCCCACTAATCTAATTTTAAAGTCTGTTGCTACGTCTTATATATACTTCTTTTTCCTCCAAAACTTGTCTATTATATTTCTAATATTACCCTAGTATATACAAATCTTTTACAATATATAGATTGTACTTTTTAACGTCCATACTATAATTTACCTTGTTCTGGTTTATAGGCATTTGAAAGACAATGATGCAGAGAAAGGAAAGAAAATGATGTTTCTTTATAATAGACCGGAATCCACAACACCATCCGGATTACTTGTTGCTCTAGCATCTACAAGCCTTGTAAAGAGCCATTATTTTAGTAACCGGCCATCAAAATGTAATTCTGAGTACACAAGTCCCGACCAAGTCATATTATGCCCCGACAACAACCAAAGTGTGTATTGTCATCTTCTATGTGGGCTTTCCCGGAGAGATGAGGTTGTGGGAGTTGCTTGTCCCTTTGCTTATGCTTTGGTCCACGCAATCGATGTTCTCCAAAGTTACTGGGAAGAATTGTCTAGTAATATTAGAACAGGCCATGTTAGCAAGTGGATCACTGACCTTAATTGCAGAAACTCAGTCTCGGCCATTCTTGGACGGCCTAATCCGAATTGGCTAATGTGATTGAACAAGAATGCAGCAACAAGTCATGGGAAGGTATCCTCACACGACTTTGGCCCAAAGCAAAATATATTGAATGCATTATTACAGGACAAATGGCTCAATACATTCCAACATTGGACTTTTATTCCAACAAACTTCCTATAGTTTCCCCACTATATGGGTCTTCGGAAAGTTTATTTGGGTTAAATATGGATCCTCTATGCAAACCACAAGATGTATCCTACACATTTGTGCCTAACATCTCCTACTTCGAGTTTCTACCAGTTGATCATAAGGGAGATATTGTTGATCTTGTGGACGTCAAGTTAGGGTGCTACTATGAACCTGTGGTCACTAATTATTTTGGTCTACATAGACTTCTTGTTGGAGATATTCTACAGGTGACTGGATATTACAATAGTACACCTCAGTTTAGATTTGTACGTAGAAAGAATATGGTTTTAAGCGTTGAGATTGAAACAACAACTGAAGAGGATCTTTTAAAGGCGTCAGCTCGTGCCACCCTTGTTCTTGATCAGTCTACAAATTTAATGCTGACAGGCTTCACATGCTACGCTGATATCTCCACTTTTCCAGGTCACTACGTCTTTTATTGGGAGCTCAAAGCTAAAGACGTTAACGATGTTGTTGAACTAGACGAGAATGTATTGGCGGAATGTTGTTTTGCGTTAGAGGAATCATTTGATGCTCTTTATAGAAAACTTAGAAGTCAAGATGGATTAATTGGAGCTCTAGAGATAAGAGTGGTGCAACAAGGAACATTCGATTCTCTCATGGAATATTTCATCTCCCAAGGTGGGTCGATTGCTCAATACAAGACACCTCTGTGTATCAAATCTTCTGAAGCCTTGGCACTTCTTGAAAATAAGGTTCTCGCTCGATTCCACAGCAAAAAATCTCCTCCTCTCGACTTATAGTTCTTGGTGTTTTTAAATGCTTTGAATGTTTGAACTTGTTTGTGCACCTATTGGTGATGTTGTCATGTTATCATAACGGAAATGTACGTGTGACAATAAGCAATACTGTATTTTTTTTTTGGTCAACACAATAAGCAATGTTATTTGTAAACTTTCTTGAATCATTTTCACGTTTTTTTTTTTTTTTTTTGTAAACTTTCTTGAATCATTTTCACGTACAACTAGGAACACATTGTGTTTTTATTATTTTCGAAGCTTGCAATCTTTGTAATTAATGATCAATATGGTTTCAAATATCTTAAAATTATAGCCGTCTATTTGATCGCATTGGATCTTTAACTAACTATAATTACTAATTACTAGATTACATAACTTTTTATTATCTTGATAAAGGGTATTCAGATAGTAACTAGTACAAGGTGTTATGAAATTTTGATCATAGAGTTAGAAGGAGTATTATTTAGTGTTGAGACTTCATTAGACAGAGTGATACAAAACATAACTTTAAAGGATATCAAGATTAGTACGTGGAACTATAACCGCCTCGGCCTTGACGAGTGACGATGAAGATATGTCCTCAACGGCTCAATCAGATGACAAAGACATATTTTCATCGTTACTATCCTCTTAATTTGAAAAGAAAAAAAAAAATTCTTAGATGTACAAATTTGAAAATTAAATTTTATATAATAAGATATATTAGGGATTATGATTTACTATTTAAGATATTGTTTGGTTAGGCTGTTATATAATAGATTTGATATCCACATAAAAATATGGTGTTTCGAAATAAAATAAATGTCATAGAAAACAATACACTTGAACTTTTAAAATAAAATAAAAAGGAATGAAATTTTGTTTTGACACAAGTAAAAACCAATTGGTCACATCATTTTCATTTACTTGATTTCTCCTTTTGCTAGTTTAAGAACTTCAATTATCAAAGAAAGACAAACAAGTTTAGGTAAGACAATAGATCTATAAAATTATAGGTTTTTTTTTAATTATAAAATGTCCATGACAAGATATGATTGCAAATTATCATAACGTCGTTGTTATTAGACTTTGAAATCTTGCATTTGCAATTCTAATAACAAAAAACAACCACAAAAAAAAGAAGATAAGATTTACGGGTACGATGTCACAAACTCACAATTAATCGGTATTTTAATTTTTATTATATATATTCTAATTTAGGAGGTACATACAAGCTTTAGCCATTGAGCCATCGAGTTAGGTGAGGTGGATTAGTAATTAATATATATTAGCCTCAACTCCAATTTTAAAGGATTTGGAAAATTGAACGTTGAAAGAAAATACAAAACAACATATTGGAGGAACTATTCAATGCTGACACCAGCTTCTATATTATACTAATCCACTTAATCGGTAGCTAGATTAAAAATAACAATTGTTAATCACCAAAAATTTAATTGTGTATCGATGATAACTAAATAGCATTTGGTTGTTGGTGATCGTTAACAGTGATTGAGTAAAAAAAAACAGTAACAGACTAATAATTAACTACTGAACTAGCAACCAAAATATGGTAGTTAAGACGGATATGGGATCCATGAATATTATGTTTAGGAAGATATTATGAATTTGTGGACAAGAAGCTGCTTAGTATGATCGACAACTATCATACATTGACAAATCCATGGTCATCACTTTCAAGCGATATGCACGGTATTTCAAAAGATATGATTTAGAACTATCTCAAATAACTTTTTAGATTTATTGTCTAATTAAAGTAATGCTGAAAATATTTCAAAGTTTTATCTATAAAATGTTAGTCTTTTACGAGTGTGTAAAAAGGGAACTTAACAAATTTATTTTGTTGTCCGTAAAGTTTATATTTGGAAAACAAGATTATTTATACCTTTTTTTATTTTATCAAAATTGTGTTTATTTTTTTTTATTTGTTTCAATAGTTATATTTGAATGGTTTTATGTCACGTAAAAACTTAGAATGTAATATATATGATTTATCGTGTTAAAAAACCAAAAACGTGTGCATGCATTTACACCCTTTCTCAAACCACTGCATCCGCTCATATATGGGTGTGACACCAAGACTCGGTTCATTTTGGCTATACATATGTATTGTGATATTCTTCCAAGTTTTTATCCGAATTGATTACAACAACCAAATATAAAAAAATTTCAAGTTCTTCCAAGTTTTGCCTGCTTTAAGTCCCTATCAGATTGACTTGTGTGCCATTAATATATAACTCTTTTTAACAGCTTAACATATAATTTCTTTATAAAAATCAAATAATTAATTTTGTCCATTATTACAGATTTTGTCTGAACAATTTCTTTTTATAATAAGTGCTATATAGTTAAGAACCCCTTACTAGAGATCAAGAACAAATACGATAAAGTGAACGAGAGATCAAAACCAAATATGAGTTTAAGCGTTGAGCTCAAAGATCTAGAGGATTTAACATCGAACGCGAAGCAAATACAAGATGATGTATTGAAAGAGATACTCACACTTAACGCCAACACAGAGTATCTCCACCGCTTCCTAAATGGAAGCACTGATAAAGATTTGTTCAAGAAGAACGTACCGATTGTGAGCTACGATGATGTCAAGCCTTATATCGAACGTGTTGCGAACGGAGAGCCTTCGGATGTGATTTCGGGCGGGCCTATAACTAGATTCGTCCGAAGGTACATAACTTTTTCTAATTAGTAGAGAAATTAGTTCATTGGTATGACTGATCTAAATAGCTAATATAAACATGATTATGAACAATTGTTGTGTGTAGCTCCGGGACTTCAGGTGGGAAACAAAAGATATTTCCAACGAATGATAAGTACAGTGAGAAGCTGGGATACCTTATGGCTCTATCCTCTCTCGTTATTTCCAAGTAACTACTACTTTGCTACACAAATGATAAGTTATACATATTGGTTCATAGATTTCAATTGATTTAGAAATCCAAAACAAATATGTTAGTTTGGAACATATTTTAAATCTTTAAGTAATATATCATTGTGAAAGTTTCAACCAATCAATGAACATGTTAAAATGTAGATAAATTTATTTATTCTTTTTTCTTTAGCTCCACCATTAAAATTAACTTGTTTTATGTACTTTATAGGCATTTCAATGGCAACGTTTCTCATAAAGGAAAGAAAATGGGGTTTCTTTACAACAGATTAGAAACCAAAACTCCCTCCGGATTACTCGTTTCTTCCGCATTTGCAACCTATTTCATGAGCGATTACTTCAAAAACCGGTCATCAAAATGTAATTTAGAGTACACTAGCCCCGACCAAATCATATTGTGCATCGACATCAACCAAAGTGTGTATTGTCATCTTCTATGCGGCCTTTCACAGAGAGACAAGGTTGTTGGAGTTTGTGCTACCTTTGCTTATGCTTTGGTTCAAGCAATCAATGTTCTTCAAATTAGCTGGACTGAATTGTCCAATAATATCCGATCAGGTCAAGTTAGTGAGTGGATCACTGACCTTGACTGCAAAAATGCGGTCTCAACCATTCTTGGGGGACCTAACCCCGAATTGGCTGATGTTATCGAACAAGAATGCAGCCACAAGTCATGGGAAGGTATCATCACTCGACTTTGGCCCAAAGCAAAATATATTGAATGCATCATTACAGGACAAATGGCTCAATATGTTCCAACATTGGAGTTTTATTCCAAGAAACTTCCTATAGTTTCCCCAATGTATGGATCTTCAGAAAGTTTATTTGGGATAAATTTGGATCCTTTATCCAAACCACAAGATGTATCCTACACCTTTGTGCCGGACTTCTCATACTTCGAGTTTCTACCAGTTGATCATGAGGGAGATATTGTTGATCTTGTGGACGTCAAGTTAGGGTGTTACTATGAACCTGTGGTCACTAATTATTTTGGTCTACAAAGATATCTTATTGGCGATATTCTACAGGTGACTGGATTTTACAATGCCACACCTCAATTTAGATTTGTACGTAGAAAGGATATGGTTTTAAGCGTCGATGTTGAAACAACAACTGAAGACGACATTTTAAAGGCGTTGGCTCGTGCAGCCCTTGTTCTTGAGTCTTCAAGTTATATGTTGATGAGCTTCACATGCTATGCTGACATCTCCACTTGTCCAGGTCACTATGTTTTTTACTGGGAACTCAAAGCTAAAGATGGTAAGGATGTTGTCGAACTTGATGAAAAAGTATTGGTGGAATGTTGTTCTGCATTAGAAGAATCCTTTGATGCTCTTTATAGAAGATTTAGGAGTCATGGAATAATTGGAGCTTTAGAGATAAGAGTGGTGCAACAAGGAACATTCGATTCTCTCATGGAATATTTTGTCTCCCAAGGTGGTTCGATTGCTCAGTACAAGACACCTATGTGTATCAAATCTTCTGAAGCCTTTGCACTTCTTGAAAGTAAGGTTCTCGCTAGATTCCACAGCGAACAATCTCCTCCTCTTGAGTTTTAGTTCTATGTGTGTTTAAGTTCTTTTAATAAATACGTCATTGTCATTTACCTAATTTCTCTTAAAGTTATTGCTATTTAAAAAATACACTTTATAAAAATAATAAGACAGACAAAGTGTTAGTTAAGAGTTAAGACAAGGGATATATAAAATTAAAGGTTCCTTTTTATAATAACCATTAGTGATGGACCCGCACGTACGTGCGGAGTTATTTTTACAAAATTACGATTTGTTAAGTAGAGGCTATTTTGGTAAAATTTTGTTATATGAGTTTATTTGATAAACTATATATAGACACACAGTTGTAAAATATAGATATTGTATTACATAATACAATTTTAAAATTATTTAAATGAAAATGATAAATGATATTACTTGTTTATTTTCTAAACTAATCAAAATATTTCACTGTTTGCTTAGAGATGTTAAATCGGATTTGGGTTTGGCTTTAGTTTGAATGTTTTATGTGTAGTTTAGAATGGAAAACCCGTCCTGTCCCTTTCCGTCTTGTCCTGAACCGTCCCACCCCGCCCCGTCCCGTCCCGTCTTCTATCTGTCATAAAATTTCTGTCCTGTAATCATTTCTTTTTAAAACATAATCATTTGCCAGTATTTATTATAAGAAACTTGGTAAAATATTTAGACGGGATACCCGTATTTCTCGTTTAAATATTTTTTTTTATCAAACTAAAAAAAAATCTGATTATCAATCTAAGGCCTCGATTGGTAACCATGATTTAGGAAAAAAATGAGAAGGAATGTGACATTCCTCTTCATTCCTCAATTTTTTTACCATTTACAAGGAATCATTTTTCCACATCATTCCTCTACATTCCTCACAAAATGAGGAACAATAGAACAAAAATGTTCCTCCCCAAAATTGATGAGGAACAAATGGAACAAAAAAAAGAACAAATATTAAAATTCGTTTTTATTTTAAAATAAATAAAAAATTATTTATTAATAATATTTTAATCTCATAATATAATATTTTTCATATTTTTATCATGTATTGACATTAAAAAATATTTTTGATATGAATTTCATGTTAAAAAATCTTACTATACATTGTTTAAAATTTGTATGGATAGTAAAACATATTTAAGAGATGTTTATATCATAAATAACAAATAAAAAATTACTATAATCTATAATAGGTTAATATAAATTATTAATTTTTAACATTAAATATTTAAATTCATTCAAAAATATATTTTAAAATTAGTGTCAAATTCATTATATATAAATTATATCTAGTATTATTATTAAAGTTGATTTATTTAATCAAATATATTATAAAAGATAGTGTTATTGTTTGGTTACCATTTATTATTTTGTTTTTCTCTATTAAGGGACAATCAAATTAATAGTATAGATGAAAAAATGATTGATAAGGGACAATCAAATTAAACTAACCTAAAAACTTTTCCATTGACAGTTTTAATTTTGTTTATGCCATTCGTTAGTTATAATATATTATCATGTTTCTATCTTTTAAGATACAAATAGATCAACATATTTGACAGCCTAACAAGTTCTGACTTGCGTAATTATATTCTACTACAATTAAAAACATATCGGTTGTTACATTTTCTAATACAAATTAGTCCATGTACTGCTGCTATATACTGAACCCCATAGCAGAGATGAGAGATCAAACCATATATAGATTAAAAAGTAATTTATTGAAGGATGAGTCCTAGTTCTAATCTGATGGATCTGGAAGAGCTAACATGGAACGCAAAGCAGATACAAGAAGACGTTTTGGAAGAGATACTCACACTTAATGCCAACACTGAGTACCTCCATCGCTTCCTCAAAGGTAGCTCCGACAAAGAGCTTTCTAAAAAGAATGTACCTGTGGTCACATATGAGGATGTTAAGCCTTATATCGAACGTGTTGCGAATGGAGAGCCCTCAGATGTGATTTCGGGTGGACCTATTACTAAGTTCCTCCGAAGGTGAAAATATTACCACATGAGTAATTAATAGCTCAACTAGTTTTGATTTGAAGCTGTTGGTTCATGGTTGGTATGACTCATATATGCAAGTAGTCTATTCGTTTTTGTAGCACCGGAACTTCAGGAGGGAAACAAAAGATATTTCCTGTGAACGATAAGTACACTGAGAAGCTTGGATACGTTATTGCTCTACAATCTCACGCTTTATCCAAGTAATTCCTTATCTAAAGTGTTATTAACTTACGTTGTTATGCTATTAGATAGACATAACCTTATTGTAGTTCATATGAGTTTGCTTTTGCTAAGAAAAGTTTCATATTCATCAACTTTAAAGTGTAAAAGGTGAATCATCTCGTTCTGGATTATAGGCATTTTGATAGCGGTGGCGAGCAAGGAAAGGCGATGGAGTTTCATTGCACTAAACGGCCATCGGAATCACCTTCTGGTTTACCAATTACTGCAGTATTTTCAAGCTTCTTCATGAGTGATTACTTCAAAAACCGGCCATCAAAGTGTAGTTCTCAGTACACAAGCCCCGACCAAGTTATATTGTGCCCTGACTACAAACAGAGTATGTACTGCCATTTTTTATGCGGGCTTGTCCAGAGAGACAAGGTTGTGAGTGTTGGTGCAACCTTTGCTTTTGTCTTGGTCCGAGCAATCGATTTTCTTAAGAATTACTGGAAGGAATTGTGTAGCAACATCCGGTCAGGTAATGTTAGTGAGTGGATCACTGACCTTGATTGCAGAACCGCTGTCTCAAACATTCTTGGAGGAGCTAACACCATATTGGCTGATTTGATTGAGCAAGAATGCAACAACAAGTCATGGGAAGGTATCATCACTCGACTTTGGACCAAAGCCAGATATATTGAATGCATTATTACAGGACAAATGTCTCAATACATTCCAATATTGGATTTTTACTCCAACAAGCTTCCTCTAGTTTCCACAACATATGGGTCTTCTGAAAGTACGTTTGGGATGAATGTGGATCCTCTATGCAAACCACAAGATGTCTCCTACACATTTGCACCAAACATCTCCTACTTCGAGTTTTTACCTGTTGATCATGAGGGAGACATGGCCAGCATTGTTGATCTTGTTGATGTCAAGTTAGGGTGCTACTATGAACCTGTTGTCACTAACTATTTTGGCTTACATAGATATCTTATTGGAGATATTCTACAAGTGACTGGATTTTACAACAGCACACCTCAATTTAGATTTGTACACAGAAAAAATGTGGTTTTAAGCGTTAGATCGGAGACCACAACTGAAGAGGAGCTTTTGAAGGCATCGGCTAACGCGACCGTTGTTCTTGAATCTTCAAATCTAATGTTGGTGGGATTCACATGCTATGCAGATATCTCCACTTTTCCAGGTCACTATGTCTTCTACTGGGAACTCAAAGCTAAAGGCGTTAACAATGTTTTCGAGATTGATAAGAACGTAATGGTGAAATGTTGCTCTGCATTAGAAGAATCATTTGGTGAAGTGTATAAAAAAAATAGGAGTGAAGATGGAGCTATAGGAGCTCTAGAGATAAGAGTGGTGCAACAAGGAACATTTGATTCTCTCATGGAATATTTTGTCTCCTTAGGTGGTTCGATTGCTCAGTACAAAACACCCTTATGTATCAACTCTTCATCCGAAGCTTTAGCAGTTCTTGAAAACAAGGTTCTTACTCGATTCTACAGCGAAAGACCTCCTCCTCTTGACTCATAGTTGTTTGTATTCTATATGCTTTGAATAAACCAAATTGTTACATGTTCTTTATGTTGAGGGGCTTGAAAGCTTAAGCTTTAAATTTGGTTTACACGGACTAATAATAATAATACATTGCTGCTGTGAGTAATAAGCCTGTCTTGGATTTATGAAACTGGGCCAAAAACTACTTCGACCCAAAACAAAAAGGCCCATTAAATAACTCTCATCGTCTTCTTCCCCGTCGTGGCCGTCATTTGAAAGGGTTGTGGCAATTACGCAGCCTCACAAAAACCTCACCTTTTCATCAAACTCAAAACACCATTGTCTCTGTTTTTAACTTCACACAAGAAACAGAGACGAGTGTTTTGGTTGTGAAAAGACAACTCTTTTAGCATTTTCAGATGTTCTAGTCTCGTAAAAAATGCCTTACTACTCCGCAATTTTCCGAGGACATATCAGACCTAACACCGTCGTCGGTGCTGCCTCCATGTTTATTCAACATAGCTCCGTCCAGCTTCATCAGAGCCCTAAATTGTTGTTAAGACCTTCATCTGTGGTTAGGTCTCTTCATTGTCGGAGGTCAGGTGGGTTGGTTACGCATTCTCAGAGGTCGAGGGTCTTGTCTGTGAAAGCAGGTCGTGGTGATGCTTCTTCTTCGACTCTTGGAATAGAGTGGAGAGCAGCTAATTTACCATACTTTCAGAGGCAGAACTCTAGCTATGGGCGTATTGCTTACAATGACTACGAATCAAGCGATGAGTCGGACCGAGATGTTGGGTCTTCTCAGTCTCAGCAAATGGTTAGTTGGATTGAATCTGTTAAAGGGTGTTTTGTGGTTTCTTCAACACTTGTCAAGTTTGGTAAATTTGAGGTCTTTTTTTGTTTTATAGGCGGGTTCGACTCTTGATAATATTGAGCAATGGAGGTTTAAACTAACTATGCTTCTCCGGAACAAAGAAGACCAAGAAGTTGTGTCAAGGGAGAGAAAAGATCGGCGTGATTTTGACCATATCTCAGCTATGGCAACCAGAATGGGATTACACAGGTAAGTTTTTGTTATGTTACCATATATGTCCTTGAAGTTGAGGTTTTTATACTCTTTGCATAGTTCAATCTAGTGTTTATAGAGATATCTTCTGTTGTTTGCAGCCGTCAGTATTCAAAGATTGTTGTCATTAGCAAATCTCCTTTGCCAAATTATAGACCTGACCTTGATGATAAACGTCCACAAAGAGAGGTATTTTTAGTGATTCTTAGAAGTTGTTGTCGTTCTTTACATGCGTTTGTGTCTACCTTTTGTTTACGAGGATATGGAGCTTAAATAGTTAAGTTTCTTACATGTTTTTATGCTTTGTTAATTTTCATGGCGTCTTGGATATAAAAGGTGGTCTTGCCTTTTGGTCTACAAAGCGAAGTGGATGCCCATCTACATGCTTTCCTCGATCAGAAAAAAACATTGATTCCAGAGATTCCCAGGCCAAATAGTAATGAAGGTTTGTCAACCGATTATGGAAACTATGAGAAACCAGAGACCGTGATGCAAAATAGTCTTGCCAGGGAAAGAATACTCCGTCCAAGAAGCCTACAACTGAGGAGCAAGCAACAGCAATGGGTGGTTGGTTTCCCAGAAGCTGTAGCTATTTTTTCACATATGCTGTGAATCATATGCCTTTTTCATACTTAGTTGAATATATTTCTGTGTCCTTTGGCAGGATTCTCCAGAAGGCCAGAAAATGATAGAGTTTCGCAAAACCCTTCCTGCTTACAAAGAGAAAGATGCTCTGCTGAAAGCCATTGCAGCAAACCAGGTGAACTGCAAAACTTCCATTTATTTCATGTAAATATATCAATCAACTAATCTCTAACTGTTTGGCACCCTGTGTATCATGTGCCTCTTGCAGGTTGTAGTGGTTTCTGGAGAAACTGGATGTGGTAAAACAACTCAGCTTCCCCAGTACATATTAGAATCTGAGATCGAGGCTGCCCGTGGAGCTTCATGCAGCATCATATGTACCCAGCCTAGAAGAATATCTGCTATTTCTGTTTCTGAACGAGTTGCTGCAGAACGTGGAGAACAAATAGGAGATTCTGTAAGTTATACGATCTTTTCATGTGCAATTTTGTGAGTTATTTTGACACTGGAATATTTGATGTACTTATGTTTGATTTGTTGGAATGAAAAAATCTGATTTCACACTATAACCTAAGAAAGAATTCTATATTGTGATAATACTATTTTTGAGGTTGATTTGCACTCTCTCCTCTTGGAAGGTTGGCTACAAAGTGCGGCTTGAAGGAATGAGAGGCAGAGATACACGTCTACTTTTTTGTACAACTGGTGTTTTACTTAGAAGGTTACTTGTGGATCGTAGTCTGAAGGGTGTGACTCATGTTGTAGTTGATGAGATTCATGAACGTGGGATGAATGAAGGTAAAATTTGGTATTATACTACTACGTTATTTTACTAAAGGGGATCCGTGTGTATACTGCCAGTACCATATTAATCCACTCTTTCTTTTTGTCAGATTTCCTTCTTATCGTCCTGAAAGATCTCTTACCTCGTCGACCTGACCTAAAGCTGATTTTAATGAGTGCTACTTTGAACGCTGAGCTCTTTTCTTCTTACTTTGGTGGTGCACCAGCCATGCATATCCCAGTAAGTTTGTGCACTTATTTCTTTTGGTAAACATTATCCATACCTGGTGAAATATACTCCTTTTATAGAGTACTATTTGAACTAAAGTGAAAATTTCCGTACAGGGTTTTACATACCCTGTCCGAGCCCATTTCTTGGAGGATTTCCTTGAGAAGACTGGGTACAGGCTGACAGCATATAATCAAATTGACGATTATGGTGAGGAAAAGACATGGAAGATGCAGAAGCAAGCTCAATTCAAGAAAAGAAAATCCTCTATATCTTCTGCTGTTGAGGTACAATTTTGTTTTAAATTACACTACGGAATTTGTAATTTCTCAGGGTTTTTGCTTAAAACTTAAAAGTATGCTTCTTCCAAATTTGTGAGCAGGATGCTCTTGAAGCTGCAGACTTCAAAGGATACAACTTTCGTACTAGAGATTCTTTGTCATGCTGGAGTCCTGATTCAATAGGCTTTAACCTCATTGAGAATGTGCTTTGTCACATCGTCAAAGGAGAGAGACCTGGTGCTGTTTTGGTATTCATGACCGGTTGGGATGATATAAACTCCTTAAAGAATCAGCTTGAAGCTCATTCTCTTCTAGGAGATCCGAACAAAGTTTTGTTGCTTGCCTGTCATGGATCCATGGCCAGCTCTGAGCAGGTAATTCTAGTATCCACTCTTTACTATCGATGCATACAAGTACAAGATGTGATAAAAATTTATTCTACGCTTGCTATCATTTTTTTTTATGATGTTTTCCTTTTCTTTCCGACAGAGGCTGATTTTTGATAGACCTCCAGAAGGAATTAGGAAAATAGTGCTGGCCACCAATATGGCTGAGACAAGTATCACCATCAACGATGTCGTATATGTCATTGATTGTGGTAAAGCAAAAGAGACGTCTTATGATGCCCTTAACAATACGCCTTGTCTCCTTCCATCTTGGATTTCGAAGGCAGCTGCTCGCCAAGTAAGAGACAGAAATTGATAATTGAAGCTTAAATGTTTTTGTGATTCACCTTCTCATGTAGTGGTAAATAACTGTGCCATTTCTTTTCCTCTATTACAGAGAAGAGGAAGAGCTGGTCGTGTTATGCCTGGAGAATGTTATCACCTCTATCCTAGATGTGTCTATGATGCTTTTGCTGACTACCAGCAGCCGGAACTCCTTAGGACACCGTTGCAGTCTTTATGTCTTCAAATTAAAAGCTTAAGACTCGGAAGCATTTCAGAGTTCCTTTCCAGGGCATTGCAACCTCCTGAAGCACTATCGGTATTTTTCTACTGCAGTTTTTTATTTCTCTCCTCGTTGGGTTTTCCTTTGGGGTTTAACATCTATTGTTGATGGTTATGTTGATTTTCAGGTCCAAAATGCTGTTGAGTATCTAAAGATCATTGGGGCTCTTGATGACGATGAAAATTTAACAGCTTTAGGTGTGTTTCTGTTGGAGTTGTTTTGTTATTTAAATGTCTGGTTTCTCAAATTCTGGCAGGAACTCATTATATTCTCTATGCAGGGAAAAATCTGTCTATGCTTCCGGTGGAGCCGAAACTTGGAAAAATGCTTATTTTAGGGGCTATCTTCAACTGCCTAGATCCAGTAATGACAGTTGTAGCTGGTCTAAGTGTCAGAGACCCATTCCTTATGCCATTTGACAAAAAAGATGTAAGTTTATAGTTAATATTCATGTGATTCATTCAATTAACTGGAGGCTAGCGGAAACCATTAAGTGCCTCTAATTATTGACCTGATTCCTGATTTCTTTTATCGCAGCTGGCAGAAACAGCAAGGTCCAAGTTCTCTGGCCGTGATTACAGTGATCATTTGACATTAGTTCGAGCATACAGTGGTTGGAAAGCTGCTGAAAGAACACAGTCTGGGTATGATTACTGCTGGAAGAACTTTCTCTCATCTCAAACTCTTAAGGCCATGGACTCTATGCGTAAACAATTCTTCAATCTCCTCAAGGAAGCATCTCTGATTGATAACATAGAAGGTTGCAGTAAGCTGAGTCATGATGAACATCTTGTCCGCGCAATCATTTGTGCTGGCCTGTTCCCTGGAATTTGTTCTGTTGTTGTGAGTCATCTTCGCCTTTGCATTTAGTTTTCACCTCTTTCTCTTTCCTAAGTTTTGTAATTTAACCCTACAATAAAACTATCCTAAACAGAATAAGGAAAAGTCAATCACGCTCAAGACAATGGAAGATGGACAAGTGCTTCTATACTCGGTGAGTCCATCTTTTTAGCTTACCAGTCTTCAAATTCCCCTCAGAATGGAGATCCTTAACTGCTTACCAACACCTGCTTTTTATATTTTCCAGAGTTCTGTGAATGGCAATGTACCAATGATTCCCTTCCCTTGGCTAGTCTTCAACGACAAAGTGAAAGTCAATTCTGTGTTCCTGCGCGACTCTACTGCTGTATCTGACTCTGTGCTTCTTTTGTTTGGAGATAAAATCTCTTCCGGTGGATTTGTAAGCTATAATCCCTTACTATTATGTCAAATTCATTGTTGTTCTTATTTTTACATCTGATTTACATCATGTCATCTCTGTGTTCCCCAAAGGATGGTCATCTCAAAATGCTTGGAGGATATCTAGAGTTTTTCATGAAACCTACTTTAGCATATACATACCTTTCGTTAAAAAGAGAGCTCGACGAACTTATTCAAAATAAGGTATGTTCCAACCCTAGTCTTGAGTATATACATCTTTTGTTGTCTTTATGGTCTTTGAAAAAGTTTGTTTCACGTCTTTTCTACAGCTTGTGAATCCAAAACTTGATATTCAACCATACGACAAACTTATGACTGCCATTAGATTACTTGTGTCGGAGGACCAATGTGAGGGCAGATTCGTCTATGGGCGGAAAGCTCTAAGCCCTAAACCGACAAAGAATTTAAAAGAAGTAGGGACTCAGCTGCAGAACAGCGGCGGTGAAAACAACAAGAACCAACTTCAGACATTGCTCGCCCGAGCAGGACACGGATCACCTGTGTACAAGACAAGACAGCTTAAGAACAACCAGTTCCGTGCTATGGTTACCTTCAATGGATTGGATTTCATGGGAAAACCATGTGGTAGTAAGAAAAATGCTGAGAAGGATGCAGCTCATGAGGCTTTGTTGTGGTTACAAGGGGAATCCAAGTCGAGTCTGAATGACCTTAATCACATGTCAATGCTCTTGAAGAAGAACAAAAGTAAAAAACCTGCAAGGGCATCATCAGCTAAATGGGGTTAAGGGTTCATAGGAGAGAACCAAAGAGAAAAATTGAACCTGCGATGGTATGGATTCTTACCAACCTCATGATCTCTCAGGTGTAAATGTCAGAAAGGATCATGACCAGTAGATTCTTTCAGACAACATACTGAGTTGAGAGGGCTTGGTCGATTTTGGTTGAAGTTTTCAGATATGCAGATGATTTTGTTATGAGTTCTTGGTTCGGTTGGAAAATCAAGAAGCCAACCAAGAAGTATCTTCACTGCTCTTTAACAAATAGCTCTGTAGGTTCTTGCTGAGTAGTAAGATCGAAAGAGAGTGGCTCGTGGAACTGGTCTTGTTATGTCTCTATGTTCTTGTTTTAGTTTAAGTCTTACTTAAAGCCTATGATTCTTCTTCTTTATCATTGTATACACATATATACATATATGATCTTATGTAAGATAATTAACCAGAGACTACAACATTTTTATCGTGTATCTTCTAAATTGTCTAACTTTTCCTCGTTTGTGTTCCATCATTCTATCGATTAGTTTGGAGTTAGAAAAGGATTATGCAGTAATTATATATTGCTTGTAGCTTGACAATGGAAGTTAATAGGGTTCTGTCTTTCTACATTTAGGGTTTCTGAATTACTTTCTACGCTTTTGGTCAGCACACAGACATGGCGGACACAGTAGAGAAAGTCCTCGCCACTGAGTCATCCTCTCCTCCATAAAAGCAGCATCAATCAGCCACGAGGGAGAAGAAAAAGTTAGGCACTGTTCCACATTCGAAACACGAATGGAAAATTCGATAAAAATCAATGTAGTATTTGTATTTGCTAAAGAAAACCCAAATTTTGTCTAGTTGTAGATGGTGTTATTAGAGAAAAATGTAATCAAGAGAAGAAACTGTAATCTTTGGATTGAATAATGATTTGCCTTAAACCTCCTATCGATGATAAGATCATCAGAATAACTCCAAGCACTATACATACCTGTTACATAATAACCAATCTCATTGTTAGCATTTTTCTTTACGCTAATTAAGCACTAATTTGATATTACGAATTTGGACAAAAGATAAGATACATTACCCAATTCATCCACCACGACAAGCTAAACTTCTTTGGTTTATAGATTATCAGCCACATTATGCAAGGAAGCTGCATAACAAAGTTTATCATATATTAATTTACTTTTATAACATAAAGTTCAAAATTCACTAAGTAATATGTTTTACACACTTACAAAATACGTTGTTGGAGCAAACGCGAATCCTCCGAAGAAAGCCAGAAGGCCACCAAAAAACGGTATCATTATCGCAATGAACATCGTTAAAGCTGTTCTCAAATATATAGAGAATGTTGTTTAGATTCATATAAGCTATGCATCTTATAACCTTTTAGGAAAATGTTATGAAGCAGAGTACTATAGAGTATATATTAGACCAACGTACTTACCAACATAAACATTTCGTACAACGAAACGAAGAATCGTAGTGGGTTTGAAATTCAGTTTCTTAACCAAATATGTCTCGACCATGTCGAAAACCGGCATTGCGAATATCTGCAATGTTCGAATGTATATTTAGAACATAACATTTTCGCAATGTGTCTCATGTGTAGTGAAATTTAGCTAGACTAACATTTTAAAGTTATTGGACTGACCTGGTAACTACCAATGACATGCATGACAACAAACAAGTTAGCAGCTGCGATGGCCCAAACGGGCGTTTCAAGGGACATCAAAACGTTATCCAAAACAGCATTTCCGAACACGCCGTATCCAACCAAAGCAACGGGGAAATAACACAAGGCAACAACCACGTAAGCCACCACGACTCCTCTCCACATAGGACCTTTAGATGGGTTGTTTGGAGTAGAAGGTATCGTTGCTTGGATCTCAAGGACAACATTGTGACCTGCATAAGCAAACGCAATGCCCCCAAGCCCCGTGAAGAAGCTTAAGACCGTTGACGCGGGCGTGCCTGATTTGTAACCGTATTGAACATCTTCTTGAACCCCTTTTGCGGCTGTTGCTGTCCAAGCAATTGTCGAATAACTAAAAAACCAAAAAACGTAAATGATGATTGATATACAACTTTTTCAGAAATATGTTTCATGATTTTTTTTCTAGTATGATAATAAGTATACCTAAGTGACATGACAGCGGCGACAAGAGAGACACCAGAGATGGAATCGAAGTTTGGGAGATGAGATAAAACGAAATGAGAAGAAGCAAATATCATTACGAAGAAAGAAAGTCTGATCGGTGAGCAATCTTTACACACGAGTTCATGAAACTTCTTCAGTGATTGTCCTCCGGTCACCATATAAACTATGCATACTCCAACCTTAATTGGTTCAAGTAACAAAAATCAAGATTTGCATAGTTTTAAAACTAAGTAATTTTGTATACAATCGAATTGGGAATTAATCAATGCTTACTTCGACAACGATTTGCTGAGGAACAATGATATAAAGGCCAAGACGTTCCCCAAACGCGAACTGGCCAAGTTCGTGGTAGCGGTCAAAGCGTTTTCCAGGAACCATCTCATGCATCTCCACCATTTGCCATAATGTGTAGAGTGTTATTATCCAAGATAGTATCAACACTGTTATGCCAGGTCCCCTAATATGTATAACAAGATCATGTAAAATCTCCAATATATGGTTTTGATTATATATATTATATGAAATAATGTGCAAACTTTAAATCGGAAGTATTGTGATTGTTGTAACTTAGAAGGAAAATTAATTAGATACATATATTCAGAAATACATATTTTGTTTAAGAATAAAAGTTTGAAAAGATTTGATGAAACAAATATGTGGATAACAAGAAATGCAAATGCAAATGTGGCTAGTAGCGTACCATCCGAGTTGGGCCATGGAGTAAGGGAGACCAAGGACGCCAGCTCCAACCATGGCAGTCACATTGTGAAAAGTGGAGTACCACCATTTCGCGTTTCTCGATGAAGTTATCGGAAGCCAATCATCTATCTCTTTCTGTCTCTCAAGCTCTTCAATCTGGTTGTAATCAACAAAAAGAAAGATCAAGATTAACCTTCATAACCAAAGCAAACTAGATATTTTCAAAAAGGGATTGCGAATGAAAGGGTGATTTGACCGACCCGGTGGTCTAACGAACTTTGCTCCGGCGGTGGAGGAACTCCGTTTGTCATCTGAATGTACATTTTTCCGGACAAGTGTGACAACTCTAACACTTTGGTTCTCTGGTAATCTCATAAATGACCGATATATTTGTGTATAAATATTGTACTTGTAGATGTAGATTGGAAATATCAACCTTGGTTCCGTTGACTTGTGTACAAGACCCGGCCGCAATGGAGGGATCGTGGACACTTTAAATGTTACATATTTACAAGTTCAAAAACGAAAGTTCCTTTACTTATTTTATAATCAAAGTTTCCAACTAAAAAAATGTTTTCTTCTAACCATAACAAAGAAAAGAAGTAAATTAACTTGGATTCTACAAGGCTACAAGCTCAACAAAACACAAAAATTCCTGCATTTCTTGGAAGCTAATAAGACCCCCAAAAAAGAAAGCAAATCGCAAACACTTTGGGGAATATGCTAAGGGAACAAAGAAAAGTTGCTATTGCGGCATATTAGCGTATAAAAGGGTAAAAAAGAGTTTAACTTCAGGCAGATCTCTGATGAGTTGTAAGAACTGGTTCTTGCTTGGTTCAACTGTAATCACATGCATTGTCTTCTCAATGTGTGGTAAGACCTTTGCCAATGGTTTCCCTGTAGCCAAACCACCTGCTACAGTCTGCATTTCCATTTCCTCTATCAACGCGTCCGTGAAACACTTGAGCGAAATTTCCACTATATTTGTGAATTCAGTGCTGCAACAAGAAAGATACAAAGAGATAAGTTTATTCCACAATCATACATTAGTTTAATAAAGAGGAAAATTTGTGTGTTAATCTTAGCAGAGAGACATTTCTTACCTGATGAGTACTTCTCTGGTCTCAACCATAAGTTGATGAAACTTGGACATAGATTCATCAGAAGAGTCACCACTTGTGTTTCTTGAAAGCTGTTTGTCTTGAGGCATCATTAAATAATCAACCCAGTGATGTGGACTCCCAGTGCTCATAAACACATCCATAATCCGCATCACAGTTTCTTGAAGAACTCTTGTGGTAATTACATCTTTTAACTGCTTTCTGCAACACAAACTTATATATGTTAGCTTCTCCCAATTAATGTCAACTTATGATGATCTGCATATGCATTAAGGAAGGTACCCTTTAAGAACTTCCCTCGCTGCATCCTGCATATCTGAAATCAAACTTGGCATTGCATTGGTGACAAGAAAATCAGCACTAGACAAAAACTTCTGTTCATCATTTCTATCAATGAGATCTAACTCTTCCTGCCAAACAAAAAAAAACATGAAAAAACTGTTAAAAGCTCACACGGCAAGCAGATCACAGGACAAGCAGGAACTTTAAAAGGTAACCAGAACTATGTCAAAGACTAAAAAGAGTACAACACTTCAATTTTTCAGAAGGGAAAAGAAAGAGTAGGTGACTCCAAAATCTTAATCCAAATCAGCCAGAACCACTAGAGACGTGATTGTACAAGGTCTCAAAGAAATAGACCAATGAGTTTTCCCTAGAAATAGCTTGTTGGGGATGGAATAAGTAAAGTACACTGACTTCATGCTTGCGACCAAATGGGAGCAGGAAAGAGCATGCGCAGTATCGATTAATACAAAGAAGAGTGGGAAGCATATTATCTTACAAGTACATGAGAGCGGCCAAGAGCTCGCGCGGTGTCAACGTACAAATGTCTGCCTAAAATGTTGACTTGAACCCTAATATATAAGCTAAGCATTGTCACAGACCACAGAGACAAAACCATCCTCGTGAAACCTGGCAAATAACAACACATAATAACATGAATACATGTAAGAAACAGAAAATTTTGATAAGAGTAAGTAGGTGACTGCAGTGCATACTCAAAATCTTAAGCTCGTCCCAGAGCTGAAGCTTCTCAGGTGGACTCAACAGTCCTTTCCCTTTGTTCAGTCTCTCCATAACATCAGAGACATCGATCTCTTCGCTTATGCGGACACTTAAATACTGCAATGTGTGAGGCAGTGTGGTCGAATCCACAATCAACTGTATATTCTCGAAATGTGCCTTCATTCTAAAAGAACATAAACAGGACAGATCAGTAAGAGAAACCATAAGAACAGAGAATTCAAAAGGCTGAGTTTTAAATTAGCTCAGAACTTAACTGGTTTTTGATGAGTTCGTCATTTTCACGCTCGTAAGCGAGTTCTCGTTCCAAATCAGCAAGCCTACGAGTATGGGAATTGTATAGTTTGTAGAGCAAATACCCACTTCCTAAACAACCAGCCGTAACCAAGACCTTTCTTCTATGCTTCCTCCAAAAACCCCTAATTTAATTATCACAAGGTATCGAATCAATTAAAAACCCTAACTTTATTCACCATAAACCCTTTCCTAAGGAATTGGAAGTATTGGAGAGAGAACGCAAGAAACTAAATTTCGAATTTTCACGAAAACAGTAAACAATTATAAAGAAGGATGAAGAGAACAAGAACCTGACGAAATCCATGGCTGCTGGTGACGCTTACTTACTCTGAAGTCGAACCGAGAGATGCATAGCTGAGAAAAAACACGAAGAAAGATGAAAATTCACGAATTGGGTTGCCTCGTTCGCTCGGCTTGATAAAGGAGAAAACTTTGCAGGCGAGAGCGGTGATTTTTTGAGTCAGAGAGGTGATCGAATCAATGGATAAAACATGATAAAGAAAAAGAGGGTTTTAGTATAATCAATCATTTCATGTTATTCCCCAAAACGAGAGTCTTCTTCTTCTTCGAAGTTGTATCCCCCACGGTCGGGGCAGCAAGTCGAAGTTGTTGTGTTCGTACTTCTTACAACAAGCTGAAATGGCCCGAACTCGGTTTGTTTACTTTAATTGAACCGACTTTGTTTCTATTTCATCAGAAGCTTGTCGGTAGAGTTCTCTCTGTCTCATGACTCATATGGTTATCAAAACGACTTGTTAATAAGATTAAATCTAAATATGATTAAAAACTTACTTACAAAACCATATGGCTAATCAACTTTACTTACAAAACAGTCATTATTTTATTATTCCTAAGAGCATCCTTAAATGCATAAGTTTGAGGAAGTTTGAGGATGTAGCTTAGGAGTTTTTAGTATTATAATAGTGTAAGAGGTTCTGATAAGAACTAAAGTTTTTGAGTTAATTATTGGTTTAACCTGTAAAATCTTAAAAATTTAATAGTTTTATAATATAAAAAATTAAAATATTTAAAATAAAAAATAACTTTTAAATTGAAAGCATATAAAGAAACATAAAATTGATTTGGAAATCAAAAGAAACATAAAATACAATGCAACATTATTTTAAAAGAAAAACAATGAAGTGAAAATAATAAACATAAAAATATACAAACATATTTATTAAATCACACAAATATTATATTAAACTGATACAAAGTTTAAAAACCTTGTTAATTATTTGAAGAAAGAAGAAAATGAAAAATGTTTTTCTTTTTACAATGCTCTAACCACTCATAGAATTACACGTGGTATAAGATACCCCAACAAAATCTTCTTAACTACAAACCGGATATCTTTTCTCAATGCACTGTGCAATTATTTTGGATTTATAATATTGGTCTAATGCCCGACCGATTATAGTTTTAAGGATGAACTAAGGACAATCAATCTTTCATTACAAAACCTTGTTATTTAATTTTTATTATTTTAGGAGACAAATCACATCCTCTTCTAAAATTTTTATAATTCTTAATTATTTAATATGTGGGATGATTGATTCCTCAATAAGACATTCACAGCCAAAACAATAATGTCACTCCATAAGTCCATTGTAACAAGACATATTTTAAAGTTGAGATGATTAAAACAGCAATTAGCTCTATGAAAATCTCTTAATGCTGCATTCACAGACAAAACAAACACATCCCATTATAAAATGTAATTTTCAATATCAAGAATGATAGATCTACCGATGACAAAAAAAAAAGAAAGAAAGAAAAGAATGATAGATCTACTATCATCGTCATCACTCGAAAAAGAGAAGAAAAATCTACTTTGAGTTTAAAGCCCATGTACACTAATTCGGCCTTAAGTCTTGGCCCAAATAAGAAGACTCGAAAAAACCCTAATTATATTTTTTTTTGTCGGAGGTATAAAATCTCGTTTCTTGTTACCTCCATTTTGCTCTCCCTCTGTGTCGTCGCCTCACGAAACCCTAAATCCTATTCTCAAACCCTAAACCATGGCTGAGGGACTCGTGTTGAAAGGCACAATGTGTGCCCACACCGATATGGTCACCGCCATCGCCACTCCGGTCGATAATTCCGACGTTATCGTCACCTCGTCGCGTGACAAATCAATCATCCTCTGGAAACTGACAAAGGAAGACAAGTCTTACGGTGTTGCTCAGCGTAGGATGACTGGCCACTCTCACTTCGTCGAAGACGTTGTTCTCTCCTCCGATGGACAATTCGCTCTCTCAGGGAGCTGGGACGGTGAGCTCCGTCTCTGGGATCTCGCCACCGGAGAATCTACTCGTCGCTTCGTTGGTCACAAGAAGGATGTTCTCTCTGTAGCTTTCTCTACTGATAACCGTCAGATTGTGTCTGCTTCTCGTGATCGTACGATTAAGCTTTGGAACACACTTGGTGAGTGCAAGTACACCATTTCTGAAGGTGATGGCCACAGTGATTGGGTTAGCTGTGTGAGGTTTAGTCCTAACACTCATGAGCCAACCATTGTATCTGCTTCTTGGGATCGTACTGTGAAGGTGTGGAATCTCCAGAATTGTAAGCTTAGGAACACTCTTGCTGGTCACTCTGGTTACCTTAACACAGTGGCTGTGTCACCGGATGGTTCTTTATGTGCCAGTGGTGGGAAAGATGGTGTGATCTTGCTTTGGGATTTGGCTGAAGGGAAGAAGTTGTATTCTCTTGAGGCTGGCTCTATTATTCATTCACTTTGCTTTAGTCCCAATAGGTACTGGTTGTGTGCAGCAACAGAGAATAGCATTAGGATCTGGGATCTTGAGAGCAAGAGTGTTGTTGAGGATCTCAAGGTTGATCTCAAGGTTGAAGCTGAGAAGTCTGATGGTGCTGTTGGAACCGGAAACAAGACCAAGGTATACTTCTCTTCTGTTTTCTATAGTTATCATCTTGTGGTGAATTGTCTAGTTCTAAGTTTTGTTGCTGGTGAAACAAAAGTAATGCTGAGTTTTCCTCGGTTAGTTTCTACTCAGTTAGCCATTGCTCTAAAAGATGAGACTTTTTCTGAAAGAAATGCCTTAATTTTCTCATGGTATAGTTTAGTTTCTCAAGATGCATTTCTGATTTGATTGATGAACTATAGACAAGAGAGTATAGTTAGCTCTGGTCATAGATTTCTTAATTGTAATGTCGGAACTGATGTGATATGGGTTTAAAGTAACTGTTTCAGTCTAGGCTCTACTTGTTGCTTAATCTCTGTTCTGAGGTACATTGTGTTCTAACGTGGAATGCAAAATGCAGGTGATCTACTGCACAAGCTTGAACTGGAGTGCAGATGGAAACACTTTGTTCAGTGGCTACACTGATGGAATTATCAGGGTTTGGGGTATTGGTCGTTATTAGAGATGACAAGTTTATTTAATCTCTCCAATTTTTCCATCAGACTTTAAAAGTCTTCTCTTCTGAATTAGTGTTTTGAGGATTTATTTTTTGTTCTTTCGATTTTCGGAATCCACAAACATGATATTTTGATCCATTGGTTCTGTTTTCATATTTGTTTTTTTACACTTATGAGTACATTGCTTAGAATATTATTTGAAGTTGGTATACTCTCAAGCAGACAACTGTAAACAGCAGCAAGTTCAGTTGGCTACATCTCAATTACAACACAAACTCTCGAATTCCAAAAACTCTAAAGACCATTTCACAACCATTTGATCTATTTTGACCTACTGAATTTTACTTGGAAAGATAATGATAAAGAGTTAAAGACGACTCATAGAGAGGACTTTTGGACGAGGAAGGCATATGATACCAAAACTGAAGATGTACATCCATAAAGTTGTGTTCACGAATTCTCAGTTAACGTGACACCAAAGATGTACATACATACACTAGATTATAATATGTACGTACAGAAGACAGGCCAATCGTGGGCTTTAGCTGATTTCTCGTGCTAGCAATTGCCAATAAGCCACAAAAAGTGTTCATTAAAATTTTATTGACATTTTTAGATTTTTTTTTTTGTAATGTAAATATCTCAAATTCTTCTATATAATCTTTTAATTTTTAAAATGTATAGTTTCATGTTTTATCATATTGTTTTCAGTACATACTTGTTAATTTCCCAATTTTTAATATTTGAGAATTACTAAGGTTTACTTATGAGCTTAACAACATGTGTCAGAATCAGTTCCATCTACTTCTGAATAGCAAATTCCTTGTTTTCTTGTCAATGCTTTGGCTCAAACACTCACTTCTCATAATTAGCAAACATCTCAGCTAATTTTATGCAATTGTTGGCTTTTACTTTGCAAAAGAACGAAGAATCATTGATGAACAAGAAATGATTAATCAATAGATGCAAGTCGAGTGATGTGTATGCCTTCAATGCCAACATTTGTTTCAGCTTTGTTAACCAGTTGACTTAAAAATCTATGTCTATGAGTTGACTTAAAACCAGTTGAAGATTGCCTTGACGAATTTTTCGTAAAAATCTTTCAATTACTATATAAAATAGTGAAATACCATTTCATTTTTGGTTTTTTTTTTTTGTTAAACTGTGAAGTACCTACCATTTACGTGGGGAAAAAAGTATGAGATGGTGCATTTGGTGCTAATGCACATCATAATCCATTTAATCAATTTTTCATAGAACCAAAACTATTGATAAATCTTATTCTAAAAGAAAGTTAAAACTGAAAAAATTATAAATTTATTAGTATGAAATGTTTTTTTTTGAAAACTATTAAAATTAGAATTTTTTTATATATAGTATAAATTAATATGGTTGAATAGAAGAAACAAGAAAGGAAAAAAAAAACACTGCAAAGAAACACAAAACTCAATTTTTATAACCAAAAACAAAACGCCACGTCATCGATCCGTGTCGTAAACCGGCACCAAAATACACTTTCAACGGTCAGATTTTAACTCTTCACAACCTTTCGTCGTTCTCATCTCTCTCTCTCTCTCTCAACCTAACTTATTTTTATTTTAATCTTCTCCCTCTCACAAAACTTTTTAATTTTATCTGAAAAATTTAAAGAGAGAAAAAACTTTAAAACAAAAAAAAAAAGGACAAAAAAATCCTAAAATCAAAATCTCATCACCTTCTCCCTTGCTCTGTATTTTTATTTTTTTTGCTTTCTCTCTCTAAATCCATGGATCCTTCTCTCTCTGTAACCAATGATCCTCATCATCCTCCTCCTCAGTTCATCACATCTTTCCCTCCTTTCACCAACTCCAACCCTTTCGCCTCTCCAAACAACCCTTTCTTCGCCGTCGCGCCGCCAAACAACAACCATCTCTTCCAAGCTCCGCCTCCGCAGCCAACACCTCCGGTTCCTACTCATCCATCCTATAGCCATCCTCCTTACTCCGACGTAAGCTCATCTGACTTCATTCTTACATTTTGACTTCAAAATATATATAAATAAAGTTTAGGGCTTTTTTTTTTCTAAATTAGTTTCAGTGAACTGAAAGTTTTCATTTTTCAGATGATTTGTACGGCGATTGCAGCGTTGAACGAACCAGATGGGTCAAGCAAGCAAGCGATTTCGAGGTATATAGAGAGAATTTACACTGGGATACCTACAGCTCATGGTGCTTTGTTGACACACCATCTCAAGACTTTGAAGAACAGTGGGGTTCTTATGATGGTTAAGAAGTCTTACAAGTTAGCAGCTAACCCTCCTCCTCCTCCTACTAGTGTAGCTGCTGCTTCTGGTGTTGAGCCTCCCAGATCTGATTTCACAGTCAACGAGAACCAACCTTTACCTGATCCGGCCGCGGCTTCTTCTACTCCTCCGACTCAGAAGCGTGGCCGTGGTCGACCTCCAAAAGCCAAACCCGATGTTCAAGTTCAACCTCAGACTAACGGGAAACCCACCTGGGAACAAACTGAATTACCTGTTTCTCGACCAGAGGAGGCACCGGTACAGCCACAGATACAGGCACCGTCTCCGGTTAAGAGACCTCCGGGTCGTCCTAGAAAAGATGGAACTTCGCCGACAGTGAAGGCTGCTGCTGCTACCGTTTCAAGCGGTGTGGAGACTGTGAAACGAAGAGGTAGGCCTCCGAGTGGAAGAGCTGCAGGGAGGGAGAGGAAGCCAACGGTAGTCTCAGCTCCAGTTTCGGTGTTCCCGTACGTTGCTAATGGTGGTGTTAGACGTCGAGGGAGACCAAAGAGAGTTGATGCTGGTGCTTCCTCTGTTGCACCACCACCACCACCAATTAGTGGAGGAGAGGGTGTTGCAGTCAAGAAAAGAGGACGAGGACGGCCTCCTAAGATCGGTGGTGTTATCAGGAAACCTATGAAGCCGATGAGACGATTCCCTCGTACTGGAAGACCTGTAGGACGACCCAGAAAGGTACAATTTTTCTCTGTTTTTTCAGTGTCTCTGCCATCTCAAAGTAAGAATTCTCAAGCCCGAGGCTAATATAGAACTTGATTTTTTTTTCAAACTTTCTAGAGTCAAATAGAAAAAAGGTTGGAACTTTTGTCTTGTGAATAAGTGTCACTTTCTTTCCATTCTGAACATTGTCTCTTTCGAGCCGAGCGTGTGAGTATCTAATTAGTTTCAAGTGTTTTAATTATATTCGTATCTCTCTGCTTTTGGCCTATATTTATCTGGTTTTTGGTGTACTATTAATTTAAGACTTCTCTTTGTTTGGTAATCAAGAACTAGTGGTTGGTGGCTCGCTTTATTGTTCAGTTGATGTGTGGGGAATTTACATAGGAATTGCTTTCATTTAAGTATAGTTTTGGTTATTCAATCATAGTTCAAGAATTTGTGTATTTCCAAGTCTCTCTATTACTGTCGGCTGTGCACTATAATTTGTGAGACTATTATAATATTGTTGAGGTTGATGAGTTATCTAAACTAAATCTTTACTATTGCGATTTATAAACATAGATTGAGGTGTCAAAGGGAGCTTCTGGACAACAAGATGATGACTATGGAGAACTTAAGAAGAAGTTCGAATTGTTTGTAAGTTATCTAATGAACTTAAAACACAGTATGGTCGTTTCTTTGGTTTCATCGTGCTTAATTGCTTATGGTTGGTTTTGATATCTCTCATTTATGCAGCAAGCGAGAGCTAAGGATATTGTTATTGTGTTGAAGTCTGAGATGGGAGGAAGTGAAAATCAAGCGGTGGTTCAAGCCATACAGGACCTGGAAGGATTAACAGTAACAGAAACAGAGACAACAAACGAGCCACAGCACATGGAAACAGTGCAGCAGCCAGACGACGAGGAACACCCTGAAACCGAACCTGAGGCAGAGGGACAAGGACAAACACAAGCACAGACAGAAGCAGAGGCAATGCAAGAAGCTCTGTTCTAGAGAGAACCTTGACACAACCTTATAAAAAAGAAAAGCTAGCAAGTGGTGGTGATGGGTTTGCGTGTTGTGTGTTTCATGGAATTTTTAAATCATATAAGGGATGTTTGCAGGAGAGGAAACAACAAAAAGAAGAATGTGATGATGATGATGATGATGATGATTTGTGTCTCTAACCAAACAACAAGGAGAGGTAGGGTAATGTCTGTAAAGGTGAATTAGGATGTTACCATTGTTTATGCTCTCACTCCCCATGTCTCTCCATCGTCCATATTTGTGTAGGCTATTTTGCTCTTTTGTTTTCCTCAATGTTTCTTAGACTCACTCTACTCTTGTCCTTCTATTTTGTCTCTCTTAGGCTTTTTAGGAGTTGTTGATGTTTGTATCATCAAAACGCTTATTGTAATTTTTACGACCACGTCCACTTGTATGATGGTTTCTTCTTTTTTCTCTTAATCCATTTTAAATTAAATGTTGCTTGTGTCAGTTGCTTCGTTTCAACTTAGAAATCCTATCTTAACTACTAGTGACAAAAATTAGGTAGCAGGTAGAACTGTTTCCACTTCACTCACACCATTTAACGATTTTGATTCTACTCAAAACACATCATTTAATAAAAAAAGATCCATCTTATTTACTTCTTGGTAACATTTTGAAAGGTGAAAACCTAGTGGATTTTGTTGATAATGCAAAGTTTGTGGTTTCAAGAACAATATTGCAGGTTTTGAAGATGTTGAAATTTATACATTATGTTTGAGATTGCAGCTGGGTCTTTTGTGCTTTGTGTAGTTTTACACTGATACTTGTTTAGAGTCTTAAATATTGTACATGTCTTTGTGTTCCAAAATTGGTTTCTCTCTATTGTTAGAAAAGTTGTAGTTTGAAGTAATAAAAAATATTTATATTAGAAAAAACACCATTTTTCCAATACTTTTTTCTCCAAAAAAAAAAAATTTGAATTTGAAAAAAAGTAGGGTACACTTTTCATTTTTGGTTTGATCAAATATTTTTCAGAAAAAAAAAGAAATCACCAAATTTGTATGTATAATACAAGGTTTCTTCATTTTCTACTAAAATTTAAAACATTATAAAAATTATTTTTAAATATTTTAAAAACCAAAAATTAATGCCCCTGAATTTGAAGTGATTTAGTAATAAAAAAATTATTGTAAAGGAATTCTGAATTTCTGATAAAAACGAAAATTATCGATTAAAAAAAAGGAAAAAAGAAAGAAAGAAAGAGTAAATAAAAAGAGTGGACCCATATCGGTTGAGGCAACGGATTCTGAACCTCTCTCTCTCGGTCGTTTGTTCTTTTGCTCTCTCTCTCCCAAAGCAGCCAAGCTCCCCAGCCATGGTCACCTTCTTCTAAACCGCCAACACTATCTTTCTTCTCCGCCAAGTTTCTTCTCCTCGCAGTTTCTTTCTTCCTTCTTCCATAATTTTCCCGAAGAAGCTTTCTTTAGCATCTCTCTCTCATTCGCGAATCCTTCTCTCCCTGAGCTGAAACAAGGTACGTACATTGCAGATTTCCCAACCCTAGCTTTTCTTAAATCTTTTCCTTGCTCCTACGCGATAGAGAGTAGATAGAGAGAGAGAGTCTGAATCTGTTGATTTTACTATCTTCGTTTCTTGATTCTCGAGTTTTGTATTGTTTCTGTTTTGAATCTTACTCCGTTCTCTAGGGTTTCGGTTCCGTTTAATCCATCTCTCAGCTTGAAATCAGCCATTTTTTTTACTGTCTTCTTCGAAATTTCTTCAAGGTTTTACCGGAAATCGAGCTTTTTAGTTGTTTTCTGTAGTCTCCGTTGAAGTTCGTTTTCTAGGGTTTTGAATTCCGATTTATGTTTTCTTTCTTTTTTGTCTGATTCGGATCTACACTACAGATCTCATGGCGAAAACAGCTTCTACTCCTCCCGGAACTGGTTCCGAAGCTCCAAGATCTGATACACCTGGAGATGCGTCTGGCAACAAGCTTCAACCTGATGTCTCCGCCGCCGTCTCAGCAGCACCCGACAATACTGCTTCCCAGAAACGCGGCCGTGGTCGACCTCCAAAGGCTAAATCTGGCTCCACGCGAAACGGTGCCGTTTCTGCTAAAAAACCAGTTGGTCGTCCGAAAAGAAACGTAGCTCCTGTTCCCACTGCGTCTGTTGCGGCGGGTGTGAAGAGGCGTGGCAGGCCAAAGAGGTCGAACCCTCCCGCGTCTGTGGTTACTACTGCTACTGGAGAAGGTTCAAGAAAACGAGGGAGGCCGAAGAGAGATGACGTGGCGGATGCAACTGTTCCTGTGGCTCCGGCTAAGAAACGTGGACGGAAACCTAACGTCGAGGTAGCTGCTGCTGCAAAGCCTGTGCGCAAGACAAGGAAGAAGGTATTTTGTCTTCAACTTCATTAGCTTTTTATTCACAAAATGTCAAAAATAATTTGGAAAAAGGTCTCTTATACCATTGTTCTTGACTGTTTGCTATGCATATATATAGTGTAGAAATTTTTTCAGGGAAGCGTGTTATTTTGATTCTGGTCTTAAATGTGGTCTATTTTAGAAAAAATGTGTATCGTATCTGGATTTTGATGTTATTTCCAAAATCTTGATTGTATAATTTTGTAAAACGGTCGTATACCATATTGTTCTTCTTGACTGTTTCTTCTGTAGAGAGTGGAAAAAGTTCAGAGTAATGTGTTATATTTGTGTCTGGTCTCAAATGTGGCCTGTTTATACAAAAATCTATAACTATTTGTATTTGTTTTTTATTGTGCATCTTATCTGCATTTTGGTGTATTTCATGAATCTTGACTTCTTCTTTTTTTGGTATAATGTTGGAAATGAAAGTGATTGGTCTTGGTAAGTCTTTATATAATTTCATTTGAGTCAATATTTACAAGTGTTTTGTAAATGTAAGACACAACCGTATGTTTATAAAAATGTGTAGACTAATGTCAAAATCTGGTTTTATATGCATGAATGAACAAAAGAGCATTTCAGTGGCACCGGTAGCTGCAGGCATCGGAGATCTCAAGAGAAGAACCGCACTCTTAGTAAGTCATCAACTATACCAAACTAGCTCTTCTAATAGAAGACTTGTATAGTGATTTGGTTAACATTAGTGTATTACTGGTCGCCCTATGCTTGCATCAATTTTGGTTTAGACATTATGTATGATGTGTGTATCATCACAAAGGATAGTAGCATTAATATTCAACAGGATTGTACAATTATGCATCCAGTATTCCTTTAGGAGATGGAATCGAATGGTCATATAGTTTGGTTGGTTTTAAAGATGGGGGTTGGGTTTCTATAGTCTTGTGTAGGTTTCAGCTAATAAGAAAGAAAGAAAGAATCTTGATGATAAAAGTTGTTGAAATTGAATAAATGTTGTTGCAGCAAAAGAAAGTGAAAGAAGCTGCAGCCAAGTTGAAAGCAGCAGTTACAGCAATTGACGAGGTTCAAGAGATAGTGGCAAGGATGTAAAAGCTCTGATGATTAGACTCATTTGTTGGGAGAAAGAAAGACTGATTGGTTGGTTGGTTGATGTTTGATGTTTCACATTAGGATTGTTTGTTTGTTTGTTTGTTTACGTGTTCGTTAAGGTTGAGAGGCAGATTTTTAAACAGTAGAGAGTTGTTAATGGTCTTTGTGTAGCTCTGAGATGTAGGGGAAACTTTCCGAATAGATTTGCTACTACGTCTTTTGTCGTCAAGAATTCTTTTAACATTCTTTTTTTTTTCTGTTGAGGTTTATAGATTTGGAGTTTAATTCTGACATTCTCAAAATCCAAAATTTTCAACTAATTAACCGGCCTATCACATTTAAATCACAGTAGATAAAAACAACATTGCTGTATGTGTAATTGGGCTTTTCGGATCGTATCGAAATGTAGTTTGTAAGGCCCATTTGTGGCGAGTCAGTCAACGACTAGTTTGACCAGTGATGACGTCGACTTCTCTTTCTCTGTGTCTGTCCGTCTTCTCTTGTTTCAAACTCAAAACAAAACCGTCGCGGTATCATTTTGATTCCGATTTCTCCTTCAATTAGGGTTTCTCTCGCAGATTCCTCCATCCTCGGCTTTACAAGGTAACAACAAGCTCTATGAGATCCATTTATTGAATCTCTCATTTCGTTTTGATCGATTTCATGTAACCCCTGGAACAACGTTGTATAGTAAAATTGATCATTTGTTCTTGGAGATGTAAGAGATGGAGGAAGCGATAAATATGCAAGTGGATGATGTAACAAGGAAGCCTCGTATCTTACTGGCTGCAAGTGGAAGTGTGGCTGCGATTAAGTTCAGCAATCTCTGCCATTGTTTCTCAGAATGGGCTGATGTCAAAGCCGTCGCTTCTAAATCATCTCTCAATTTCGTGGATAAACCTTCTCTTCCTCAGAATGTGACTTTCTATACAGATGCAGATGAGTGGTCTAGCTGGAACAAGATTGGTGATCCTGTGCTTCACATCGAGCTTAGACGCTGGGCTGATGTTATGATCATTGCTCCTTTGTCTGCTAACACTTTGGGCAAGGTATAAAAAATACTATTCTCATTACGATCTTCCCTGTTTAGTATCGGATAGTCTACTAGAGTAGCTTTTTTGGCTCTTGTTCAAGCTGCAGAATCACTAAGCAACTTAGCTGAAGAGCTAGAGTTGACGGTGACATACTTCTATCTTGATTATATAAGTATCACCATGAGAAGATACATTTGTTGTGACAAGATTGTTTGATAATGCCAACTATAGTCTAGAGTAAATCTCTGGGTCATGTTAATTGTCATCAAGCAGCAGAATCATGTACAAAGTAGTGTGTATCTCAAGAACTAGAGTTGATTTCTTTGGCTCTATATTCTTTGCTTTTTTCAAGATTCTAATAAAGTTGCGCGTAGCTGAAGATATAGCTTTTACAAATTCTTTAGATTGTTTGCTTCTAATGATTTAAACATACTTCTCTTTATATATCGCCGCTGTACTGATTTTTTTTTTTTATCTTTGGCTCATATTCTTGTCATCAAGAAACATAATCATAGGAACTGTAAGCTGAAGAAGATCTAGAGTTAGCTTTTTGGCTCCATATTTTTCTGTGTTGTTCATGATCTAAAAAAAGCTGTTGTTCTTTCTCTTTTTACAGATTGCTGGAGGGTTATGTGATAATCTGTTGACATGTATAGTAAGAGCGTGGGATTATAGCAAACCGTTGTTTGTTGTACCTGCGATGAACACTTTGATGTGGAACAATCCTTTCACTGAACGGCACCTTGTGTTGCTTGATGAGATTGGAATTACTCTCATTCCGCCCATCAAGAAGAAACTGGCCTGTGGAGATTACGGTAATGGCGCAATGGCCGAGCCTTCTCTGATCTATTCCACCGTTAGACTCTTCTGGGAATCCCAGGCTCATAAACAAAATGATGGAACGAGTTGACTCTTACTTGGACATTAATTGCTCTGTTGTCTCTGGAGTCATATATTATCCCATATCTTTTTCTTTTTTCTTTATCATACTAAGAACAAGCTTAGCTTGATAAATTCTCTGGAGAAGTCGGTTACACTATCTCAGGCAGATATTTTAAAATATCTATGAAAATCAGAGCAATGCAGGTTCTGTCTGGCACAAAGACTGGAGTAGAAATCGAACAACACAACTAGTTTTTCTTTCAATTTGCATTTCCAAGATAGCAAAACAAGAAAATATTGTCCTCCAGGGAAGAGAATCACAAGAGGATAGGTTATAGAGTTCTTGTTGAGGGTAACTATAGATTTGACTTCTTGTTGGCTATGAATAATCCCCATTTTTGTTCACCAGATAAAGTCTTTCGAAGCTTTGCTGTCCATACTCTTACAATGCCATTGTAATCCTCCTGTAATCAGATTATTGGATTGATATGAGAAACGCAACACAAATGTGTTTTAAGCAGTAAATTTAATTGTGAGAACTCTTTATTTATTTTTACTTCTGAGAAGTCGTTGATGTATTCTTCCTTTTCTTTCTCCACTTTTGCTAATTCACGCCTGAGGACTTGTACAAACTGTCAAAAAATGGTTATGTTAGAATCATCATTTTGAGAACTGTATAACAAAACGTATGTGGGAGTCACCTGATCAGTACGGTCATCAGCAATCACATCCTCAAAGCCTGCTTCTTTCAGCATCTACAGAAATAAGAACTCTATAAGAATATGAAATGTCCCTGAATTCATAAAAAGATGAAAGGTTTGATGAGGAAAAGAAACACAAACTTTTCCGTAAGCTTGAACACCGTGGAGATCATATCGTCTTCGTACCATGTACTCTTGGAATTCAAGAGACGGAGTATCAGCAATTCTGCAATAGTCAGTGATGAGAACTTTACCGCCTGGTTTAAGCCACTTGAAGAATTTCTTGAATAGAGCTGGCTTGTCCTAAACAGAGAGACAAATGATGCAGATGATAATAACCAAAAAAAAGCATCTTCAAGAGAGAAAAAGAAGAGATATGTTGTGTGAAGTTTTGCTTTATACTTGGACGTGCAGAAAAGTGTCACGGCTGTAAATAACATCAAAAGAATTGTCGGGATATGTTTTTGTGTTGCAGTCCGCGACTTCGAACTCGACTGAGCATTTGAGTCCAATGGCACGCTCCAGCGCTAAAGAGATCATGTTGACCGATAGATCGATTCCAACTACATGAACATCAAAATTCTCAGCCATGTAGAAGTCACCTCCACCAATACCACAACCAACATCTAGAACTTTCTGTCCAGGTTTAAGGTCCATCATCGCCACAAATTCTTTAGTTGTCTCTGTTAAGGAAACCATGAACTTAGAGACAAGAGGCGGGTAAACATTTACAAACGCATGTATCCTTTTAAAGATAAGAGTTAAAAGAGGAATTACCAAATCCACCAGTGCTATTATATCCTTCCCCAAAGACACGCTCATAGAGCAAGATCCCACTAGACGTATATTGAACATTGTCCAAGAAACGCTGGAAGGTTTTGTCATTCTCCAAGCTAACTTTTTGCCATATCCAGCAAATCTGCCACCAAGTAGATGATAAAGTTAACCTCTTGTAACTCTATGGGATCAAATGATAAGGAAACTAAACTATCTGATAAGGAAAACTTTGTTACCTGATTCTGATTCTTCTTGTTATTCACATAATCCCCAATGCATTTGAAACCAACCATAGAGAGCTCAAATGATTTGCCAGAAGCTTCACCTGTCTGACATTGTTTGAAAACCTGCATTACATTGTCACGTATACAGTTAAATATATTTAGGAGATTTGATCTTAGTAACATAAACAATGATATGTGAATATTGAACCTTAGTATAGAATCTTGGTTCACGGTAGTGAATGGGGTTTGATTTACGCTTGTTGTCCCCAGATTGGTGGAAGCAAGACTCTCTGAAGAAAATGTAGCCCCCTGGCTTTACCCATCCAAGCATTCTCTCTGCTATTAGTTCCACCTGCAATCACCATCATCAAAAGGATTAGCCTTTCTTCTCTACAAAGTCAAAAGAGTAAAAGATTCAGATGTCACCTCTTTGTCAGAAAGATACATGAGCAACCAATTTGAGAAAATCAAATCGATAGATCCATCTGCTATTTTCAAGTCTGGAGAGGTTACATCAGCACACATAAACTTAACGTTCTTGTAATGCCCATTAACACTTTCATTCTGCAAGAACACAACATCAGCCAATAAACAAACCAACATGAGATGAATCCATGGTAAAAATAGAAACTTTTCAACATAGAAACAGCTAGCGGAGTAGTAAAAAAAACCTTGTGAATGGCACTTTCGATGAAGTCGAGGGCGATAACTTCACCAGCCTTCTGAGCCAATTCACCAGTGAAACGGCCAATACCAGCTCCAAGTTCCAGCACAGTTTTGCCTTCATATGGTGGGATTAAACAGAGTAACTGAACAAAATAAACACATCAGCCAAGTTCATTTGTTCCTACACTTGATGATTGGAAATATGAGAGAAAGATAGAAAAGATTAACCTCATGAGGAAGCTCTTCTTTGTCGAGATCAGAAGCTTCGGTGGAGTCAACCATCACATCGCTCGAATGCTCCATCGAGTAGCTTAGCTGTTTGGGATAAGTCTCTCTTCCTCTCTTCCAAATTAAAGTGAGACACTCTCTAACTTCGAAACCATGAAGAAATTGAATTCACAAAACGTAAATTAGTTCAATAATTCGCTGAGAGGGACCAACAGGACCCGAAGAAAAAGATAAGATAATGCTTTCTGCAGTATGAAACATTAATAGTAAGATGAACACTGTACAATATAAAACATCTATAAATTAATGTTTGACAAACTTTTCAATTTTGGCCATTTAAATCACGAACGTTTTATGTGATCATTCAAAACATAAACTTTTCGTTGATTTAGTTTTTAAAACATCAATTTTCGTTGACTAAACCAAAATGAATATCATATCCAAAAAATTGTTAACAAAACAGCTACCAATATTTATGAATTCAATCATGATAAGTTTCTCTTTCTCCTATATTTTGTCTTTTAAAAACTTTTACACATTTACATTTTTATAAGTTATGATACAATCTCTAGTCAACTTTAATTTTGATAGTTTGTTGTCTTTTATTTAGTTATTTCATTTTTTTGGATGTTTATATTTTAGTTTATGTTTTTATTTTTTTTAAAGAAATTGTTTTCCTTTAATATTTTTTTCCATTAAGAATAATACATAAACAAATGAATTAATTATTTTTTGTCGTCATTATATTTAATGTTCTTTTCATGATGTGGACACTCTAGATGGACAAAAAAACTCTCCTATAAGCACCATCATGGGTCATATTCTTCAAAAGATAGTCATAGTTTCATTAAATTAATTTTTCTATATTTTTTTTTAAACTGAACCAGTTAACTGATTACTAATGACACAAAAGCAAGAATGGTTGAAGAGGTTAGAGAGATTAGAGACACTTCCTCTGCATATCGTCTGCATAGAGATTAGAGACACTTCCTCTTCATATCGTCTGCATAGAGACACTTCCTCTGCATATCGTCTGCATAGAGATTAGAGACACTTCCTCTTTCCTCACCTTTTTTTTTTTTATTAGTAAAAACACTTTCCTTATAAACCAATGGAGATGGCCTAAATATATATATTTTTACAGCACCGTTTTTAGTACCACCAGTAGCTTGAAATTGGTTTTTCACTGAATCATCATCGTAACCGCAAATACCAAACTTTTTCTTCCTGATTCTGTTTCTATTGTGTTCTTTGCCACAGGTTTCGAGGTCCCAATGACATTTTTCGACAAGAAGTTGTTGCTAGATATAAGGGGTTTCTCTATCAGAAGGTTTTGTGCTCCGACTTATGATGATGACCTTATCTGGCACACACATCAGCTTCATCCAGTCTCTTACTGTGATGATATGGAAATGCTCATTGGTAAGGTCTTGGAGCATGATGATACAGATTCTGACCGAGGCAAAGGTAAAATCTTGATACTGGTTTTTCTAACACTGCATACTTCGCAATTGGAGGAAAAAATTGGTATCAAGGTACTGGAAAGCTCTGCGCAATGCATAGAGGCAAAATGCCTACCCCTGTCACTACTTCTCCTTATGTTTCTGATGTTTTTGCCAAAGAACCAACTGCAGAAGAGGATAATTTACAGAATGTAATCCAACTTCAGGAGGTGGAAGTTGTTAAGGTAATTCTTTCTTTTTATCCTTTTCTGTGGTTATATATCTCTTGAGCGAGGTAACTTCAGCTGTGTGATCCTTTTGTATCCTTCAAGTTCTCTTGGAGATAATCATCTTGTTTTGACAACGTAATGCACTTCAATGATGCAATATTTTCTCAGGGAGGAAGCTGGATTATGAACCAATAAGAACACTGTGCAAACCTTAGAAGCTAAGTGACCATGATTTCATGAATCTTGTGGAATTTTCTAAGCAACATCCATATGGAAAAGCTGTGGGATTGGTTGATATGAAAGTTTGGTTCCGTTGAGGCAAAGTTTGATATAATCTGGAATGTTACTTCTTCTTTAATCTTCTCCATGCTCATTTTGACTCTGTTATTCATATGCAGGCGAAAGATAATTGGTTGGTTTTGCCTGAAATCGTATCTGCTTTCATACTCAATCATGTTCTGAAGAAAGGAGGTTTTGTGGCTTCACTGTCGGAACCAAAGACATAAAAAGAGAAAAGCAAACAGAACTTGTAGCTTATGACACTACTTGTTTTGCAGGAAACCTTGGCGAGACGAATTTGTGGTACTGTTTGAAATGATCACTATCCAAAGAATATTAAACATAGACAACATTTTCATGGTTACTCAATCAACTAACCAATCAATATAATTCAAGCAAATTACAAAAGACATGAACTCAACTCAAGCAATGGGTTCAATCAACGTATATACCATGCAACAATTAATAGATTCATGCCATATGTTCAATTCGAATCATAGACTGATGCAAGCAATAAGCATATTCAAGTAATTAAGCAAAAAACACGAAACAACCAACAGATTCAAGAAACTCAAGCTGTAACATCAAAGCAACAATCAAAAGAAATTTTAAAATCATGTGTTCAAATCATAGACTATACAACAACCAGTATATTCAATCTCCATACAGTAGATTCAAGCCATACACTGTATGTTCAATAAAAATCATAGACATAGATGATGCAAGCAATAAACATATTCAGGTTAGGTTAGCATTAGACCACACAATACAGAGATTCAAGTAATCAAAAAACACAAAACAACCCACATATCCAAACCATAGCTTTAAAGCATAGACCACATAACAACAAATAGACTCAAGCTGTAACTTCAAAGCATAGACAAAGCAACAATCAAAAGAATTCAAACCATGGGTTTGAATCATAGACTACACACCAACCAAGTATATTCAATCTCCATACAATAGATTCAAGACTTTTTTACTTAAAAAGTCGCTGTCAAAATCAAATGTCACTTCAGATGTACAATTAAGTTAATATAGATCTATAACATTAGTAACGATAAGAGAACCACATGTCTACTTCAGATTTATAAGACAACAATATCAACTAATCAACATAGGAGAAGCACATGTCTTATCCTCTACACTGGTTTCATATTTTGACATCAAACAGTTTCTAACCATCACCAAAAAAAGTAAGAGAAGCAAACTGATAAAATTATATAATTACATACCTGAGGGCTGATAATATGCAGAGTCCATTTTCAGAGAGGTTCTTGTTCATCTGCCATAAATTAAGTGTGTAACGATATAAACTAATTCATAACAAGTTTAGGAGAAACACATACCTATCTTGAAGTCTGAATTCTCTCAGGAGTCTCCAAAACATACCTGAAAAAATATTAAAAAGATTGCTTTAGTTCACTTGTAAAATATACAGACCCTGTTAAATATTCCAGTTCAGGGGCCTTAATGTGTATGAGCTCTCAAATTATAAGCCAATTAGAAGCCTGCTTGATGTTTTTTTCCAGTTTTCTGGCAACTCCTGTAAGACTGTTTCATTACAGAGAGTTCCAAAATCAGACGAGTTAGTGTGTATGATCTCTGAAACTTGAACCTTCAGAGGCTTTTTCTACTCCCATAACCCCATTTGATTTTCGAACCAATAAAAAGGCTCTTTTGTCACAAGCAAGTCCATTCAGACATTTGTCATAATAAAGACACAAACGTGCTAGTGTGTTTCTGAACCGAACAAAACGGTTAAAAAGTCGTAGGTAACTATCTTTTTTCCAATTTCAGGACCATAGTTTCTGATATTTTAGATCTCAATTAAGAGATTTTTACCTGAAGAGATGATTATGTTGGAAACTCTCGGAAACTCTCTGTGATCACAATGAGTCTTCTAATCCAAATACAACCTTCAATCGCAAGTCGCAACTGCAACAACAACAACAACAAAAAACCCAGAAACCGTTTAATTAAACATATTCAAATCAAGAATATCAAAAACACAAAAGCGATACAAAAGAACTTAAGAAACCCTAAGAAGTTAACAGAGATTAATCAAAACCACGGCTTTAATCAATCGTCTTCGTTTTGATTGATTATAGAAGATTCAGAAACCCTAAGAAGTTAATTCGATGAAGAAGACTACAAATCTCGGATTAAAAACCAACCTAAACGCGATTTTAAAACTCTGGAAACGCTACTACATAAACTACTAATCGAAGAGAAAGATAGATCAACCGATGATTCATATCATAAAACTAAGGAAAGAAACTTACAAATCGATCCGGCGAAGGAGTCGCAGAAAAATTAAAAAAACTGAAATCTTTAAGGCTTTTGCCTTTGCGAAGTGAATCCTATATATATATATATATTACTCACGTTTATAGCACCGCCTCTACAACGGTTACTTGAACAAAGAGCCGTTTCTCGTTTTCAAAATCAGGTTTGATATTTATGTGTGCGTGAGCAATGTGAGACAGCAACGTGAAGTGGAAATAACAAAAACATAACGCGGATTATAATGGGCTAACCCGGATCACTTAATTGGGCTTATAATGGGCTATTGTTAACTAAACCGGTAACTTTTACAAAGTGCTTGTATGAAGCTAATACATAGGATACTCACACGTACGGATCGCACGCACACGATCTGTGGCTTATGCTCTTCACTTTTTCGACTGTTTATTTCATTCTCTCAATAATTCAGCAGGCATTGTAACATTTGTATTACTATACTAGCTATCTTCCCTGTTTAGTATCTCTACAGAGTTACATAATCAATCCATATTGTTGACTAGAGTTGTCTAGTGTAAGCTCTTTTTCGCTCATAAATTAAAAAGCTGTATCATAGGACTATAGTAAAGCCATTATTAGATAGAAGATACACTGTTGTAACGAAATATTTTATCATGCGCCAGCTATATATAGTCCACTCTACTGTAAATCCTTAGTTACAGTATTGTGTAACAGCTCCATATTGCAAAAGTATCGTTTTATCTGAAGATCTTAAGTTATGTTCTGAACCAACACAACTGAGTTTTTTCTCAGTTTGATTTGCATTTCCAGTGATAGCAAATATTGTCATCCACAGAGCAACAATTTATTGAAACATGGTTATAGTGTTTTGTAGGGGGTTAAAAACATGGATGCTACTTTTTGTTGGCCGTGAATAATCCCCATTTTTGTTCACCAGTTCGCTGTCCATAATCTTACACTTTCATTGTAATCCTCCTGTAATAAGATGATTGGATTGATATGAGAAACTCAACAAAGAGGTTTTTTGCTCAGTGAAGTCAGCTGTGAGAACCTCTGAGAAGTCGCTGATGAATTCTTCTTTTTCTTTCTTCACTTTTTCTAACTCAAGCCTGAGGATTTGTACAAACTGCAAGAAACTGGTTATGTGAGAATCAGCATTTTAAAGAAATGTATGTGGGAGTAACCTGAATGGAGATCATATCCTTTTCGTTCATAGAACGTACTTTGCGAATTCAGGTGACGGAGCATCGACACTTCTGCAATAGTCGGTGATGAGAACTTTACCGCCTGGTTTAAGCCATTTGAAGAATGTCCAGAATAGAGCTGGCTTGTCCTGAACAGAGATACAAATGATGCAGAGGATGAATTATACAAGAAAACATCTTCAAGAGTGAAAAAGAGGAGATATGTTGTTGTGTAGTTTTGCTTTATTACTTGGATGTGCAGAATAGTGTCACGGCTGTAAATGACATCAAAAGAATTATCAGGATATATTTTTGTGGTGCAGTCCGCGACTTCGAACTCCATTGAGCATTTGAGTCCAATGGCACGCTGCAGCGCCAAAGAGATCACGTTGACCGATACATTGATTCTCGTGAACATCAAAATTCTCAGCCATTTAGATCACGTTGGCAAAAGCTCATGCTTCTCGTGATTGGTTAACAAACCCAAATTATTCATAATTTTTTTTTTTTGTAAAGCCTCATCTTTCATTATTTACATGTTTAGAAAAGAATAAATACATTAGTAACTAGCCTCCCTTGTTTTCATATGTTTTTCCATTTTTGTTTTATTCCAATTTTTATTAAATTATCGTTGTGGTGGAACTAGGGTTTGTGATCTTTCCTCTTTTTCATAAACCACTTCAACTCATCTCTGCGCTACACATCATAATCTCCTCTTACTCTCTCTCTTGCTTTGAAAGAGATGGACCCGTATGTAACCGGATATGTTTTGTCTGAAGTTGTAGATGAGGTTGAAGCATCTGTGGGACTTGCTTCTATATCAAAATCTCAATCTCACACTGAGAAGAGTGATTACAAAGGTATACATGTGATTTACAAAAGCTCTTAAAATTATCTGAATAATGTTTTCAAAGCATCTAAATTTCATCTGTCTAATCACTAATGTTTCAGAAGTTGAGATTGCACCCGTGATAGTTGCTTCTGGATCATCTCAGCCGTCCACTGATCAGCAGAAAATGCGTGAAAATCTGACTAATTTCAATGCAGCGCTACGTGAATATCGAGAGCTCAACAAGATAGTCATCGACAATTTGCCTGAGCATGATAATCAGGAGAGGGAAAGAAGGGAAGCTGCTGTGAAGGATGCAGCAAGACAAAGCTGCGAAGTTGTCAATCGGGTAATGAAGGGGAGTCCTGAGAAAATGATGAAGGATGTGCAGAGAATGTTGGAGGAAGAAGTGTTTAAGATGAAGCAAGAAATTAAAAAGTTTGAGAGGAAGAAGAAACAAAATTCAAAGAAGAAGATATGAGAGCATGCTCTTCAGCCTCCCACTCTATGTATGTTTCTCTTCTATTGCTCTTATTCACAGCCGTTACAGTTCCTTTTTGTTCTGCTCATCAATGACCCTGAGAGGTGTTATGCATTTTAAGCATCATCTGTTTGTTATTCTTTTGGAATATTTTTTTTAGGATGCTGCATAGTACTCTCTCTGAAACTGAGCTTGCATAATTGATGATACTCAGCACTATACTTTTTTTTAATTCTTTTCTTAATTGATATAATGCAAGGAGAAAGTTAATACCCGTTTCTGAGTATGTAAATATGGCTAAATCCACTTATAAATTACATCTCCCCTGCTTTTGAGTCTTGACGCATTCATTACCTCTTTTCTTCTACTTAGTTTCGTCTTTCGGTTAAGCTGAAAAAATGGACGTAATGAAGATTAATTTCAAGCTCCAAGGGAGACAATGTATTCATTAAAAAGACATGTCAGTTTCTTGTTCTGTCTAAACCTTTTTCGTCTCTGTCTCACTCTTTCTTTGTGTGTAATCTTATAGCTAAAGAAATGTATTTGATTTCTTTGAACTTGTGAGACTCATGGACTTCTGCTGTTTTTGAATTTTGAAATATTGTCAGATAGAAATCTGTATGAGAAACTTCATAATGATTATATCGGAACTCATAATCATAAACGTTAGATTTGCGGACTACACGTAATTATAATATTGCTGTTTTTGCGATCTCATCCAACAATCTCTGCGCTATTGCCTAATTCTCAACTTCATTGATAACAGATATGAGCTTCCCTTTTGATGAAAGGGCTACAACCATCTTCTGAGATATCATCATCATAAAACCCATTGCTTACTGCACATTCTTTTCACAAAATCTTCTTACCAAAGTGCGAGGGAAGCAGTCTCTGTACTCTTGAGTTTTTAACGCCCTCTCTTTTAACGCCCTCTCTTCAAGATCATCGATCTCTTGTCGCTTAATTATCTTAGAACCAATAGTCCTCATACTCATGCTTAATTGAATGCTATATGGCTTCTATGTTCCTGCATACACTCATACATGTAAATATACGTACATTGAAGCATGCGTATTTTGTATTTTCCAATGGATTTCAGCAGTAGCACCCTATATGTTTTACCTTTCTCGCTTCAACATTCGGTCGAAGATACTCCTACAGCTTTTGGACACAATCTCTCAATGGGTTGTTGGAAGCCATTTTGATAGAGGTGAATTTGTAACGAAAAACCTTGGCAAGAGTAAGAGGTATCATCTTAGATATTACGAAAGCGTTGGCAGGAGAAGAGCCCGTTTTCGGAGATGGGCTTGTTGTTGTGTTGTTTCCTTTTGGTCTGAATATGTATCTTCACAAGGCCTTGCCCAATTGGGAAAGCCCATTAATAAAACCTGGTTTCTTAAAGGAAAAAAAAAAAACCGTTTACCTTCTTCGATTGCCTTTGCACCCGCGCCACACACCCAAAAAAAAAAAAGCTTCCTTGATTCTACACAATGCAGTCGTCATCGAGGAGACTGCCACCGCCTCGTCTACCCTCCGCCATGTCTCCTCTCTGCCTCTTCTTCGAATCAAAAGAGTGGATCCATTCGATCTCTACAGTACCCTCCGTCGTACGTCTCTTCCTTCTTAGTGTCGTCGTGTCGTCTCCTCATTATTAATATTCTAACTTGGTTTTACCTTTGTCCACAGCCATCTTCTACAGAACCAGAACCAGTATCTTCGTCCAGCTCACTTGGACCTGAATCTGAACTTAAGCAGGTGATAATGATTGTGTTAAATCTTAACTTTAACGTCTTCACCTCATCTGAAATATTCTAACTTTCTTTCAACCTTTGCCCACAGAATTCTCCTCAAATAGCAGACCGTATCCCTTTCTTCCTCTTCTCTATTGAAGAGAGCCTAGAGAAAACTAATCAGTACTTCGAGGATAAGAAGGCCGTAAAAGTTGCAGAGATGAAGAGAATGACTCCGTTGCAAACTATATATTTTTAGAGAAAGGTCAGGGAGAGGAAATTATACATTTCTGAGAATCCACATCTTTTTGCATCTACTGAGAAGGTATCTGTCGTGAATCTGAAGCAATTCCTGTTGCACACTCGAAATTTAAAGCTGCAAAGGTGAAGAAGCGGAAGAACAAGATAGTCAACCCTCAGAAAGCTGGAACCGCTAGATTGGTTGTAAATGTCTACAAGCTCTGTACCATTCAAATTTGTAGCAAATCAAAAAAGGAAAAGCATCAGAGACCCTGCTTGTAAACTGAAATGTGCTTCCGGATCATCTCCATCTCAAGCGGATGGTGCACCTGCAGAACAAGCACGGCCTTCTCTGAACCTGATTCCAGATCATTCAAAGAAGAAGAAATGAGAGCATGCTCTTCAGCCTCCCACTGTATGTATGTTTCTCTTCTGATGCTTGCTTAGCGGATATTCTCATATTAAAAAGGCAGATAGTTAACGGTTGTGTATAATCTTCATGAACAGGATGGATACTAATCTTTGTTGTTTCCCTCTTTTTTAGGTTGCAAACCAGAGTTGATAAGGGAGCACTTTTCAAACAGATTTCAGAATTCGAATGATCCCTCTCTAGATCGAGGGAGACTTTCCTTTCTTTATTTTTGTTGTTGATTGCGACCTGTTTCCAAGAAGTCGTTGATTAACTCTTCTTTTTCTAATTCACGGCTGAGGACTTTTACAAACTGCAAAAAATGGTTATGGCCCCGTTTGTTATGATGTCGCTGCGATTACTTTTAGCGACCAAAAATTAAACGTCGGTAAGGAATTACTAAAAGTGTCTATGCCACTCATTTTCTTAATGTTGCCGTTGCCGGTGTTGGTTATTGTCGCCAGAAAATACAGTGATGATAATAACGGTCGCGCGACTACTTTCAAGGGAAAACCGGTGTTAGTCTCCACTTACTTGCATGTCAAGTACACTATAATTTCCGGTAGCTAACGTAGCGATAGGAAAAAGAGCAGGACCTATGTTAGAATCAGCATTAAAAGAAATCTCTATAAAATGTATTTGGGAGTCACCTGATCAGTACGGTCGTTGGCAATCACATCCTTAAAGCCTGCATCTTTCAGCATCTACAAGTACAGTAGAAGGTTGAATGAATCATGATAAAATATGAAAAAAATAAAATAAACCTTTCCGTAAGCTTGAACATCATGGAGATCAAATCCTTTTCGTTCTATGTGCTCTGAGACAGAGTTTCTGCACTTCTGCAATAGTCGGTGATGAGAACTTTATAACCTGGTTTAAGCCACTTGAAGAATGTCCTGAATAGTGCTGGCTTGTCCTGAACAGAGTAACCAAAAAGCATTTTCAAGAGTGAAAGAACGATAATGTTTTAAATAGCGTTGGCTAATACTTGGATGTGCAGATTAGTGTCACGGCGAGTGGCACGCTCCAAAGCGAAAGAGATCATGTTGACCGATAGATCAATTCCAACAACATGAACATCGAAATCCTCAGGATATAGAAGTTACCTCCACCGATACCACAACCAACATCTAGAACTTTCTGTCCAGGGTTAAGGTCCATCTTTGCCACTAATTTTTTAGTTGTCTTTGTTAAGGTAGCCAAAAACTTAGAGACAAGAGGTAGGTGAACATTGACAAACACATGTATCCTTATGAAGATAAGAATTAAAGATGGAATTACCAAATCCACCAATGCTGACATATCCTTCCCCAAAGACACGCTCATAGCGCAAGATCCCACTAGACTTGTATTGAGCATTGTCCAAGAAACGCTGGAAGTCCTTGTCATTCTCCAAGCTAACTTTTTGCCAAATCCAGCAAACAGCAAATCTGCCATCAGATAGATGATAAATTTAATAACTCAGTGGGATCATATGATAAGAAAAATCAACTATCTGATAAAGAAAATTTTTGTTATCTGATTCTGATTCGTCTTGTTCTTCACATAGCCCCAATGCATTTGCAGCCAAACATAGAGAGCTCAAATGATTTGCCAGAAGCCTCACGTGTCTGGCATTCTTTGAAGAACTGTTGAACTGTTGATATACACGCTTTTAAAGCCTTATCAAACTTGATTCTGATTCTGATTCGTCTTGTTCTTCACATAGCCCCAATGCATTTGCAGCCAAACATAGAGAGTTCAAATGATTTGCCAGAAGCCTCACGTGTCTGGCATTCTTTGAAGAACTGTTGAACTGTTGATATACACGCTTTTAAAGCCTTATCAAACTTGATATATAACATCCATGTAGCTAGTCTAACACTCGTTTGCAAGATAAACATTTAGATCTCAGTCACATAAACAATTATATGTAAAGATTGAACCTTAGTATAGAATCTTGGTTCACGGTAGTGGGTGGGGCTCGATTTACGCTTGCTGTCCCCAGATTGATGGAAGCAAGATTCTCTGAAGAAAATGTATCCCCCTGGCTTTACCCATCCAAGCATTCGCTCAGCCATTAGTTCCACCTGCAATCACCACCATCATCATCCAAAGGATTAGCCTTTCTTCTCTACAAAGTCAGAATAGTAAAAGAACCAGATCTCACCTCTTTGTCAGAGAGATACATGAGCAACCAATTTGAGAAAATCAATTCGACAGATCCATCTGCTATTTTCAAGTCTGGCGAGGTTACATCAGCACACATAAACTTAACGTTCTTGTAATGCCCATTAACACTTTCATTCTGCAAGAACACAACATTAACATATAAGGAAACAAACATGAGAAGAATTCATGGTAAAAATAGAAACTTTTTAGCATAGGAACAAAAAAAACCTTCTGAATGGCGCTTTCAATGAAGTCAAGGGCGATAACTTCACCAGCCTTCTGAGCCACTTCACCAATGAAACGATCAATACCAGCTCCAAGTTCCAGCACAGATTTGCCTTCATATGGTGGGATTAAAGAGAGTACCTGAAGCAAAGAAACAACAGATCAGCCAAGTTCATTTGCTCCTACACTTAATTGGAATTATAAAAGAAAGATAGATAAGATTAACCTCAGGACGACGCTCTTCTTCTTCGTCGAGATCAGAAGCTTCAGTGGAGTCAAGCATCATGGCTTCAGCAGTCAAATCGCTAGAATGCTCCATGCAGTAGCTTAGCTGTTTTGGATAAGTCTCTCTTCCTCTCTTCCAAATTAAAGTGAGACACTCCCTAATGAAGAAATTGAATTCGCAAAACGTAGAAGTTCAATAATTCGCTGAGAGGGACCAACTGTACCACTGTAAAGACAAGATAATGCTTTATGTATGCAACTCCATAGCGGAGAAGATAAACATAAATAGATTTATCGAATGAGTACCACTAACGATATTACTTTTGATCACTATTCCATAAATTAGTGTTTACAACACCATTTTACTACCAGGTAGCTTGAAATTGATTCTTCACTGAATCATCATCATAACCGCAAATACCAACTCTTGTTCCTGATTCTGTTTCTATTGTGTTCTTTGCCACGGTTTCGAGGTCCCAATGACATTTTTCTACAAGAGATATAAGGGGTTTCTCTATCTGACGGTTTTGTGTTCAGACTTATGATGTTGACCTCATCTGGCACACACATGATCAGATTCATCCGGTTTCTTACAGTGATGATATGGAGAAGCTCATTGGTAAGGTCTTGAGCATGATGACACAGATTTTGACCGAGGCAAAGGTAAGAAGCTTGATACAGGTTTTTCTAACACTACATACTTCACAATGGGAGGAGACAAGGTGCTGGAAAGCCTGCGCAATGCATAGATGCAAAACGCCTACCCCTGTTACCACTTCTCTTTATGTTTCTGATGTTTTTGCCAAAGAACCAACTGCAAAAGAGGATTTCCAGAATTTAATCCAACTTCCGGAGGTAACTTCAGCTGTGTGATCCTTTTGTATCCTTCAGGTTCTCTTGGAGATGATTATTCATTCTTGTCAATGTACCAAACTTAAGATTATCTTACAAACCAAAGAAATACCAATTTGGCTCGGTAGTTCAGTGGGTTAAGATGATGGGGGTAAGAAAACACGAATTTAGATATACAGTATGTATAAAAGACTATTTCAGTAATGATTCTCTGATACTATATTACCTATGAGTTATGACACTACTTGTTTTGCAGGAAACATTTGCGAGAGGAGTTCGTGGTATTGTTTGAAATGATCACTATCCAAGACCAATCCAAAGAATATTAAACCTAGACAACATTTTCATGGTTACTCAATCAACTAACCAATCAATATAATTCAATCAAATTACAAAAGACATGAACTCAACTCAAGCAATGGGTTCAATCAACGTATATACCCTGCAAGAATTAATAGATTCATGCCATATGTTCAATTCGAATCATAGACTGATGCAAGCAATAAACATATTCAAGTAATTAAGAAAAAAGCACGAAACAACCAACAGATTCAAGAAACTCAAGCTGTAACTTCAAAGCAACACTCAAAAGAAATTTTAAAATCAAGTGTTCGAATCATAGACTATACAACAACCAGTATATTCAATCTCCATACAGTAGATTCAAGCCATACACTGTATGTTCAATTCAAATCATACACATCGATGGTGCAAGTAAACATATTCAGGTTAAGACAAAGCATAGAACACATAACAACAAATAGACTCAAGCTGTAACTTCAAAGCATAGACAAAGCAACAATCAAAAGAATTCTAACCATGGCCTCCAATCATAGAATCAAAAAGCACAAAACAACCAAGTATATCCAATCATAGAATCAAAAAGCACAAAACAACCAAGTATATTCAATCTCCATACAGTAGCTTCAAGCTATACACTGTATGTTCAATAAAAATCATAGACATAGATGATGCAAGCAATAAACAAATTCAGGTTAGCATTAGACCACACAATACAGAGATTCAAGTAATCAAAAAACACAAAACAACCAACATATCCAAACCATAGCTTTAAAGCATAGACCACATAACAACAAATAGACTCAAGCTGTAACTTCAAAGGATAGACAAAGCAACAATCAAAAGAATTCAAACCATGGGTTCGAATCATAGAATCAAAAAGCAAAAAACAACCAAGTATATTCAATCTCTACACAATAGATTCAAGATCTGTTTTACTTAATAGAGTCGTTGCCAAAATCAGTCGTCACTTTGGATGTACAAGAAGTCAATTTAGATTAGTATAAGAGAACCACATGTCAAACATTAGTAACGGTAAGAGAACCACATGTCTACTTCAGATTTCTAACATAACGATATCAACTAATCAACATAGGAGAAAGCACATGTCTTATCCTACACTAGTTTCATATTTTGAACCTCTGATAAAACTATTTAATTACATAGCTGAGATTAATTTCAGAGGTTCTTGTTCATCTGCCATAATTTAAGTTTGTAACGATATAAACTAATTCATAACAAGTTTAGGAGAAACACATACCTATCTGAAGTCTTTAGACACTCTGAATTCTCTCGGAGTCTCCAAAACATACCTGAAAAAATATTAAAAAAGATTGCTTTAGCTCACTTGTAAAATATAGTTTTATGCCTTTCATGCACAGACCCTGTTAAATATTCGAACCGATAAAAAGGCTCTTTTGTCACAAGCAAGTCCATTCAGACATTTGACATAATAAAGACACAAACTTTTTCCAATTTCAGGACCATAGTTTCTGATATTTAAGATCTCACCAAAGACGGACAAGTTCAGAGAATTTTACCTGAAGAGAGATGATTATGTTGTAGAAGCGAGATCCTCCTCTGTCGGAAACTCTCTGTGATCACAATGAGTCTTCTTATACAACCTTCGATCTCAACTGCAACAACAAAAGAACCCAGAAACCGTTTAATTAAACATACTCAAATTAAGTTAATTAAAAACACAAACACGATACGAAAGAACTTAAATCTTCGATTAAATATAGAGATTAATCGAAAACAAAGACGATCATAGAAGAATTCAGAAACCCTAAGAAGTAATTACAAATCTCCGATTAAATACACCCTAAACGCGATTTACAAAAAATCTCTGGAAAAGCTACTACATAATCATAAATTACTAATCGAAGAGAAAGATAGATCAACCGATGATTAATTTCATAAAACTAAGGAAAGAAACTTACAAATCGATCCGGCGAAGGAGTCGTAGAGAAATCAAAAAAATTGAAATCCTTAAGGCTTTTGCCTTTGCGAAGTGAAGCCTATACAACGGTTACTTGTATACTATAACGGTTACTTGAACAAAGAGCCGTTTCTCGTTTTCAAAATCAGGTTTGATATTTATGTGTGCGTGTGGAATGTGAGACAGCAACGTGAAGTGGAAATAACGAAAATATAACGCGGATCACTTAATTGGGCTTATAATGGGCTAACCCGGATCACTTAATTGGGCTTATAATGGGCTATTGTTAACCAAATCGGTAACTTTTACAAAATGCTTGTATATGAAGCTATATGTTCTCGCACGTGTCCTTAATACATAGGATGGATACTCACACGTGATGTACATACCGATCGCACGCACACGTTCTTTGCTATGATCTTCAATTTATGCAGTAAAGATGACTGCTTCTTCATTCTCTCAATAATTCAAGGCAGGTATTGGTAAAATTTGTATTAGTAATTTCTTAAGTATCTTCCCTGTTTAGTATCTCTACTGAATTACATAATCCATCCATATTGTTCTAGTGTAAGCTCTAGTGTAAGCTCTTTGGCTCATAAAAAATATGTATCAAGTAATGCCATTATTAGATAGAAGATACACTGTTGTAACGAGATTTTCTTATCATGCGCCAGCTATATATATAGTCCACTCTACTGTAAAGCTTTAGTTACAGTATATTGTCTAACAGATCCATATTGCAAAAGTATCGTTGAAGATCTTGAGTTATGTTTTGAACAACACAACTGAGTTTTTTTTTTCCCGTTTGATTTGCATTTCCAGGATAGTAAAACAAAAGCAAATATTGTCATCCACAGAGCAACATTTTATTGAAACATAAATGGTTATAGAGTTTTGTAGGGGGCTAAAAACATGGATGCTACTTCTTGTTGGCTGTGAATAATCCCCATTTTTGTTCACCAGATGCAGTCCTTTCAAGCTTTGCTGTCCATAATCTTACAATATCATTGTAATCATCCTGTAATAATATTATTGGATTAACATGAGAAAGGCAACAAAGAGGTGTTTTGCTCAATGAATTTAGTTGTTAGAACCTCTGAGAAGTCCTTGATGAAGTCTTCCCTTTCTTGCTTCACTTTTTCTAATTCACGCTTGAGAAATTCTACGAACTGCAAGAAATGGTTATGTTAGAATCAGCATTTTAAAGAAATATATATACATAAAAGATGTATGTGGGAGTCACCTGATCAGTACGGTCCTCAGCAATCACATTCTCAAAGCCTGCTTCTTTCAGCATCTACAATAAGAAAAGGTTTCATGAATCTGATTAAATGATTATAAGTTTTCATGAGAAGAAAAGAACACAAACCTTTCCGTAAGCTTGAACATCATGGAGATCAAATCCTTTTGGTTCTATGTACTTTGCAAATTCAAGAGACGGAGTTTCAGCACTTCTGCAATAGTCGGTGATGAGAACTTTACCGCCTGGTTTAAGCCATTTCAAGAATGTCTTGAATAGAGCTGGCTTGTCCTGAACAGAGAATACAAATGATGCAGAGGATGAATTATACAAGAAAAAGAGGAGATATGTTGTGTGAAGTGTTGCTTTATTACTTGGATGTGCAGAATAGTGTCACGGCTGTAAATGACATCAAAAGAATTATCAGGGTATGTTTTTTTGGTGCAGTCCGCGACTTCGAACTCCACTGAGCATTTGCGTCCAATGGCACGCTCCAGCGCTAAAGAGATCATGTTGACCGATAGATCGATTCCAACTACATGAACATCAAAATTCTCAGCCATGTAGAAGCCACCTCCACCAATACCACAACCAACATCTAGAACTTTCTGTCCAGGTTTAAGGTCCATCTTCGCCACAAATTCTTTAGTTGTCTCTGTTAAGGAAACCATGAAAATAAAGACAATAGGCAGATGATCCAAGAACGTGTATGTCCGTATGAAGATAAAGAGTAAGAATGGGATTACCAACTCCACCACGGCTCATATATCCTTCCCCTAAGACACGCTCATAGCGCAAGATCCAACGGGACTTGTACAGAACATTGTCCAAGAAAAGCTGCGAGTCCATGTTCATGTCACTCTCCAAGCTGTCCTTTTGCCAAATCCAGCAAATCTGCATAAGAGAAAGTAGAAAATCTTATAAAGCCTTACAAATCTATGAACTGATGCTAATACACACACTTTTAAAGCCTTATCAAATTTGATATATCTTTATATAACATTAGAGTGTTTATTCTTTAATCTTTTTCACGTTTGGCACTTTTCATACAAACCTTTGTGTATAATCTTGGTTCACGGTAGTGAGTTGGGTTTGATTTAAGCTTGCTGTCCCCAGATTGATGGAAGCAAGACTCTCTGAAGAAAATGTAGTCACCTGCCACTAGTTCCACTTGGGATCATTCATCATCATAATCATCCAAAAGATTAGGCTTTCTTTATATAACCAAAACAAAAGGTTTCTAACTTCGAAACCATGAAGAGACGGACACTTTCTAACTTGGAAACATGAAGAGACACTTACTTTTTCTAATCTATAATATCATTCGATTTTTAAACAATTGAATTCACATTGTGGTTTTATCTTTATCTTAAAATAACAAAAATAATTGTTCTGAAGAGGGGCCAACAGTTTTTATTTTAATAACTTGCATATGCCATTGAGGTATGTGTTACTGATTGGGTTATTCAGTTAGGTGGTTTATCAATTTCGTGGAAGACACATTAACACGAGTGGAATCTCGTTCTTCGTCTGAAGCATGAATACCGTGCCATGGCCGATACAATGACTGATATTCTCTGGAACAGTGAGTTGTTGGTAATGTTTGGGGTGGATATTTTTGAGGCAATACATTCACTGTTATGATCTTTCAGCAATTCACCTTACCGCAAACTCGGTCTTCTATGAGCTCACCAAACACGTAGAGAAGGATTGCCATTTCATTAAACACAAGATTACCCGCGATATTGTTGCGATGAGACATGTGACAGTATGAAATTTCAAAAAGGCTCTAGGTCAATAGGAGTTGGACAGCATGAAATTCTTTTATACCAATTAGGTTGTCATTCTTGACACAAAGACTGGAGTAGATATCGAACAACACATACCAAGCAAATATTGTTCTTCAAGGAACAACTTTTATTGAAACATGGATCACCAAAGGATAGATAATAGAGTTGGGGGTAATAACATGGATGTTACTTCTTGTTCGCTATGAATAATCCCCATTTTTGTTCACCAGATGCAGTCCTTTCAAGCTTTGCTGACCATCCTCCAACAATGTCATTGTAATCCTCCTGTAATAAGATTATTTGGATCGATATGAGATTCAAGCACAAGGAGCTTTGCTCAATGAATTAGTTGAGAGAAATGTTTTTACTTCTGAGAAGTCGTTTATGAATTCTTCCTTTTCTTTCTCCACTTTTTCTAATTCACGCCTGAGGACTTCTACAAACTGCGGAAATTGGTTATGTTAGAATCATCGTTTAAAGAAATGTATATAAAATGTATGGGGGAGTCACCTGGTCAGTACGGTCCTCGGCAATCACATCCTCAAAGCCTGCATCTTTCAGCATCTACAAGAAGAAGGTTTCATGATAAATGTGAATTGTCCTTCAATTTGTTAAATGATCAAAGGTTTCATGAGAAAAACAGAACATAAACCTTTCCGTAAGCTTGAACATCATGGAGATCATATCCTCTTTGTTTGATGTACTCTGCGAATTCAGGAGACGGAGTTTCTGCACTTCTGCAATAGTCGGTGATGAGAACTTTACCGCCTGGTTTAAGCCACTTGAAGAATGTCCTGAATAGAGCTGGCTTGTCCTGAACAGAGATAAATGACGCAGAGGATGAGTAACCAAAAAGCATTTTCAAGAGTGAAAATAAAGAGATGTTTTGAATAGCTTGGCTAATACTTGGATGTGCAGAATAGTGTCGCGGCTGTAAATGACATCGAAAGAATTATCAGGATATGTTTTTGTGGTGCAGTCCGCGACTTCAAACTCGACTGAGCAATTGAGTCCAATGGCACGCTCCAGTGCGAAAGAGATCATGTTGACCGATAGATCAATTCCAACAACATGAACATCGAAATTCTCAGCCATATAGAAGTCACCTCCACCGATACCACAACCAACATCTAGAACTTTCTGTCCAGGTTTAAGGTCCATCATTGCCACAAATTCTTTAGTTGTCTCTGTTAAAGAAGCCAAGAACTTAGAGACAAGAGACAGGTAAACATTTACCAACACATGTATCCTTATGAAGATAAGAGTTAAAGATGGAATTACCAAATCCACCAGTGCTCACATATCCTTCCCCAAAGACACGCTCATAGCGCAAGATCCCACTAGACTTGTATTGAACATTGTCCAAGAAACGTTGGAAGTCCTTGTCATTCTCCAAGCTAACTTTTTGCCATATCCAGCAAATCTGCCATCAGATAGATGATAAATTTAACAACTCAGTGGGATCAATTGATAAGGAAACTCAACTATCTGATAAAGAAAACTTTGTACCTGATTCTGATTCTTCTTGTTCTTCACATAAGCCCCAATGCATTTGCAGCCAACCATAGAGAGCTCAAATGCTTTGCCTGAAGCATCACGTGTCTGACATTCTTTGAAAACCTGCATTACATTGTCACGTATACAGTTTAGCTAGTCATTTCACACTCGTGTACAAGATAAAACAATTAGATCTTAGTAACATAAACAATGATATGTGAATATTGAACCTTAGTATAGAATCTTGGTTCACGGTAGTGGGTGGGGTTTGATTTACGCTTGCTGTCCCCAGATTGATGGAAGCAAGATTCTCTGAAGAAAATGTATCCCCCTGGCTTTACCCATCCAAGCATTCTCTCTGCCATTAGTTCAACCTGCAATCACCACCACCATCATCATCATCCAAAGGATTAGCCTTTCTCCTCTACAAAGTCAGAAGAGTAAAAGAATCAGATTTTACCTCTTTGTCAGAGAGATACATGAGCAACCAATTTGAGAAAATCAAGTCGACAGATCCATCTGCGATTTTCAGGTCTGGAGATGTTACATCAGCACACATAAACTTAACGTTCTTGTAATGCCCATTAACACTTTCATTCTGCAAGAACACAACATCACCAAATAAACCAAACATGAGAAGAATCCATGGTAAAGATAGAAACTTTATAACATAGAAACAGCTAGTAAAGTAGTGAAAACCTTCTGAATGGCGCTTTCGATGAAGTCAAGGGCAATAACTTCACCAGCCTTCTGAGCCAATTCACCAGTGAAACGGCCAATACCAGCTCCAAGTTCCAGCACAGTTTTGCCTTCATATGGTGGGATTAAAGAGAGTACCTGAAGCAAAGAAACACATCAGCCCAATGTTCAATTATCAAAATACTAAAAACTGTTTTTTTAATAGGTGATCAAGAACAGTACGTCACACGTTCCTAAACTGGATTCATTAGATGCTAAAATAGAATTACGAAAGAAAGATAGATAAAATTAACCTCAGGACGCTCTTCTTTGTCGAGATCAGTAGCTTTGGAATCAAGCATCATAGCTTCAACAGTCAAATCACTTGAATGCTCCATCCAGTAGCTTTTTTGGATATGTCTCTCTTCCTCTGTTCCAAATTTTTTTTTATATATAACCAAAACAAAAGTGAGACAGTCTCTAACTTCGAAACCATGAAGAGACACCTACTTTTTTAAAAATTCCATTTTTTCTTTTTAAATGAATTCACAAAACGTGATTTTTTTTCATAAAGATCAATAATTTGATGAAGAGGGACCAACAGTTTTTTTATATCTTTTTATAAAAATGGTGATGATGATCCGATTTTATTAATTGAGAAGAAAAAGACAAAACAACAAAAGCAAAAGATTCGATTTTTTGGTGCGATTCAGACAAAAGGAAGAATAGAGCATTACTGTAAGGTGTCGCCATTACTTAGGAGAGGTTCGTAAAAAAAAAAGGGGTTAATAAAGGAAGGAAGAAGACGATAGGTTTCAATGGCCTTCAACGGCGAGTCTGGATCTAGAGAAGCTTCTTGACCTACGGTTGTTTCTTTTTCCTCTTTGATGCATTCTTGAGCGAGATCAATTTCACAATTTTGAACTCCTCAGACTCGATTCCCTCAGATTTCTCCGCGAAAGCTTTGGTTTTGTGGCTCACAGGAGACCGTTGAGCGCTTTTAGAGAATGTGAGAGAGAGAGACAGAGAGAGAGATGGTGGGCTTGGGCCTTTCGTATTAGGCCTTTATAGACCTTGTTATCTTATAAACTACAATGCACCTAATAAATCAAATAGTCCAAAAAAGAAAACGAATACTTGTGATCGACTTGGGTTTTTTTTTTTCGTTTTGGTAAAAGGTTAAATTTTATACCACATTTTTAAATTTGTAACCGAAATTACAAAGAAAACAAGTAGCAGAAAAAATAAAAATCTACAGAATAAACAACAACAAACAAAACAGCGAAAGAGAACATCGCAAACCTAAAGCGGAAACGAAAGAAGAAACACCGATTCTGAATAGTCAAATTCGGAAATTTGCGTGACGGATAGGCTACAGATCGACTTTGGTTATTTTGGGATGGGTGTGTGATTGTTTGACCTCCACCAATGTGTGAAGTTATAATTGAAAACTCCAGTAACATCGCATCTTTCTTCAGTTTTATGCTTACCTCAATGATTCTTGAAACATATCATTTACTAAACGAATAATAAGATATACAAAGACAACTCCTAATGTTTCATTCATGAATGTTTTTGTTTTTGTTTTCTAGTTCTTTCGGGAATTTACATGAATTTGGGTATTTAAAATTCAGATTTAAAGACCCTTAGCGCGAGGAAGATCAATCCATTGAAGTTGAGCCTCAATCTCACCGCACTCGACATGTTTTAGTCTAAGGACTAAATCTTGAATGAGCTTACCGTCAGTCCATATAACCCGAGACTCCTCGGCAAGGCAATTGTCTCGGCTCGGCTGGACCGTGGTCACAATGGTCCCAGATGGGAGATCATGTAAGTGCATCTTCACTGCATTAACGAATGATTTAATCTTGAACTCCGCATCTCCCATCTTGTCGTCTTTGGTGAACGTGTCGTGGTCATACACCGTCTAGAGAAAGTATATATAAACCCATAAGTGATGATTATGAAGCTTGTTTATACGAACATATATATGATAACATTATGGAAATTATAAAGAAAAATGAAATACATGATCGTAGCTGCAGGTAACTTAAATGACATACCAAGAGGACAGTAAGACTTGGATCTGTAACAGAGAGAGTCAAATCTTCATTCCACTCAGGATTCACATTATTGTAAATAACTCGAGTCTTCAATTTCTGCCCATAAAGTTTTAAATATTTCTCGTTAACTACATATATCTTTTTTTTTTATTGTCATCTGTTAACTACATATATCATTACGTTAAATATTAATGATTCTTAAATTATAAAAGGAGAATTTGTAATTTTGAAGTGTGTAATTTGTAATCATAAACTACGTACCGAGTAATACTACTATACTAGTCTAGATTCGAAAGTCTTCTTAAAAACTCGAGAACAACCAAACAAATAGGACCTTACCTTAACTTCTTAAGCACTAAAACGATTTCGATTACCCTTAAATATTCAGATTACACTAAATTACCTAAAATGAAAAGTGAAGTTAAACAAATAAATTAATTTTGACAAACTGGTTGAACCAATTAACCTAGCCATGCATAGACATTAATACATGTAGTTGTTAGATTTTTAGATACCGGACGACAGAGACATGCCAACTCAGGGAGTCTCTAGGGCCCTAAAGGCCATATTTAACATGTATTATGGTTAAGAAGGGTTACCTGTTTTCCCATTTTGACGACGACGTAAGGATCACTACTATTGAGATCACGGACGGCGAGGTTGACACCGCGTTTGATGCGAATACGGAGGAGACCTAGTAGATTGTCCATTAGAGAAGGCTTCATCCTCTAATCTTTATGCTTCTCAGCTGATTCAATATTTTTGATTATTTTTTTTTTTATTTTTTAAAATTTCTCCAGAAAATCTAACATCTACCGGATAACAGAAAAAAAAAAAAAAGAAAAAACAAAGAGAAATGAAAGGAGGAAAATCTAATTTCTGAAATGACCATGTAAATAAAGGAAAAAAACTCAAAATAAAAAGTAAACTATATATAGATTCTGCAATGAATAGAATTATCAAACTAGTTAAGGCACTGCTGTATAATAAAGTGAGATGGCCCATTTATAATCATTAAGAGGCCCAATAACTAATGACACAAATAAAGACGCCTTAAGACTTAACAAACCAAGAATCAAACCGTTCACGTACTTGGCACGGAGAACTCTCGCTCATCGTCCTCGCCTTGCCGCCGTCGTCCCTATTTGCCTTCGCCGCCGTCGTCCCTATTTGCCTTCGCCGCCCGTGAGTTTGCAATCTTGGTAAATTTCGTGCCTTCTTGGAAAAGGCATTCTTAGTCTAATGGTAGACTGAGATTCTTAATTTTAGTCTCGAAATTGAATTTCACTTATTCGGCTATCCTTAATTCAATCGCTAGGTAATCTGGGGTTTGTTTCTTGCTATAAGATTAATCGATGAAAATGTACAAAAGTTAGTTTCTGTTGAGTGAGTTCTAGGCCTTTACAAGTGTTCTTTCAGCTTTTTTTTTTTGGTAGAGCGATTTATCAATTGAGTTTGATGCATCTATAGAGAAATGAGTGATTTATGATGATGATGCTTTCAGAAAATTTGCTCAACCAAAAAAAAAATGCAATTAAGTTAGTTGCTATGATCGATTTTTCTCTGTTATAGATTGACACTCAAAGAACTGTAAACGATATTTTTTTTTGGTTTTCTCTCATGATTCACAGGAAATTTTGGAGTTTTTGGTGTAAATTTGGTAACAAGAGGGCATGTGCGGATGAATCTTCTTCCTACATATTCGTGTGAGGAGAGATATGAATTCCCAAGCAGAAGTTGAGCAATGGGAAGCTCTTGACCTTGGTGATTCTGAGCTCCCGTCTTTTCTCCGCCCTTGCAAACGGAAATCTCCATCTAGCTCTCTGCAACCGCCTGCGCAACAACAGAATCCAAAGGCTGGTTTTAATAGTAACACAAATCACCATCAGACTCTCCACCGCTGCTCCTCGTCAAATCAGTTTCTAGAGGACAGTTATTCGCGCTCCTTAATTCCAGGCCCTGCTGGAGTTGTTCAAGTTGCAATCCGCAGAAAGATGAATAAGGATCCAAAATCGTTCAATGAGCGCGGAGAACCAATTCCAACTCAAGAGTTCCTACGTAAGGCTGCAGAAGAGCCTGATTGGGAAGACAAGGATTTCTCTGAGGACCCGTGGGTCTCTGCTGTTGATTACATCAGAAGTGAAGGTAGATGCTTTCTCTAGAATCTGACGCTTTCAGCTTTTGATGTAAACATTGTCAAATCCCTAGCGCTTTTAGTTTACCTTTTTCAAAATATTTGGCAGGTTTGTTGAGCAAAGGTGGAAATGCTATAGGGACACCAGTGAGCGAGATTAAGAGCAGATGTGACAGTTGGGGTAAAGTTGAACAGGTATGAACAATATACTTAATTTAGCCTGTACCCTCTAGTCCATTCCCATTATATCAAGAGATCTAGGGATCATCCAGTTAGAGTATACTGGAAATCTGCATCCTAAATTAGTCTGCTGGTATGTGTTGGCTTTTTCTTTGTGTTGTGGAGAGATTCTGAAAAATATGTCTTACACCCAATCTACTTGGCCACAAGTTGTCTGCATAGTTTGTAGAATAATTGAGGTAGTAGAAAGTAAACTTCTCATTGTTTTTTGGTTAAGCCACATGCTGATGCTATCTTACATCTTGCAACTAAAAATAAAAAGTGTAGTGATGTATTTAAATTGTGGTTGGTCTTTCGTAGGTTGTGGCAATTGTCAAAACTCGCACTCCAAATGGTCTAGGTGATGTCATGGTGACTCTTAAGGTAAAAAAAAAACATACCAGAAACTCTTAAAAATGGGAATTGTTTCCACCTTTGGTTTTATTCAAGCACCATTTACCATCTGTCTCAAATCAATGTGTATTTCTGGTAGGATCCCACTGGAACAATTGATGCCAGTGTGCACAGAAAAGTTATCTCTGAGGGTGAATTTGGAAGAGATATAAGAGTTGGTGCAGTGATGATACTTAAGCAGGTTTGTTCTTTTTATTAATGAGATAAAACAAATCATGGTTTTGATGTTGCTGCTTTGTTCTCAGTCACTTTTGGTAATTCAATGGAGATGGAATAAGATATAGTGTTCTTCAGGTTGCAGTCTGCGCACCTTCACGGTCATCAACCTATCTTAACATAACACTGAAGAACATCTACAAGGTAGTATTTCTCTGGTTGTTTTGGATATCAAGTTTCACCTTCTTCTTATATTCATTGGAATATATGAAAATTTCTGAAGGCTAGAGAGTTTCCATTCACAGGTTATCACAAAGGATACTCCTGTTTTACCAAAGCAGAACGATTCTGAAATGGGTGCCAAGAATCCTGTTCCTGTGAATGGTAAGTGATTAAAATTTATTTCTTTTTTTGCACAGTTTGATAAAAAAAACTCAAACCTTTAACTTGGTCTAACAGAAAACGAGGAAGATTTGCGACTGCAACCCAAAGTGTTTACCGTGGAGCAAGGAACTACCCAAGGGATCCTGAACAATCTCAGACAAAATGCTACAAAAAGCAGTGAAGCACTCAATGATGTAGAAATGGTAGAAATTGATCCAACAGAGGCAAGCAACTTCTGTCCAAAAGAGGATGTGACCAAGAATCGTTGTGAAGTTAGAATGGAGCAGACCCGGCTGGGAAAACATGATTCAATCAGCCAAACAGAGCAACAACTGCATGAAGACGTAGCTACTGAGACTGATACAGGTGATGGCATTAGACCTGCTAAACAGATCAGACGAAGTCCTGATGAGCAAGGGAGTGTAAACGGGAACTCTGATGAAGTTACAGCTCGAACTATGGTCCACAAATCTCAACCGATGGCATCAACAAGCTCGTTGCCACAGTGGACAGACGATCAACTTGAAGAACTCTTTGCTTTTGATGACTAAAATGGACAGTTAGGATTTCTATTGATGTAGGGAACTAGGAAGTAGGAACAATTCCACTTTTCCATATAGAGAGAATGGAAATAAATTGTAAAGCAGTTACAGAAATGCTGAAACAATTTACAGAAATTTTCAACCACGAAGAGGAATCTAATACCCATCACATAATTTATAAAATTCTTCCCAATTATGAAAAACATACAAATTTAAACAAGAATCACATACTATGTATGTATCTAGAACAGCATGTAGAGAAGAGTTGTATTTTTCAAAATATAGGGATAAAAGGAGAGCCCGTATATAAATTAGAGGTCAAAATTGCAAATAGTTACAAACTTGTAATAATTCTTTTTTTTTTCTCTTTATCCATTCGTTCGCCGGCCAAAACCTTCCTAAAACCTTCTTCACTCACAGTCTCTGCCTCTGGTGAGATCTTGCCGGAGAGATATAAATGTCGTCTTCCAGAATATTCCTAGTCGGAAATACAATTTTCCGGCCTCACAAGCCCTCGTTTCCACTCTCTTTCAATCGCTTCCCCTCTGTTGTATCTCTCCGCTTACGATGCTTCTCCAGTGACGCCGCCACCGCCGCGATAGAAACCGCCGTAGATTCAGATTTGAAGTCTCAGCCTCCTCACCCATGGCCGGAGTGGGTAACTTTCGTCGATCGTTTGAAGACGAAAGGATATTTCACCAAAGACACCGAAGATGATACGGTTTACCAGGAGATGAATCTAGTTAAAGATGCTTGTCTCAGCTTCGCTCGTGATCGATACGACGTTCTCAGGTATACAATTTCTCGAATTTATCAATCTTTAGTGTTGACACTGATGATGTAATTGCTGTTCTTGATCCAGATCCTTATCATCTGGAGATGTACAAGCTCTTGTGGAGCGTGGGTGCCCTAATCTCTTCAGAAAAACTGTGAATTCCTCTAAAAGGATTCGAGCTCATGTTCGATTAGACGAAGGAGATGTATGTACGCATGTTTCATTAGCTATTGAATTGTTAAACCTTAGAAATAGAGAGATGAGAGATCTTAACCCATGAGAAATGTTTTCTTTCGATTTAGGTTTGTGGTTCTTGTGACCTTCGTAGCTCGTGTGATAGAGCTTATGTGATACTTAAGGATACAGAAGCTGATGCTCGAACTGTTGATGTTATGCGTTTGCTATTGTTCAATGCGCTTGATTCGATTGTTATCTCTGGAGGTGAGATTCCACCTGGTAAAGAACTTATTCATGAATCTGCAAGAAGGCTTCTTTTAGAGTTGGTTGACTTCAGTGAGAAGCCTCTAAGTCCTGCCTTGCCAAAACCTTCTTCCAAGGAATCTTTGCCTCCAAAGGAGAGGGCTTTTAAATCAAGGAATGATGAGCCTTCTCAACGCGCGGCTTTTAAATCGAGGAACGACGAGCCTTCTCAACGTGTGGCTTTTAAATCGAGAAACGATGAGCCTTCTCAACGTGATCGACCTCATTACAGTGCAGATTGGGCTTGTCCCAAGTAAGTGATTTCTAAGAATGATTAGGTCGTATGCCATGTCCCTAGAAAAATTGGACTTATTCTTTATACACTGTGAATCCAATTTAGTTTCCTAAGCTCTTACCTTCTAGATGATATCGTATCTAGGTTGCAATAATGTTGTCAGCTTCTTTGATGAAGAGGTTAAAACACTGGATTCAGAAGTTAGTGTTTGTTTCTGTTAATTTCTGACTTGTTTTTGTGTTCTTTCTTTTTGTGTTCCTCTACAGATGCGACTTCGTAAACTTTGCCAGAAATGAAAGATGCCGAGAGTGCAATGAAGTCGCTGACAGACGACCTGTTGCCGCTGTAGTAAAGGAGGGTGACTGGCTATGTCCTGAGTAAGTCCAAAGCTGACACAATTACCCGTTATTCCCTAAAATCAAAAGCAGACTTTTGTATCATACCCTCATTGGTTATTTCCTTGCTGATTCCACAGGTGTAGTTTCTTAAACTTCACAAGAAACCAGAGCTGTCTGAAATGCAAAGCAAAGGGACCAAAGAAAACTTCAACGGTGAATGTTGTTGAAATGAAAAAAGGAGACTGGAACTGCACTGGGTAAGTTTCCCTTACCTCTCAAAGCCTCTACAGTATCCATTTTTTATGTAAAGTCATTTTATCTTGCTTTGCTCGACTGCTCTGTACTGATCAGACTGCTATTATGTATATTTTTTCAGGTGTGGATATATGAACTTTGCTAGCAACAAACAGTGTCGACAGTGCCGAGAACAACGTAACAAGACGCTAGCAGAACCTGGGGATTGGGAATGCCCCTCGTGCGTCTCTCTTTCTCTCTCACTCTCTAATTTAGTAATTTTTTAATCTTCATACCCTAAACCAAACGTCCCTATTTCCTTGGCTCATGTTAATCTTGCAGATGCGACTTTGTGAACTTTAGGAGAAACGATGTTTGCAAGAAATGCGAGTGCAAACGGCCCAGCGAATCTACTAACGATCAAGAAGACCATACATGGAAGCGACCTGCCTTAGTGTAACCATATGCTTTTGGACTTCCCAGAATCACAGCTTGCTACTTCCTTTCAACTTGTTATTTCTTCTACTCTTTGTTTAGTTCCCAAATTTCTAAACCAGAAGCAACTTTTAAGCAGAAAAATGAAAATCTAGTTTGTAGTCACATTCATCGTCAAAAGTTGTTTTATATAGTCAAGTACAAACTATGTCAGCTCTACTAATACAAAACAAGCCATGATTCATACAAAAGCTTCAGGGCCAAACAAAAAAGCTGCAAGTTCTTCGTTAGGAATTAGACCTTGGCAAAAAACTAATGACAATACCGATGCAAGAGACAGAAGTTATGCACAAAAAGTATATGAGAATTTGAGATGATGATGAGATCAGATTTATCAGTTAGTCTCCATTTGAAATTTCACCTTCAGATTCCTTCTTCCCTCTTCTTTATCCACTGAACCACTTTCCTTGAGACATGATTTTGGCGATGGAACAGACTTTTGAGGATTATGGGACAAAGGAACTTTGTTCACTTCATTGTCTTCCTCAAAGGGGTCAAGGCTGTACGTAACTTTAGACCATCCTAGCCTAAACTTTTTGCTCCTAGCAAATTGATAAGCCGTCACTGCATCTATGCTCTGCATGAATACTACTTTCGCAGAGCTTTTCTCTGGGCTTACATCAGTTCTTGAAGCATCTATTTTCCCAAACACACTGAACCTCTTCAACAGTTCTGATTTAGATGGGATATTCCCATGTCTACTCAAGAACTTCATTCGCAAACATTTTGGATTAGCAAGCCGCATATCTTTCATAAGGTGTAGATCCAACGGTTTATCAGTAGAAATAGATTGTTGGCGTGCTTTCTTCTTTCTCTTGGACTTACGTGCAGATGCTTTGTCTTGACTTGCTTTCCTTTTGACACCACCAATGGATCTGACATTATCCACTGATCTCGTCTGGTTTTCAACATTTGTTCCAACTTCCAAATCTTGTAATTGTTCTGCAGGTGCAATGCCTACATTTTCAGAACTCAATTCTTTGTTTAAAGTGCCTGTAATCTGTAGCGAAGCCTGTTCCGCGTCCAAAATATGTGACTCCAAAGCATCACCAGAGATGTTCTCTCGTATTCTGTTAAAACTATTCCTATCTAACGACTGCTCATTCAAGGTCTTGCTATCAAGCTTGTTTCTTGAGTTAGTATATTTGTTTCTCACTGAACAAGCTAGAGTGTGACAGGATCCCGGAACAACAAAAGAAACAGGCTTTACCAAATAAGTTTTGTCATTACTCCCATCAAGCAAGGGTGACAGTTGCTTTGTTGACGTTACAGGTCCATCAACCAAACCAATAATGTCATCATGAGTTTTAATCATAACATCACTAAGTGCTTCTGATACAGCAACTCTTGGGGCAGTAACGGAGGTAGTTTCATCCTCTATCATATCTTCAATAGGAGGTTCTGAATTCAGTAAGCAGACACTCTGCTCAACTTGACACCATTCTTTACCCTCTGACCGGTGACCATCATTCTTATGAACAGCTGTTTGAGCCATGGTTTTGCAAGCTTTCATGGTGCTAGAACTAGAGTTGGTTAGCGGGTTACTCGTATTCCATGTGCAAATCTGAGCTACTTTATCAACAGATTGCACAAAAGAACACGGGATATCATTTGGCAACGGTTCTCTTAGACTCAAATCTCTACTGTCTTCCAAGTCTGCATCCGCTGTCTCAGGAAACATAGAACCAAGGTCCATGCAGTCCATCTTATTTGAGGGATCAAGAAACCAATCTGATTCTTCAGAGCAATCCACTAGTTTTGCACCTGTACACATATTCACAGAATCATTTGACAATACAAATCACAGCAATATCTGTCAATCAATACTTAACCTTGATCCAGTCTGAACAGAGCATATAAGTTACACTCAAATTTCGTTTCTTTAAGTTCATCTAAAACGAATCGAACAAAACCGTATGAATAATCTACCTCGGGAAGCTCTAAAGCATATAGAGAAACACCAAATGTCTTCTTTCCCAATTGAACTGAGCATAAGCATAAGTAACACAAGAACAAGAAAACCCAAAAAATGATAACTTTCACACTTACTTGCTGTAGTTTCCTCATAGACAGATTCAGAACGCTTGAAATCAACAGTGTAACGCCGAAAACTAAGAATCTGAGCGCTCGAACTGTTGGTCTTAGCTAACCTCCGTAGAGGCACCCGTATCGAAACGGCCATATCTCGAACAAAACACAGAGCCGAATCAGAAGAGCGAGGAAACCATGGGAAAGAGTTTTCAATCTCGAAGTACGGCGATTCAATTGGCGGCTGGCACGAACACCATAACCCAAACGAGATATTCCAAAAGTGAGCTCGCAGAGCTCGATTCACGAACCGGCGAAACCTCCACGAATCTGAAACCAAGGTTTCGAAATTGCGATCGAAGCTTCGAATACAATGTTTTGGAACGTATCGCGGCTCCATTAGGCCGAAGAACGAGACTAGAATCCCTACCGGTACGGATGGGTCAAGAATCCGACCCGAAATCCATGTATCCGATAAGCTCAGGCGTACCCAAACTAGCTCCCCTATCTCCCACATCTTATTCTCCGATGAAATTAGGGTTTAAGCTTTCTCTCTGATAACCATCTCTGTGAGAAGACAAGAGAGAAGAAATTGTAAAGCTCTGTGTGTAAAATAAGTAACGTCTCTTCTATAGAGCTTTTTGTAATTTAATTGAATTACACTTCATGCCGTTTCCAACTCTTAGTAATGAACTACATGACGTTTGATTGACGTTTTTATAACAGTAAAGAAAACTTCCTGCCGTTTCATTTATTCCGCCGTTGAAAACCACAAAAGCCGTTTTCAGCTCAGTTCGGGTGCTTCAATGGCGACGGCGACGACGGTGAATATCAAACTTTCTCGATCAAACCGTATATATCGCTCTTCCGTATGTATTGAATCTCTTCTCTAAACCCCTCCTCCTTCGTATGATTACGATGAAGACGAAATTGAAATCTCCGGTTTTGAATTGACTCAGGAACCAGTAGAAGGAAAAATTGTGATAACATCTGCAACTTCGATTTCGCATCAAGCAATTCGTTTATCCGTCAATGGATCAGTCAACTTGCAGGTTTCAAATTCTCTCTCGATGAAGCTTTTCTTCAATTTGGTTCCGAGTTAAATCTCTCTTCCTCTCACCCCTACAGGTTCGTGGAGGATCAGCTGGAGTTATTGAGTCTTTCTATGGAGTCATCAAACCCATTCAAATCGTGTAAGCATTTTGGTTCTTGAAATTGATTCCTTGATTGTCGAGCTTTATAGCAAATAATTAGAATTTGGAAACAGCAAGAAGACGATCGAAGTTAGATCCTCTGGGAAAATCGCTTCTGGAACTACAGAGGTAAGTAAATAACAACACAGTCGTCCCATTGAGTGAGAAAAGCTAAGCCTTTTAGATACCAATCCTCTGTGTGGTTGTGTTTTGTTGGCTGTAGATACCATTCTCTTTTAATCTGAGGGAGCCTGGGGAAAGCATTGTAGAAAAGTTCTATGAGACATTTCATGGAACAAACATTAACATCCAAGTAAGTACTTTTTGATCAGTTTATAGAACAGGATTTTATAAAAATTTCAAATTAAAGATTGGGGGAAAAAAATTGATGCAAAAATCTGTGATAGTATCTACTAACTGCAGAGATACCGCGAGGATACTTGCACAAACCTTTGTCTGCGACGGTAGAGTTTATTATTGAGAGTGGTAGAGGTACCTCTTTACTTTATTACTTCATTGGTGTTTCTAGGATAAACTTGAATTGTTTTGTGATGTTTTTTTCCTTGGTTTTTGGTTGAAGTTGATCTTCCCGAGCGGCCAATTCCTCCGGAGTTGGTCATCTTCTACATTACTCAAGATACTCAAAGACATCCATTGCTGCCCGAGATTAAGACAGGTTTGTTCTTCCAACAACGTCACTCCAATTTGGAGATTTGCTGATATGAGATGAACTAATAGGACTATTTGATCTCACAAGGTGGTTTCCGAGTTACCGGAAAATTAGCCACCCAATGCTCTTTGCAGGATCCACTTAGTGGTGAGTTAACAGTGGAAGCATCTTCAGTTCCTATTTCTTCTATTGACATTCACCTGCTTCGTGTCGAGTCAATAATTGTTGGAGAAAGGATTGTCACTGAGACCTCTTTGATTCAGTCTACACAGGTGTTAACTATGACAATTTTGGTTCGTTTATGTAACAATCGTAATATCACAATGATTTACTGACTGAGTCCATGTTCAGATTGCAGATGGAGATGTCTGCCGTAACATGACTTTACCCATTTACGTTTTACTTCCTCGGCTTCTGATGTGTCCTTCCGTTTTCGCAGGGTAACTTTCTTTGCATCATTTTTTAATAAACCTAGGCAGTTGATGGAAACAAATGACTCTCTAAGGAGTATGTACTATATAATCTGCTGGAACTGATGATAACTGTGATCCTATGTCTTTGTCGAACAGTCCTTTCTCAGTGGAATTCAAGGTATGCCTCACCATAAGTTTCAAATCAAAGCTAGCAAAAGCACAACCGAAGTCAGATCCAACTGCTCCACGACTATGGGTATTCTTTCTCTCTTTTCTTCTCTTTGCTTATGATTTGGGTCATATAATAAACGATTCATGTGAGGTTTTTCAGATGGCACTGGAAAGGTTACCGCTGGAACTTGTCCGGACAAAGCGAGATCAGTTCAGCTGCTAAAGAACAAGCTAACATATCAGGTCAAGGTGTCTTTCTTTGTTTGTCATACGCATACACTTGAAATTGGAGTTGTATGCTGTGCCTGCCTAGCGGTTTATTCGTGTCTGCATGTACAAATTCTGATTTTTTTACCCTGCCCCAATGTTTGTTACAATGACTACAAGATGTTTGTACTATACATCTGCCTAAATCTACTATGATATAATAGAGGGAGAAAGAATGGCTCAAAACACAGGGATTGAAGAGATGGTTTTAACCCAAAAAAAAATTGAATTAAATGAATGAATATGAACAATGTACATGTGTGCTGTATATACATAACTAGATAGAGAAACTGGTTGGTAAAATAAGTAAAGAAAATGCAAACAGAGACTTATCTCCTGTATCTTACAGCTAACGGCCATTGTGGTGAATTACGGTGAAGAGCTTTGAGCAAAGCAACAAACTTCAGTGCATTCTCTATGCTGCACCACTTCAGCCGCCATGTAACCAGATCCACTGTTTTGTTCACTTTGATCTTCAATGACACAACAGTTCCTTGCGATTCAACAATCTGAACAAAAACAACATTCAAGTTTGAACATGAAGTTGACATCTCATCTGATGTAAGTATGAGCAAAACAGGAAGATGACTGAAGAAATTGATTACCATCTCAGATATATCAGAAATGAAGCAGCACGAGTCAAGGAAGAAATATGAAGCAGAAGAAGAATACGCAGTTCGAGAACTAAGTTCTGCGAGGTTCTCATTGCATATAAAGAGACGTCTACCAGCCACAAACAGTGACCGCCAAAGCCACGGCACTTCTGTTTAGTTTAAATCAAACAAAAATCTTAGTAGTCAATCAGTGTAACTTGTATTTGGAGGTTTTGGTCGCAGTGAACATAAAACAACAATTATAGCCATGAAACTGTTTTGCTTCATAATTCATGATGCAGAGTGCACTTCATCTAAAACATTTAATTAAAAAACAGGGACCCAAATCATTTTCTCTGGTAAGGTTCTCGATGTAATGTAATTTAAACCAGAGAAGATTAAAATAGGGGAGGGACATAGCTTATCACTCTAGGTCGCCAATGTGGGCATGATTTAGCCTAACCACAGCGTTTGCAGAATTATCTATAAAATATACACTTCGAAACTTTTTCACGTTTCGTTTCATGAGGTACGATGCAACTTTTCATGAACCATTTTTATAAATCTAGGATATCATAGTTAGATAAGAGAAAATATACCTCCAAGAGTGCTGCTCTGAAAGTGGATAATATTGTACTGGTATATACTCAGCTTCAAACCTCCACATATTTCTTTCTCAAACAAGTTTACCTGAATATTCTCCAGGCTGCCATGAAGATGGAAGAACATATTATGACAGCAAAAATTAACATCCCCGACTCTGGGTAGAAAGTTAATAGCTTACCTTTGCAACGAACATTTAAACTCTGTTGCATGGGACTCGAAAACTTGTATGATATTGAGTAGTTCTGTTGTTTTCTCAATGCACTTCGTCACGAAAATGTATTCTGTACCCTCCCAAAAGCGTAGCCTACCCAGAGGAAATTAAAAGGTTCAGTGACATGGACAGTGGATAACAAAAACAAATCTACAAAGCCAAACCAGAAAAAGACTAACATCACAAACTGAAGTCCTAGACCAACTGATACGTCTTGCAAATCCTTGATTTTGTGGCAACACAGTACACTTAAGGTAAACCCTGCAGTCACCCATCGCCATTAAGAACTCAGCATCAGTAAAATTTATGACGTGCTAGACAAGAACGACAGCTGATTAGTCTAACCTTCGTGATCAGTAGCCACACCCACGAGTAGCACGTACAGCTTGTCTTGGTTACTAAGCAGCAACACTGCTTCCCTGTATTTCAAAATATCGTCAGAAGGGAATCAAATAGATAAATCCAGGTATGATCTGTCTTCTCAAACCAGCAAATCAGCAATATACTTATATAAAAGCCGAAATTCGCATACGCCTTCTCACACATCACTCAGTTTAAGGGAACCCAAAACATCTAATCAAAGGTTATCGTGTGGTTCTGCAAGTCAATTTAATATTAAGGAAGCTTAGCCATACCAGTAAAGAATCAGATATCAATACTATTATATCTATTGAAGGGGACTCGCATTACTATCCTTTACCTATAAACTACAACCATGCAAATGAAACAATAACTCACCGTTGCTTGTATGTGGAACCTTTCTTTAGTACAAGATCACAACTCATGTACATCTTACATGCTTCTTGGGAACTGGAATCAGTCAGTTTGGCTGAAAAATATTCCTCTACTAAATCGCCATTTCCTTCAAGTGTTCTTTCAGTCCCCCAAAATCTTATATTGCTATTACTACTACTACACACTTCTGACAAGCTTTCCCGCATATAATCAGAAATACACTCTTCTTCACCGGAATCACAGATATCTACATCACTCCTGAGAGAAGTCTCTCCATTAAGAATGCAACTTTCCTCTTTCTGCAGAGAAACAAATCTTTTTATAGGTTTCCTTTTCCTTTTTTCAACCAAATGGTAAATCTGATTAACACCAGAATCAAGGTCACAACTATGCAATTTAGACGCACTAGTAGAATTCTCCTTCATCGATTCATCTGTCCTCAAAGTTTTTATTATGCTACCATTCTTCACTTGAGAATCATAAGATCTTGTTCCGTTCATATCACATCCAGGAATTGGGTCCCTAAGTCTATTCACATTAAAAACATCTGTCAACCGCCTATCTTCATGATTTGAATACTCAGACTCAGAGTCATACTTATCATCTTCACTGCAGCTGCTTGTGCTGTCAGATGATGCCACTGAAAAGGAATCTGCAGACAACTGCAAGATTTCTTCCACCAAGTTATGACGTCGATATAAGACATCTTTCTGATAATGAGGGGGTGACCCAGGATATGTAGATCCCGTAATATCCTGTGTTATATCCAATGTTGACATGTTTCCATTTTCTGCTGCTTTCTCCCTAGCAAATGTTGCAGGAAACAGATTGTTTGGTTCAACTGACAAAGTTTCCAACTTATCGTGTAAACAATCCTGATTCTTCTGATGTAGACCTGTACTTTGAAGGCTTAGTGAAGAGATGTCATTGGTTATCTTTTGTGTCTCATTACCTTCAACGTACTTCATATCATCCATATCAGTTTTATGATCTACACATGAACCATTGCATTCTAAACTTTTCTTATAGCTCTTAGCTCTTGGAGCGCGTAAAGACCCAGGCCCATATCTCGGTGTTCCACCATGATGCCTCGAGGTTTCTCTAATCTTTGTACAGTGCTTCTTTTCCAAATTACTACCCCTACTGTCATTGCTGACATCTACAAAATCCTCTCGCGAATTATCCATCCACTCCTTGAACTCTCGCAACCACAAAACATTACGATCTTTCTTCAGGTTTTCAGCTTTACTTATAAGACCAAATACATCAGCTTCTTGATCACACTTCACATTCTCTTTGTTCTCGTGATCACATGAAGCTAACTCTCGGTCAGAATTCACGTAGGTGCTCTCTTCCTCACTATCAATAGAAGCGAGACGACACATCTTTTTCTGTCAAAGGTTAAAACAGAAATATAATAAGCTTTTGATGATTATACATTAAAGAAAACAAACTATGATACTGAAAAACACAAATAGAGAAGTGGAATGCGATATGTGTGTGGCTCACGAAGTTAATCAGAAATTTATACCACAATTTTCAATTTCTTAGCTTGGATTTCTTTTTCTTTCCATTTTTTTTTTCATTTTTCTGAATTCACTATCAGTCTATCAAGAAGGGGAATAGGGTTGCTTCAAGCATGGAAAAATAATCTCTATATGTGTGAAAGTATATAAATGGACTTGCAGCTGCTTACCTTTTTTCTATTACAGCTTCCTTCTTCATTTGCTTCCTCCCTAGCTGGAGAATAGAACCCGTGGCTGGCAGGCTCACTTTGCCTATGGGATACAATGATTTGCCTCTTCCAAAATTCTCTAGTTCCTATTTGTTTGCCATCTAGCTTCAGCTGAAAAGCCGTACCAACACAAGAAGCATTACAAATAAAGCACAAACCAACATGGCACAATTTCTATCTTCTTGACAGGATCTCAGGGTCTCTAGAACAGGAATATAAAAATTAAGCTTACATCATCTGGAAGAGCAATGTAGCTAAAGACATGTGCCCTGTACCATCGAGCACAGCACACTGGATTTCCTTCCAACCACAATTCTTTCAGTACTGAAAGACTCCAGAGGAACTCCAGTTCTGAAAAGTTGGAAATAATATTGTAGGAAACATCAAGGCCTTCGAGTGACTTCAAGTTCTCAATCCCACGTAACGTAGTTAGAGCATTGTTCCTTAAAACAAGTTTTACAAGATGACATGATACCTGCATTATGCAAAAACCAGAGCAAAAGTTTCAGCTCTACTACATGTTTTCAGAATTAAACCATCATATTCTCCCACTATCAAGACAAGCTAGGCAGTTCAAATGACTCTTAAAATCCGAACTTCAAGGGCTATGTACTACAACATTCATTCTCATCTTACAACCACCTATTCAAGGATATGCTGAAGACTGAAGTTTCCCACCTGACTCAAATGAGAGACTGTTCTAAGATGATTGAAGCCTAGATCAAGGTGCTTCAATTTGGTGCATCTCCGAAGATTATCCACTTTTGCAAACTTGTTCCGACTCAGATCAAGGGACTCAGCAGCTGGCAGAAGCTGCAAGGACTCATCCATGACCACAAGACGGTTACAAGCACAAGATATGACTGCCAACTTATTCCACTCTGGCGAATTCGTTATCTCGGCAATTCTACTGGCAAACACATGCCGCAGAGCATCCTATATCAAATGAGAACAAGACCTCACTTAAGAAAATTCACAGCCTAAAGCAGCACAAAGGAATGAAGAAGTAGGAAGCAAAACTGACAGTGGAATTATGGCAGATGATCTTTTCCAAAGTGTGACGGAGCTCAAGCAAGCCTTTAGCCGGAGAAGTAGACAAATCACAGCGACGAAGTTCCAAAACCTTAAGCCTACCAAAAGGAATAAGAGAGAGAGGAGTGGGATCACGAGCAGGAGAAGGAAGCGTGGAAACGACCTTAAGCGAAGTGAGGATACGAAGAATACGACGGAGCTGCTCGAGAGCGCGGTAATCTCCGAGATCAGAAACGTAAGCGCGAAGGTAATCAACAGGAGCACCACCAGAGAGCATACGCTCGAGTTCACGGAGAGACTCGAGACGGAGATGGAGATAGTGAAGACCAGCTGGATTAAGCTTGAGAATCTTGGTTTCTTCGAGAAGAGACTCGGCTTCGTCTTCTAGAAACTTCTGTAGCTTCTCGATATAACGATCTCCCGTCACAATTGCCATTTGAAATCGGGGGAAATTGAAGCTTTCTCGGGAAAACGGAAATTACATACACCGAGAGAGAGAGAGGGGAAAGGTCTAGAGAGGGTAGAAGAAAGGAGGTTTTGGAGGGATAGAGATAGAATTAGAAACCGCCATTGCTGATGCCAAAGAGAGGAAACAACGGAGGAGGAATACGAATGATTGGAGTAAGAACAGAAGAAATAAATAATAATAAAAAAAGATCGTTTAAAGGGTATATTTGTCTTTTTCTCACATACGCCCAGATTTTAACAACACACCTGGCTGACATGCCTTTCAAGAATCAAACAAAAACCTGATGACATGTCCCCTGAGAAGACTATAAACATTTTGGTCAACTTATTAGATTAAACATTTTTAGTAGGGAAGTAACTGTTTCACATTAACATACGCAAATAACTCGACCGGTTAACAAAAAATTCGACATTAAACCGGGTCTAAATTCAAGTAAACCGCATCTCGAAACTGATTCCTCCTTCATTATGGGCTGTCTTTGACTTGGCTAGTTTGTTCTGTGGCTTCCTGGTTATGGTAGATGTGTTCGTTGGCTTTTCCTGAGTCGAGTTTAGTCACACACCCAACACCAATTGTGTCTATTTTACTAAATAGGCTACGAAGACTGTATATTTTGGTAGCTATATAAATGACCAAAATAAGTAGAAACAACTCTAGCTTAACCTTATAATTTGTATATTTTTCCAAAAGAATGGATTTGGCCTTGCCAAAGCAGAACAGGGAGCTCCAAAAACTGCACATAGACATTAAACAAATCAAACAGACATAATAAACAAGTAAATGAGTTATATAATTTGAAGTTTTGTTATTAATTACCATAACAATGTGTGGTAGTAATATCCCAGTGGTAAATGTTTACTAAAAATCAAGCTATGAACGTCTCTCGGAACTGGATAAGGTTTGCTTTTATCCAAATCATTGTGGGTATCCTCTATATAGATCGTGTCCTCACCAAATCCCATGGCTTGAGCCAGTTTAGGAACATCAAGGTAGAACCACGAAAGCGACCTTGGATAATTGACAAGAGTATATATCCCTGGAGTTTCATTTTTCCTTACTAAACCAACCACTTCCACATGCATAGCCCTAGAGCCTTGGTCCTGTTTTTAAAAAAAGTTCCCAAAAACTAATCTATATTTGATATCAAAATATACAATGAAGGATTGAGTATCTTTTAATGAAGTTAAAGACCAACCTTAGCAATCATTGGGTTGTTAAACTTGGACAAGAACTTGGATAAGAGATTTTGTTGAGAGGATATTAGTTTATTCTCCGCAGCAGCAACATCAACACAAGTACCTAGAGATTCTAAAGAAGGTTCTTTCCAGTCCAAAGGAACCCATCCTCGGTTTACTAGAATAGGGGACTTCACGCTAGTGACGACAAAATAAAGAAGAAAATATAGTTAAAGACTTAAAGCTAAGTTAGTTTCTTTTATCTTCTTGTTTTGCATATGAATGCTGTCTTATTTGTAAGAAAATCTAGATGCACCTAGGCCCTAGCCTCAAAACGCGAATAAAGAAACGCGCAAAATCTGCATCTAGTCTAGATATTGCATCGACACATAAACAATCAACAACTTATACAAGATATTTGAATCAAGATGATATATGTTTAGATCAAATAGCCCTCACCTATTTGGTTCATTTGGGATTGGCAAAAGAGGTGTGATAACATAGAAGCCAATTTCTGAATCTTTATACATGGATCTAGGCTTAGGCCCGACATAGATTGATCTTTGCACATCGAAAACGCCTTTGCATACAACCCGTTGGAATCCTAACTCATCCACATTCGTCATTGTATTCAGCTTCCTTGGTTTCGTTTCCAAGCATTTTAGTCTGAAATCCACATGTTTCTTGGCCTTGAAACAAGAAAGTGTGAACAAGTTCTTTAGCAGAACAATAACTCATCTACTCGATATATAAATGAAAATCACATATTTCTTCTGCTTGTTGGGACTTATACACCACCCCAATACCGTAGGTAATAGATCCAGCCAAGTACCAAAACCACATTGAACCTACTCTCGTCTCTGAAAATATTTAAAAAATATCAAAACTCCACCTTCATGAATATATATCTCACCAAGATTCAGAGCTTAATCACAAGGCTGAGAGAGAGAGCAGGCACGAGATACTTACTTGCAGGTGGTGTAACCGGAATAATCCATTTGCTCTCAAGGTCGGGAGTTTGTGGGGCAGTAGAGAGATTGCTAGTAGTAGAAGAAGACCTGTGACTGTAAGAGATCAGCCTAGTTAAAGTCTTAGAAAAGAGTTTAGTCATATTTGTCTCCTTCAAGATTCTTCTCTTTGTCTCCTCCAAGATTCTTAATCCTGTGAAAATCTATGACGACTATAAGAGGTTTGATTAAGTCTTTATCTAATGTTTTATTTTCTGATATAAGCACATGGCACCAACTAATTAAATTATTATCACCTGCTGGTGGAAATATTATATAACATTTATCAAAAAAACAATTATAAACAAAGTTGACTTTGATCAACACTCAACAAAATCTAGAGCAAGTATTAGTCTTCCTTCAATGTTTTGTTATACACATATAGGAGAGTAAAGACAAAAGAACTAAACTTATATAACTTGATTTTACATTTACAAGCCCATTTCAAAATCTCAAACTATACTATATGTCTATGTAGTCTAGAGGATACATATACTCAAAATGGAAGAAAAAAAAAGCCTTTAGATCCATGAGTGGTCTAAATTGGTCGTAGTGAAGATGATGAGCTAGAGGAGAGCTTAGCACTCAGACATTGGTGCTCTATAGTCTATTGATGACTTCTTGTCTACGTAATAAGGTGCTACGTTGATGACCCTGCAAGTAAATAAAAGCAAAACAGAGCACATACAATGTTGATTACTTGATTACACTTGAGCAAAATTAGAGAGCATGTAGTCTTATTTTAATGTCTTTTATACACATATACAAGCGTAAAGATAAAAACAGAGAGCTTCCAAATTGAACTTATAACTTCCTTTTACAAGCCTATTTTACAAAAATCTGAGAAACAAAAACTATACACTACTTACTATACTATAGTCTCTACAAGATACAGTTACTGGCCAGAGAATAAATAACATTTAGAACTAGTAGGTTTTAAATTGGTCTTAGTGCAGATGATGAGATGCTGGAGAGCTTAAGCATTCAGACATCCATCCATTTTTACAGTCTATTGATGACTTGTTGTCTACGTAATAAGGATGCCTTGCTCGTTTAACATCCACTGTATTGGATCATATCAAGATTGTGTTTATGACATAGATATTTGATGACAAAACATTATTAGGTCTTACTACTTAACATTTTTAACCAGGTAGAGCCATACTGGAGGCATCAGTTTGGTTTTTGTGGGTACAAGTCCAGTGACTCCATTGGACACATCTCACGGTTTCAGAGAAAACGTGAAAAGAGGAATAATAGTTGATTGATATGCTTCCTTTGGCCGTATAGACCTTACATATGGATCATATATATTACAAAAAATTCAGAAAAAAAACAAACATAAATAACTCGATCTGTTAACAACGATACGACATTAAACTAAGACTGCAAGTAAACAAAATTGCATAAAAGATAAGAGAAGAATGACTAAGGACTGAGAAGATTCACATCTGTCGAACTCATTCCTCCTCCTTCATTATGGGAGATATGTTCGTTGGCTTTTCTTGATTCGAGTTTAGTGACACACCCAACACCAACTGTGTCTATTTGACGAAATAGGCTACGAAGACTGTATAGTTTGGTAACTATATAAAAGACAAAAATAACTAGAAACAACAATGGCTTACCACTATAAATTGTATATTTTTCCAAAAGAATCAATTTGGCCTTGCCAAAGCAAAACAGGGAGCTCCAAAAACTGTACATAGAAATTTAACAAAATCAAAACAAACATAAACCAGTAAATGAGTGAAATAATTAAAGTTGAAGTGATCGATGTTGTTATTACCATAACAATGCAGGGGAGAAAAAGACCAGTGGTAAATCTTTACTAAAAATCAAGCTCTTAACGTCTCTTGGAGCTGGATAAGGTTTGGCTTTATCCATATCTTTGTGGGTACTCTCTATATACATTGTGCACTCACCAAATCCCATGGCTTGAGCTAGTTTAGGAACATCAAGGTAGAACCACCCAAGCGACTTTGGATAATTTACTAGAGTATATATGCTTGGAGTTTCACTTTTCCTAATCACACCAACCACTTCCACATGCATGGCATGATCCTGCTAAAGAAAAACCCACAAAACTAATATATATGATATCAGAACTATACAATGAAGGATTTTGTAACTTATGAAATAAGTGTACCAACCTCAGCAATCATTGGGTTGTTAAACTTGTACAAGAACTTCGATAAGGGATTTTGTTGAGAGGGTAATAGTTTATTAGCTTTTCTTGACTCATTCTCCTCAGTAGCAACAACAACACCAGTACCGACAGATTCTAAACACGGTTCTTTCCAGTCCGAAGGAACCCATCCACGATTTACTAAAATAGGTGACTTCACGCTAGTAACAAAAGGAAGAAGACCAAACTATAAGAGCATGTTAGTCTTGATGTTTTGCATTTAAATGCAGTCATATGTTTAAGAAAATCTAAATATGCACTAATCAGTATCAAAATCCAAATAAGAAACGCGCAAAATCCAAAACTAGATATACATAAACAATCAACAACTTAATACACAAGTAACTATATATTTGAAATCAAATAGCCCTCACCTATTTGGTACATTTGGGATTGGCAAAAGAGGAGTAATAACATAGAAGCCCTTTTCTAAATCTTTAGAGTTGGATCTAGGCTTAGGACCAACATAAATCGATCTTTGCACATCGAAAACGCCTTTGCATACAACCCGTTGAAATCCTAACTCATCCACATTTGTCATTGTATTCAGCTTCCTTGGTTTCATTTCCAAGCATTTTAGTCTGAAATTCACATGTTTCTTGGCCTTGAAACAAGAGAGTGTGAACAAGCAGAACAAAGATTCAACTACTGAAATATGTATAAATGAAAAGAGAAGAACATATATATAAATGAAAATCACAGACCTCTTCTGCTTGTAGTCCCTTACACACCTCCCCCATACCGTAGGTAATAGATCCAACCAAGTAACATAACAACATTGTCCCTACTCTCATCTCTGCAAACATTTTTTAAAACAAAACTCCACCAAGATTCAGAGCTTAATCACAAATTTGGCTGAGAGAGAGAGAGCACGCACGAGGTACTTACTTGCAGGTGGTGTAACCGAAGCAATCCATATGCTCTCAAGGTCGTGAGTTTCTGGAGCAGCAGAGAGATTGCTAGTAGTAGTAGAGGAAGACTTGTGACTGTGAGAGATCAACCTCGTTAAAGTCTTAGAAAAGAGTTTTGTCATCTTTGTCTCCTTCAAGATTCAATCTATGTAATCACCATCGGTTTCACGAAGTAAGGTATAGAAAACCAAAATTATGAGTCTGAGTACAGCTTGGACCTTTAACACTAGTCGACATTCAAGTGGCATTTAATCTTTGACGAATTCAATTCCAACTAATTCTGTAGAATCTAAGAATAGTGAGATTGAAGAAGACACTTCTCCTTATCAGTTTCCTATGGACCTTACTTTTTCTTTTTCTTGGTCAACTGATTAAGTCTTTATCTAATGTTTTTTTTATTCTTATATAAGCACATGTCCCCAAACATATTATATCAATATATTATTATCATCAGCTGGTGGAAACAAAGTAGACTTCAACAAAATCTAGAAAAGTCTTCTATGCACATATGATATATACAAGAGTAAAGACAAAAACAGACAGTTCCCAAAATTAAACTTATAACTTGGTTTTACATTTACAAGCCCATGCTACTAAAACCTGAAGATACAAAAGCTATAACTATACTATAGTCTATAGGACACATATACTCAAAATGGTCAGGGAAAAAGAACCATGAGGGGTCTAAAATTGGTCTTAGTGCAGCTGATGAGCTGGAGGAGAGCTTACGCATTAAGACATCGGTGTTCTACTGTCTGTTGATGACTTGTTCTCTACGTAATAAGGTGAGAAGTTAATGACCCTGTAAGGAAACAAAAAACAAAACAGAGTAGTTATGTTGACTACACTTGATACTGTGAAGAAGTGAATGATCTTTTAGCTTATAATACCTTTCTTTGCGTTTCTCTAAGAACCGAGCCAATGATGCTTTTCGTGTTTGCCGTAAACCAACTGTATTGGATAAAAAGCAATAATGTGGTTATAATAACAATATTAAAACTGGATGACAAAAGATTGTTAGGTCTTAAGAAATGATTTTTAACCTGGTGAAGCCATATTGGAGGCATCAGTGTGCGTGGATGCTAAGCTCGTCATTGTTTTTGTTACTCTAAGTCCAGTGGTTCCACTTCCGGTTTTAGAATGATCAGTGACTACTGCAAATGGATGATGAACCGGTTTTTGAGGTCTAGGCATTGGAACCGGTTTATCCTGAGGTCCATCTCTGGCTAGCAACATGATTGCATGGGCCTGTGATTGAGAAGAATTATTAAGCATAATGCTTTTTCATACTTTATCAGATCTCTAGCCAGTGACTAACGTTGACACTAATCAGTTTCTAACTTAGAATTGTAATGTAATATACTTTGGAGGAAAAGGGGGTGGGGTGTTACCTTTTCAGGAGATATGTCTTTGTAAACAGACACCGCACCGGCATAAAAGATTGTTAACTGAGAAGATGGTGATCCTATACGTTTGGAAGATGATCTAATAACAAAAAGAAAGCTAGCTCGAGTCAAACTATGGCATTGCAGAACAACTAAACCTCTGAAGTATAGGATCACCAAAATATTGATGGTTTGCGAAACTATTGATGAAGCTTATAAAAGACAGATAAAAGGATGATTAACAAAAAAGATAGTGCATGCCTAACATCAGTTGTCTCCACAGTAAGACATGGACCAGGAAAGACTGAAACTGGAGGTGTCATAATATGAGATCCTCCCAAATATTGGTGGTTTGCGAAACTATTTTTAAAGCTTTTTCCTCTTGGTTCACAAATGGAGGCTGTGATGGTTGTTTGTTCTTGCTGGCTGTAGTGAGTTCTCTGGTTTTTATATGCAACTGATGTTGGTGTGAAGGAAACAGAAGGAAGCAAACGATCATTGACTGACTTAATACGCCTATCTTGATCAGAAAATGCCCCAAAAGAAAGAATCTGAGGAGCAGAAGAACAGTTTTGGCTTGAGAATGGCCACTCCATCATACCTCTACTTGGGGCTGAACACATGAATGAGTAAATGTCTCAAGATTTAGGATGTTAAGAAACATTGATTTGTAAATGGGTTCTATACTTTTTAATTGTTTCAGTATCTAGTCACAAGCATATATAATGAATTAATAGACTAGTTGAGAAATGTTAAATATTCAAGTCTACGTACACAAACATGGCAATCCCACTACCTCCAAGAAATTGCACGTTTCAGACTATATAAAAAGACAAACAACTATTAAATTCCTCGTGGTTAGGTAATTTGATCATTCATTCATCCAAATTGTAATTTAAGCAAAAAAATTAACTCCCAACAGGCCAACATGATTGTAAAACTTAAATCAATTAATCTACAATTGGAAAGAAAACAAGAAATATAATTAATCAAGTCACAAACTCACAATCAATCTTTGCTTTAGTTTATAATTAAATCATAAATGGCATAATTTTTTTGTTAAACAATTCAACTTGCATGTGTTGTTAAATCCTCAATCGTCAGCCCGTCGCTATTTTAATCCATTCTTTTCCCAACATTTCACGTCTTCGTTTTTAATTAATTAGATAATACTTTATATATATAATTAAAATGTTTTTATTCTTCAAAACGAGATTATTTTAGAGAAACACTTATCAAATACAACACCAACTCTGCAGCAATAGATTCTCAAGTTAATTTGTCTTATTAGTATTTGTGTTAATGATATAGTATACTAAACGAGTTTGGCAGCTGTTTGCTTAGCTTGTACATATTATATTTTTGTTATTTTGTACTTTGAAAAAAAAAATATGTATGAAAAACTTCCAAAAAGGAAAGAAAAAAAAAATCATAAAAACAAATTCACAATTAGTAGAGTGAACGTATGAGTTTACAAACATTCAATGACCAAAAAACATGCTAGAGCCCTAATTAAAACAAGTTCTGGCAAAACCTAAATATGACAAAAGAAGTCCCAATCAAGGAAGTTAAAGTTCAAATTTCAATAAGACAAGACAACGTACCCCAAAAACAAAACCTAATCGAGTCAGTGATACATGATACTAATATGATCCAGATTTAAAGCTAGCTAGGGTTTATGATAAGTGATATATACATGCATGAGAAGAAGAAATAACAATTAGATCATATACATATAAAGATTTCAAAGAGAGGAATAAATATTACCTAAATCTTGGTTAGTTTCCTCTTTCACAGTTATCCGAGAAGATAATTTTGAAGCCATGCCGAGAAAATCTCTCTCCATCGCAAAAACAGTTTTTAGCTTTCGTCGGAGAGAACCAAAAGTCGCCGGAGAAGAGAAGAAGAAAAGTTCGAGATCAGAGAGAGAGAGAGAGTATTAAAGAACGTACGTGAGTTGAAGTTTACACACACACGTACGCCCGATTTATAAAATTCCCATCACCACTACTACTGCTTCCTGTTCCGGAATAAAGACTTTCCAATATTAGAATTTTAATCATTAAGACTTTGAGAAATTATGTTAAAACCAATTATGAAACGTTTTGTTCTTTAATTTAAAGAAGTGTATTGACTCATTCTACACAACATGGTATGGTATAAATATTAAATAATATGGTTAGATAATTGTTAACTTTTTTGTTGTCGGTCGAGTTCATCAACTTCCATTTTCAAATCTGTAATCTGTAATTTGTTTACTAAACACATGGCCTGTTAACAATTAACCATTTGAGCCCAATGGCAATGGTTACGGGCTTCTGACCCAAGTCTTTCCATTGTAAATTTCTTCATTCATAACATGCACGATTGCACTCTGTATATGCATGGTATGTTAAGGATATAAAGTTTTTAACCTAAGATTTAAAAATTCTTATATACAAAAGGCAAGAGCCCTATATTAATAACCGTCTTATTGGGAGTATCTTAAAAAACCGGGAGTATCTTAGGCCCCTAAGATACTCCCAATAATGTTGCCCTTAGTTAATTAAACAAGTGTTTGGCGACTCGTGAGCGATTTATCATTTATGCATTTGGAAAAAAGAAAAAAAAATCTTGATATCTATAGTTATAGTTTAATTTAATGTAAGAAAAAACTCGTAAAGATTACTGAAACAAACTCCTAGATATTACTATATTATTGGGGAAAAAAACTCATAGTTATATTCGTAAGAGCCCTTGTCACCCAAGGGTACAATTGATTATAGTTATAACTTATAAAGCTGTAGAAATTCCCTTGCAAGTTTCATTTTAGGATTGAGATCTTGCTACAAACTTTATTGGGTCATGAATCCTGATAAAATTTGTAAGAATGGCTATTTCTGAGGATCACAAGTTTTATAACAGACTTGCAGAATCCTTGACTATAGATCTGAGTTTATGTCGAGGCTATAGATTAGTAGGTTATGAACTTGTGGTTGTGTCTCCACCTAATTCAAGTCAAGAACTGGCTTGTATTTGTACCATTATGGCAAGTGATTTGAGTAGCATTTGACAATGGTGTACGTTCTCAAGAGAGAAGAACCAGTTTTAGTATTCTAACTCATCAACTCTTTTTATGGGTATGAAGAACCTCTCGCAGCTGGCATATATCAACTATGATCAGATGTCCAAAAGGTCACACAAAGATGAAAACCAACCAAGTTCTCATGCATCGAAGATAGCATACAAATGAGCTCAACTTATTATTATGCATATGTAAATCATTCATCATTGATTACTAACCTAGCCATCGAGTTTGCGGTTTTAAAACCTCATAAACCCATACATAGTTAGCCATCGAGTTTGCGGTTTTATAAAATTAGCAGCCGTATCAACCGCAAATGTAGGTATAAGAAAGAGACCACGCATCAAGAAAAGAACCCATTCATAAACCCAGTTTTGGAGTAGCACATAATGAAATAGAATCATCTCAATCTCTTAATGTCCCTCTTATCTTTTTTTCGCTCGTTATGGTCCCTCCATCTAAATTATCATGTGTATGTATGTGAGGAGTACCTTTGGGACCTCAACTAAAAAAAGAGTCATACAATTATAGCAGCCTTTAGTACTGTTACAGTTGCACCCATTCCTACCTATTTAAAACCTTTTCCATTAAATGCTTTTCACTCATAATAAAGCTGCCAATGTTTGCTACCCACCCCAAAACTCATCATCGTAGCAAAATTATTCATAATTCGGCGGTATTCATTGAAGAAGAGTTGTCCACATTTTTCAATAATAGCAAATTTGGTATTTGATTCATTCATTCTATATAAGTATAAACCATGTGTTCAAGTGTTTGTTTTTGGTATATTTACCTGTCTCTCCATCATAACTAAATTTAGATGTGGGTCTCTTGTGACAGCAATAGATAAACATGTTCTCATTATGTTATGACATGTTACATTGGTATATGATAAAACTTACATATAACTTCCATCCACCATAATAAGCTGAACTAACACAACATATCAATGCTAAGTTAAACTATGTTTTCTTTCTCCGAATGGATTCTAAACCTCTTTACCGAATGAATTTATCTGGAACCGAACCGAATACCCGAAGGCTCATTCCTATTTCGAGAATTTTTTTTTTTGTGAGTTTAGGCTACTATTTACCAGGTATCATAGTTTGGGTATATAAATACCGCCGGCAAATACCCTGAGTTGATTTTCGCTACTTTCCGATTTTAAACCTCACTACCGAATGAATTTATATGGAACCGAACCGAATACCCGAAGGCTCACCCCTATTTCGAATGATTTAAATTTCGTATATATAACTATTCTAGTCGATAAAGAAAGTGTATAAACCTATCAAACGCATCAAATATGCCGGAAACAAGCCGATCCACAAATGGCCAACCAAACAATTTGTATTTGTTCGACAAACTGAATACGTCATTTTCACAAAACACTGACCAACTGCGTTTGCCACTATATAACACAACTTTACATTACGATATAAAGTGATCACGTTCACGTACCGTATATGATATGATTATAACATAAGAGACAAAATGATAAGCAACAATTTAGAAAAAGTGAAAGAGACCAACAATAATTACAAATCACCCACCAAATCCTTTCACGCCCAAACACAAAACACAACCTGCAAATGCCAGCAGAGTTACCCACTTCTAAAACCCTTTATCCTTTTTTTTGACAAGTAATAAGGGTCAAAAATTAAAAATTGAATTAAGAAACCCCAACCATTTCATTACAATTAAATAATTAAAAACTTCAACGAATTAAACAGCTTTTGACTTTAATTAATCAGCTTCATCCACTTGGTCTGAAGAAGAATAAGGTCGCAAATTCTCAATCTTCCTAACCACTTCAGACATCTCCGGCCTCTTGTCTGGATGTTGTGACGTACACTCAATACCTAGCTGCACCATCTCCGCCATCATCTCTTCTTCCTCCGTCGCCAAGCTAAGCAGCTCCGAGTCGAAAACCTCTCTCCTCCACTCATCTCTCGCCACTGATTTGACCCATCTCGGCAAATCGACTCCTTCCTCGTTCATCACCGAGTTCGAAGGAGCTTTACCTGTGATCAGCTCAAGCAACACAACTCCGAAGCTGTACACGTCTCCCTTCTGCGACACGCGTTTTGGATCTGTTACTTCTGGCGCACGGTAACCGGTTGTGCGGATTGGAGTTGTTGCTGATGATCCTACGAGCTGGGCTAAGCCAAAGTCTGAGACTTTAGCGCCGTGAGATTTTGTTAAGAGGATGTTTGAGGATTTGACGTTGCCGTGAGAGGTCATGGTGCCTTGTGAGTGAAGGTAGTCTAACCCACGAGCTGCACCAATAGCAATCCGTGATCGGACGTCCCAGTTTAGTGGACTCCTCCCCGCTCCTCTGTTTCCTATAAGCAGACAAAAGACAATTATAGAAACTAAAGTAAACAGAACAAAGCATCTAACGCCAAGATTGTCCCTACCAATTCCTGTAGATGTTTATTCATTACAGAATCAGGATCAAAGAAACTACGCACTAAACTAATCATCTGTGACAAAATCAGCTTTGAGTCTTCAAGAACCCTAGATGAAGCTTATCTATAGTAACTAAAACCTTTGATTTGCCTCAAAAAGAACCAAACTGGTAATAAAGGAAAGATATTTTTCACAATGTAATCACAAGTTTTGATATGAACTCACCATGTAAGAGAGCTGATAAGCTTCCCATAGGCATGTAATCATAGACAAGAAGCTTCTCATCTCTGCTGAAATAGTAAGCTCTCAATGGCACCAAATTCTCATGATCCATCGCACCAACCAACTCAATCTTCTCCCTGAACTCTTTATCAGCCATCATCACATCCTTCAGCCTCTTCACTGCCACAACCGTCACAGCGTCAAGCACCGCCTTATACGCCGTACCAAAAGTTCCTTTCCCCAAAACCTCCGCTGAAGCTCTCAGCAAGTCTTCAAGATCGAAAACTTTAGTCGCGTTACCGAAAAACACAAGCTTTTTCGATGCTGGACCATTCCCTTCTCCAACTTTTCCGTTCCCGGTCATCGCCGCAGCTGCAGCAGCAGACACAGAGTATACATTTCCGTTGTCCGCCGCTTCTTTGTCGCCGGGAATTTCAGTTTCTTGCTGTTTGATTGTTGAAACGTCGACAGCTCTTGGTCTCTCTTTACCCTTTTTCCTGCAGAGCACCATTAGTAACAGAACCATCAAAGCGAAACCAACCACACATCCGATCACAATTCCGACAATAGCTCCACCGGAAAGTTTGTTTTTTTCCTTCTTCTCATTGCTTCCCTCAACACTTGGTGGTGTTCTGTTTCCACCAGAACTCGGCTGACTCGGTACAGTTTCTTCAGTAGGGCAAAGCTTAAGCGGTTTGCCACAAAGTGAAGTCTGTAGAAACGAATCAGACTTAAACCTCTGCAGATTCTTAGGTATAGATCCGTTCAACGAGTTATTGGAGACGTTGAACTGAACCAACGGTAAATCTAAGTCAGGGATTGAGCCAGAGAGCTGATTATTCTCTAAAAACAGAGTCTTGAGTCTCGTGAGGTTCGTGAAACCAGAGGAGATCTCTCCGGTGAAGCTGTTGGAAGCGAGATTAAGTCTCACGAGGTTTGTAAGACTGAATAAAACCTCAGGTATCTCGCCGGAGAATCTGTTGCCTTGCAAGTAAAGGTGACGGAGATTGGCGGAAGTACTGAGATCGTTTGGGAGTGAGCCAGAGAGAGCATTGAGACGAAGGCTGAGCGTACGGAGCCGAGTTAAGTTACCGAAAATACCCTCAGGGATGTCACCGGAGAGAGAAACGCCGGGGAGACGGAGGGCGGTGACTCTGTTATCCTCGCATTTGACGCCGGCCCAGTTACACGGCGAGGTTTGTTTGATGTTCCAGAGAAAGGTACGGCCTCCGACGGCGGAACGGAGAGAGAGAAGAGCAGCTCTGTCGGCGTTGAGATCTTGTGTAGATGGAAGAGGGAAAGAGAGGAGAAGGGTTAAGAGAAAAACAGAGAGAATCGCCATGGACGAGTTGGGAAAGACTCGCATTGTGTGAAGAAGACGACGATTCAGAAGAGAGAGAAAGCTCTTAAAAAGGAAAGCTAGAGCTGTAAAAAGGAGTGAAAGCAGTCAACAGCCTAATCCTCTCTTCTTCTCCTTTTTCCTATGTTTTATTAATTTTTATCTGCTCCTCTGTTTTCTCTTTTAATTGGGGATTAAGATATAAATGATATGGTAATTAAGGAAAAAACAGAATAAATTTGGTCTAAAGTCTCTAATTAGTACTCGTTCCAATATTGAACATTTTTCATTGACTTAATATGGATCGTATAAGATTGAAGAATTCAAAGAGGGTGGGTAGAGACTAGAGAGAGTTGGTAGGACCGTAACATGTTACAAGATGATCACGAAATTCACAACCACATTTGATTACATTTAAAGTTCTTTTCGGAAATCAAAACCATCGATCGTTTTGTGCTCTGTCTCTGCCACTCTGTATTTTTTTTACAGGTAAAAAGAGCTTCTTTAGTTTTGTTTTGTATCTAAGATAAAATTCTCGACATTGGCCTCTGTAATAGTGGACCATGTTAAGATGATTGTATAAGTTTTCGCATGCGCATAAGTAAGTGTAAGAAACTATAAACCAAAATATTCAGTTTTCAAAAACTCAATAGTGTATAAAGTTTTGTGTAGGGAAAAGAACTAAATATCACTATGCTAATGCATGGCTTAGTTGTGGTAATTAAGTAACATGTCTTTTGTCAATGACTATATATTATGATTAGTAAGTAATATCAGTTTTATCTTTTATGTATAAAATTCCAAGAAAAAACAAATCATTTGTAACGTTTTCTTTTTTTCTGTTTTTATGTATTCAATTTTGGCACAAATTCTGTTTAAAGTTTTATGGTTAATAAATGTCAAAAAAATATGCTGGAATTTAGTATTTTGGATAAAGGAATAGTTTTTAATAGTAGTAGTGTTGTTAGGTTTGATCATTTTACACACAAATGTATGTAATAAGTCGTAACGTGCTTGCTGAGGATATGCAAACATGGTTGGGGCGTTACACGAAAGGAAAATACAACTACCCAATTAAATATTTACATTTTATTTTCATGTGCTTTTTGGCTCCTTTTATTTAAATTAACTTCTCACCCCAAAAAAAAAAAAATCTATTAATAATAAGTTTCATTTACTCGTGAATGACCAAACCAAAAATGAAAGAAAAATGATTATTCTTCATTGGTCGGAGAGAATTTTTGTTAGATAATTTACAGAAATTCTAATTCTAATTTCTTTTCTCGAAAAAGATCATATATTAAATGAATTTTTCTATGTCAACAAGAAAAAGACTTTTTTTTCTAGAAACCCTATAAGAAAATAGGACTTTTCTATTGTTGGTTTTGTTTTTTCTTGGTGTTTATATTGATTTATTTCTGTGATGAAGAAAATGTATACCGGGTTAAAAATAATAATAACAACATCAGCTTATATAATAAGATATAGTATCTGTGTATATATTTTGGATAAAGTGTATACGTGCATGTGGACCAATCAAGCAGTTTAAGTTTTTAGTTATATTTTACATGAATTTCGTGAACGTATCTACTGACTTTACCTGCCCACAAGATACGTCCATTTTCTTATAATTTTAGATCCTTCTATAAGCCAAATGTTATTACACAATTATATATACACATCGTTAAGTAAATAATTTTGTAATTATTAAAATTACGAAGTAATTAACTAAGACATATAATTTCGCAGTTTGTGTCATGATGAATGATTCAAGCATTGCATGCTCTACGGAATCAATTATTTATTCAATGGACGAAAACTACATTATGCTAAATAAAGTAACCGATCAATATTTTTAATTTTTATATTTTTAAAAATTAATTCATAAGTTAAGTAACAGTCAATTGCTTGGCTTGAAATGATGAATTAGCCGATATTAGGGTAGGTTCTTTGAGTTAGCTTTTTGGAATCTTGTATGAACACAAAAATAAAAATTTAAGTCAATGATTTTCATAAACACGGCTTCGAATTTGAGTCACAACGGTTGAACGAACTTGTTCTAAATAGTCTATGTTTCTTGTGTCTCAAGCGATCATCCTTATTTTGAGCCAACACAACACACGTAATTAGAAATGATATGTATGAGCTAAAGTGACACGCCCATTCAAAACCCTTTTTACTGGTCAATCCTCATATTCAAATACAGCGTTTAGACTTTGAAGTGTTCAATATAGTTTAGGAAAGAAGTTTTCAAAGTAACTGACTATGGTACGACGCTAACGCCTTCACTATTGAACGACTTCAGATGTAACCAAAAAGCTTAGCTGAAGATGGTATGTATAGACTATATAGTTGCAACTTATTCGAGTTCAACAATGAGTTTTGGCTTCAATATGAACCATAACCAGATTAAACAATAGAAATAACAGAACATTCCATGACTTATTCGCAATAAAAAGTATCGAAAAGGCGAAACCCGAAGAAGGTATAAAGAACCAAAAATGCTTAGCCGAGGATGGTGGTTTCAGCAATCATTGAGGTAACAAGGTAAGGATCCATATTAGACGAAGGCCTTCGATCTTCAAAATACCCTTTTCCTTCTCTCTCTGTATCTCTTCCTACTCTCACCGATGCTCCACGATCCGCCACTCCCTAACACACAGATAGATAGAAGTTAACATATATAGAGAACATAAACCAAAAGATAACTATATGATTTGATATCTCTTACAGTACGTACCCAAGAGAATTTGTTGATGTCTGCGGTTTCATGCTTCCCAGTGAGACGCCTCTCGTTGCCTTCACCATAAGCAGCAATGTGTTGTTTGTGTTTCACTTCAAGCTTCTTTATTGCTTCCTTGATCAAATCTAGTCCTCCATCTTTCCTCATCGATTTTGTACTGAAGTTTGTATGAGCAGCTGCTCCGTTCCAATCACCCTAATCATTAACCTCAACAAACTTAACAGTCAAGCAAAAACTAGGTTGTAACTACAAATAAACATAGAGTCTTGGATGATCATGAGATACCTCGATTGGTTTTGGATCGTATGAGACAATCACACCACTTATCTCAGTAATCCTCTGCCCAACACAATGATCCATATTAGTTACAATACAAGAAACCAAAGTTAATGAGATAGGTTTTACAATCTTGAAACTTGACAACAATAAAGATAAGTTCGACAAGTTTGTTACCTCAAGAACGTAACGAGCGATCCATAACTGATCACCTGCACCAACACCAACCGTAGGACTAATCTGAAACTCCCATTGTCCAGGCATGACTTCAGCATTGGCACCACCGATACTTAAACCGGCGTAAAGACAAGCTTTATAGTGAGCATCAACAATGTCACGACCAAAGGCTTTGTCTGCACCAACTGCACAATAGTACGGTCCCTATTTGTTCATCAAACACACAAAAAAAAAGCCAGATTCGATGTTAGAAACTTGTTCTTGATTTAAGAGTTCGTGTATGCATTTTTGATGGTACTGAGTTTACTCACCTGAGGGCCAGGAAAGCCACCAAGAGGCCAACCTAATGGCCACTTCACATCTTTTTTAAGTAATGTGTATTCTTGCTCTATCCCAAACCTAATAAGTTATACAGCAAAGTATCAAACCAAATTTAGTCATAACGAACTAAATTAACCAAACGAAAACATAAGCAGTTTTATAAACAATTCCCAAACCAAACCAATCTGTATAAAATCTGCTTACCAAGGCTCTTCAGCTTTCACATCGGGATGATCGAAGATTTTGACAGCTTTGTTCCTGTTGTTGGTCGGAATTGGATCTCCCGCCGGTGTGTAAGCATCACACATCACCTGGTTTATATTCAACAACACTGATTTACAAGATCTACTAATCAAGAAAACATGATAAATCTTGTCCTAAAAAGAATGAGATGAGGTTACCAAAATGTGGTTCCCTTTCCTGAATGGATCTTTAAATATAGCCTGAGGACTTTTAATCATTCGAAAAATGACATTTAGTTAATACAAAGAAGAAGATAATGTTGATATAATTTTACTTAACTTATGTGTATAGTGCATGAAGAAGATTACTATAGAATGACTTCACTGTCATCTCCAGCAGCTTGATCTGTGCTGGATCCATCGTAGTTCCATTTTGGAAGCTTTGTTGGATCGCTTACTGGTCCTGGTAATGTCTGTTAACCCAAAATAAAAAAAAATGTATTTGGTTATACCTAAAACATAACTAAGTTAGAGAGTGTAAATATGAATACCCTGGCTTTGCTTCTAATATCCATGCCAGATCCACCGATCCTGTTTTCAAGATAAACAGAGTAAAATAACAAAACTAAATAAACAGAGACATGCAAGTTCTTTAATGTGTAAAATCAAGAATCAAGAATCAAGAATCAAGATCGTACCATATGTATTCAGCGATGATCTTCTTGGTGTCAGTGAGATCAAGGTTTAGGAGATCTGATAGTGGAGACATCATCTCTATGTTCGAAAATATGAAGAAGAAGTTTGAGATTGGCTTTCTCTGTCTCACTCACTTGTCACCTTTGCAGTATTTATCATAGAAGAAGCGGCTAATTCTCCTGAGATCCTATTTTATTGTTTTCCCAACAATTATCGTTGATTACGTTAATAGTATTCTTTAAGTATCCGTTAATTAAAACATTACATATTTGGTCAAATTATAAGAGAGCTTTGAAACCATTTCATTTGAACATCACTTAACGGTGTCAGACTTCACAGATTCATCAATGAAACACTACAGACACGTCACTGTAAAAGACACCTATCAGAGGCGCAGATGTTCCACGTGGACAAGCTTGCAGTTTCACTTTTGTGCATACAAAAGATTCTAAACACAAGCTTACAATAACCTAAAACATGTTTTGGACATTTTGAAGATCAGACAAACTCACTAGTTAGGATTTCTCTTATGAGTACATGTCTGATTACAGTCTCTCAAGTCTCAACGAATCTGTCTGCAGAGTAAACTGGAATCACCTGCAATACTTTCTCAGATTGTCGATGACAACAGAAGCGTTTTTGCCTTTGATTGAGAACGAACTTACCAAGAACTGGACATTGAAACTTTTGACAAGTATCACAAAAGTGAAATCCCCAATAAGATCACATCAAGTATTCAAGTTTACATCAACGAACCCTCAAAATGATTTAATACAACCTATTACTCCTGAAATGAGCACAGAAACAGAACAAAACCGATGGGATTTGGCTACATCTAACAATCACTAAACACTGAGATTTAGTAGTTTTCACCTACAGGTCTAGAAGGAAAGAGGCGCATTAGAAAAGTGATAAACGACCATAGACACATAACGGCTAGAAACTGCAAAGTCACAACCAAACCAACGAGCGCAACTCCCCGCTCTGTAATTTCTACAGTTGTTGCTGCATCTTTCATCATAAACATCAGCCTCTGAACAAAAGTCGCTGCTCTTGTCACCTGATACAGCCTGTACACCTGCCATAACATACAACCATAGTTACTCAAAACAAGACTAATCACGTCATGGTCCAATATTTTCTAAAAGGAATTCTTACACAAGAAGATGGATAGACAGAATAAAGACGAAAGTGGTCCATATCAGTCTACAAGTTTACCTCAAAGACTATTGGAACAATGGGCCAACAGGATGAGCCGCGTCTTTCAAGCCGAGCCTCAAAAGCTCGTTGAACAACACAGCCAACTAAGAAAGGAAGCACCGCGATCAACGCATCTATTCCGAGAGCTGGCCAAGTCATGTATACAGCAACTAGGGGAACTACAACTTTTAAACCCATTGTAAGGAATGCAGACGTAAGGTATCCCCTCAGTCCAGTGATCAGACCCCATCTCTTGGAGCTGAAGTCTAAGTACGGCCTCTGCACTCGGTCAGTCACAGACAGGAATATTGCAAGACCAGCATAAAATACCGTCTCAAAGCAAAACGAAGTAACAATTTCTGCATCAAGAAATTATAATAAGAGAATGCATCAAAATGAGTATCGTATAAATCAGAGATAGATCATCTGCGAAGTCTCTTAGCTTTACAAGTGTTATGAAATCTCTTGAACAAATCTCAAGAAAACGTTTTGATTCATTCTTAGGCTTAAGTCATGTGTTCTTGATTGTAACTAATAATTCGAAATCAACATCAGAAAACAGGTTCGAAAGCTATCAAAACCTCAAAGTCAGATACGTCTAAAGAGAAGCCTACACTAAAACATAATCAGTTAAGATAGCTCCTACTCTATTAGTCCCTAGGATGCATAAAAGGTTAAAACTTGGAGATGATTGATAATTCTAAAACTTCTTCAGAACATAAAAGCAGAGAGAGTGAAATATCACTTACCAGCAACAGTGTCGTTTTTGAAGGTAGCTTCAATGGCACCACTTAGAAAGAACTGAGGAAGAATCAATGAAGAAATCAACACAACAGGAGCCAAAATCCACAAGAAAGAACCTTTCTCTTCTTGGAACGGAGCTGAAACAAGTTTACTTTCTTCAACCAGCTGATGAGTCAGACCATTGAAAGAAACAGAACCTGACTTCCCACGGAACAGCTCAGCTCGAGCATAGTTACTCTTCTCGAATTGACTCTTCTCAGGCCTTGATTCAGATTGAGAAGAACACAACAGTACACGACCTCGGCTCAATTGCGGTTTGTTCCAAACGAGAGTTTCTTCTTAATCAACAAAGACAAAAAAGGATCAGTCTTTGTGCTACAAGTCGAGTGAACTAAAAAGGGTTTGTTTAGATAGATACTTACGTCTTAAATCAAGTTTTTGACGCGTTGCAAATGTCGACGAAACCTGGAGAAACAAGAGAAATTGACAAACTTTAGGATAAGGTGTTTTAGGAGAAACGAAATTGGAAAAATGAAAACTTTGTTGGTTCTTTTGACTTACAAGAGGATTAGAGAGTAAACTTGGAGATGAAAAACGAAGTCTTGGAGGAAGAAACCCCAAGCAAATAGCTTTCGATTCCATCTTTTGCGTTAGGGTTTTTGTGTTCTTCTTCTTCTTGTCAGCAGCTTAAACCCACTCTATTAAAACCTGCCCACCAAAAATATCTCTTCAGTCTTCATTCACTTTCCAATTTTGTTTTTGTCCTCACTCAAATCTTATTTCTCATTTTGTCAGCATTTTGTATTCAATTTTGTTCTTCACTTAAGTCAAAATTGCTTATTAGTCAGTATGTTTTTGCAACTTCTTCAGAAGTATTTATTCTGTAAACACAGAGTTATATAAACCAATACTTTTGATCAAAATTCCTGTATAATTGTGTAGGCAAATTGTGTTCATGGGTCAACATTCCTCTGGACAATATCAATTTCATAAAAAAAATCATGAATTTCAATGGAGATTATAGTCCGATGATGTTCATATGTTTTAGTTTGAAAACAACCAGCGTTATAGCTTTTCATTGGAGGCAAAACATTGAAAATTCGGGTAAAACAAGAAACTGGCTCAGCTGTAACCTTTGGGAACTTTAACATCATTCTACTACCCACACCACACTTTTTCTGGTGCTGGTGCTTCGTAGCAGCCGTAAGTCCGGCCTTTTTTTCATCATCGCCACCGTTTTAGTTTAGAAAAAAAAATTACGAACTCAAAACTTTTACATGTACCTCAAAAATTATAAAATCACAGATGACAAAGGCTTCAGATGATTGTTGAATTGAAATATAAACAAGAAAAAGTCAAAAAACGCTTCTCTACACGAAAATCAGATAAGAGACGACGATGTTTTCTATACACACTGATTAAGCAAGGCAAACTCATAGAGGCGAGAGGCACCAGTAAACCCTAATTATCTTGATGGGTCGTTTGCTGGGCTATATATTTATGACGTTGGGCTATAAGACCCAATTAATGGGCCGCAGGAAATATATAATGGTACTAATTTTACTATTATGACCCAACTTCTACTATTTATCAAAACTAGGTAATGTCCCGCGCATATGCGCGGGTTGTTGTATATTTATTTAATTATTTTAATTTATTTATTACTTATAAAAAATAGATTAAATAAATTTTAATGCTTATGACATTTTTACATGTTATTTGTTTAAATCATACAATAGAAACATACATCCATATCTTTTGAATTTATTCGTTGATTAACTGTTCAATTAATCAATTTTGATAGTAATTTTATTTAGTACTTTTCAGTATTTTTTGATAAAACAATAATATTGTTAATGATAAAAATAGAAATAATATTGGAAGAATTTAAAAAATACCCCTTTTAAAAATACCACTTTTTAAATTTACCCCCTTTTCAAACTTTATCAAAACAACCACTAAAAATGTTGAAATTTATCCAAATATGTGTGTAAACTTATAAATATACACAAAAATTACCTTTATTTGTGTATAAAATTTTATTTATTTCAATGTCTTACAAATTGGTTTGAATATAACAAAAAATATTTTGTTAAAATAATTACATACTTTGAAAATAAAATAAATATACATGAATATGTGAGAAAGAAAAAA